TATATCATGTATATTAAATCTTGGTACCTCTTGGTATAGGGTTCAGAAGATATGATTATAATAATTCGTATTGATCTGATTTTGCGTTCAAGACAAGTTAATTTTCAACCGACTTCAAAAACGGAGGAAGTTCTCTATTCGACTGTATTTTTTTGTTTGGTTACTTCAGAACTTTCGACTGAGTAAATCGATTTTGATGTTTTTTTTTATTTGAAAGCAGGTGTTTCCCACGTGGTCCTACATTAATTTCATTGTTATTGGAGCTTGGGCTCCAGAGATACGTAGGAAACTCTTGAAAATCAATTATAAAATGAATACAGAGCGGGTGAAAAGCAGCTAGCATTCTTGGAACCATACTAGATTGGTTAAATAACGTGTAATTTAGTTATAATTCATTAATGTTATATTTGTAGAATAAATTACATAACGTTAAACGTTTAAGTTTTCATTTTAATTCCATCGCTAGATTCACGGGGCCATAATATACTTTTTAATATTTTAAGCGGCCGTAATAAACTTTTTGTATTTTTATGGTTTAAATCGATCTTGACCGTCACTAGCGACACGTTTCCTGCTCTAGTACTAGTCATAATATGTGTAATAAATCTGTCCGTAATAAGATAATTTTTAGTAAAGGCTTTTTGTTTAAATGTTAACGTGGTAGGGCCACGCAGCAGCCTCGGATGTTGCACAAATGGGCAGGCTCATCCGGGTAAGTACCACGACCGCACAGAAGACCGGCGTAAAGTGGAAGTATAATACTTTCGGGTTTCGTCTGGTGAGTACGGTGGCCGGAGCCCAATTTTCAAAAGGTTGTCGACGCATCTGGAACCCTCAGTTGTAGCAGATGTCCATGGGCAGCGGTATTCACTTAACATCAGGTGAACCGTCTGCTCCCTTAGCAACCTTTCACATAGAAAAAAACAAAAAACTTTTTATTCATTTGTTTCGACATCGTCCGTGATAATCAACTGCAGACAGTATTAGTGAAAGTAAATATTTTTTGTTTTAATTAAACAGCCGAATCTTCGTATTTAGTTCAGAATAGCATAAGGAATATTGGAATTTATTCCGATAAATTCCGCAAAAGTAGGCAGAAATGAAGACGTGTTCGCCAGTCTGGCGCCCGACGCCCTCTCTTGAAACACGTAGTACAATGTGCCTATTCGTGCTATTATTGTAATAAGTTTCCCAAAGCGTTTAAGAAATAGCAACTTAGTAAAGTAAATATAAGCATCGTTAATTTACCTTCAGCGTATATTGTTTCATTAGTAATTGTAAACGGTAACGCCGTCAAGCTTATGAATGTAAGGATGTGCGTTGAATAATTTAACCGTTTTTAAAACTTGCTATTTTAACGTGAATGACTAAAACCAGTTCACGGTTTATTACCTAATTTAACAACTGCTTCAAAGTTATGGTGAAGCATTCGAAAAATAAAATTTTTAACAAATCAGTTTAAAGACTAACGCCCGGTTTCTGAAAAACTGACCATCATAGCTGTCAACTAATCAGCTGTCAAATGGCTTTTCAAATTGCATTTTAGTGCAAAAAGGGTGGTTAAACTCTCTGAATTGACCAGAATGATCTTCATAATGATCAGAATGACGTTTAACCACCGTTTTAGCAACTAAAATGCAATTTGAAAAGCTTTTGATAACTAATTAGTTTACATCTAAAATGATCAGTGTTGCAGAAATGGTGTCATTCAGTCTGATGAAAAAGCTTATTACTAATATAAACCCGGAACGTCCTTTTTCCTTTAAGTGACCCCAATAGAAAGAGTGAAATATAGATCGGGTATTAACGTCACCACTATAAATATACATGTTAATTTATATATATATATATATATATATACTACAAGTACTATAAGCTTAAAATAAAAGTTTTTTTTTCTATTATTCAATAAGGTGGCTTATCTAACGGTGGCCAAATTCACACAGGAGGTTCAGACTCGGTAGTATAATCGTTTATTGAAGTAAAAACAAACTTTTTTTCAAAAATAAATTGCCATTCCATTCCCTAAAAAACAGAACTTGTCAAAAATAAATGCGTCATATACTTTTGAAACGAACTTGTATGCGTGTTAGTTATGAATGATCGCGCAAAATAAATGAGTTGCCCATAAACCACGCACTTTTTGAGATAAGTTCAAATGAATCTATTTAATTAATTACGAGTAATTTTAAATATTTATCATTTTATATAACACTATTTATGTCTAGAATTTAATATAAAAAAATGGATACACTTAGAAAAGCCTCCTTGTACATAAAATAGTAGAAACTTATTGGCCTTCAATAAAAGTTTTAAAAATACGATAAGAAATCTTCTCACCAACCATATAAAGTGTATAATAAAGTATGTATAGTCCGTAGCATTACTTTATTATTTATACATAACATTACTAATTTTACTTATTACTTGCCTTTTTAAATTCAATTTTAATTTACAAGATTAAATCTATCTAAAATTACATATTATCTAATAAACCTAATCCACGCGGCATGGTGCCAAGAACGCTAGCTGCATTTCCTCGCTGAATAATTATGCTTAACCTTTGAGCGAGAAAATAACCATCTCTCTTGTCAATTTTAATTCAATTGCATTCTTGATCGCAATAAAACCAATAAAAAGCAAAAGAGAAAAGTAAAATGCTACAAAGTTTTACAAACGTCGGGAATTAAAAAAATATAAACGCTATAAATTCAGTGAAGAAGTTTTATTTAACAGTGTAGTACTCGTGGGAATACAATTCTAGGAAACCATTTCAGCAATCGCTCAATTAACCATCGATCCAATTAGGATGTAGTTTCCTAATAGGTTTAATTTTTTTTAATATTTAGGTATACTACATATTTTTTGACCTTGGTAGTATTACGCAACGGTTAGCTGTTGCACGAATGGGCAGGTCCGTCTGGGAAAGTACCAAGACCTCATAGAAGACCGGCGTGAAGTGGAAGTATTATACTTCTGTGTTTCGTCTGGTGAGTGAGATAGCCGGGGCGCACTTTATTAGAAGGAGGTAACGCATCTGCAACCCTACACAAAAAAGTCCTTCAAAAATTTGAAACAATTAGTATAGATGGCAGGGAACGTACTCTGTCCCTTCATAGTTCCCCTTACGCACTGTTTACCCTCACCACGGGGGGCTATCACGTCATTCATGTGCGATATTATTTCGTCATCCCTCACCCTACCCAAAGCTTTAAATCTAACTGTATTGGACACTTTATTATTTGCGTCTTTGATGTGGCTGGCACTCTTTTCATGAAATGTTGGTCTGTGATTCATTCATTTTTTTTTCATTCGAACCCTGTTCAAATTGCTTGTTTTAATTTAACAACTAATAAATAATCATCATATTTTCAATCTTTTTTATAACAGAGAAGGACCGAAATAAATGTTGTGCGGTAGATTGCTGCACAAACACTTATCCGATAAGTGATAGATTTTTTTCGAGGTTGAGTAAATTATAATTATTTACAGGCTCACGATATTTTTGACTTCTCATTTACGCTGCAGTGCCATAAATTTCGATAAAAATCAATTAAACTGGGCGGCACGGTGACAGTGCCTTCCAAACCACGATACGCTACTTGGGCAACGTTCCAACCAAATAACTGACGTCAAAATATTTAGTTATATATAACCAATAATATTTACTCCTATAGACATATAACGACTCGGTGGTACAGTTCCGTAGCCAATGGCTTCAGAGGTCGTGGGTTCGATTCACACGCAGGACAAGTATTTATGTGATCCACAGATAATTGATACGAATCTAGATGTTTATTTTCAAAGAGGTTGACGATTGGCGGCCGGTCACAAAAAACAAAAACCTAGCCAAAGCCATAATCAACATGATTCACATTCCTCTTCCATTCTTCTTCCTATTTAAGATAAGGGCAAGAGAAAGAAAGAAAAAGATAGTATAACAATTAACAAATAAATTTATGTCTACATTTAATTCTTTCCAACTTAAACAACAATATTAAAATTGCATCGCAATCGTGTCTCAGATACCCATACTCATAAAGGATAACTTTGGTGTCTATATCTGTGTCCGTCTGTTAATACCCATTTTCTTCGGATCATATTTAGATATCATGTTTAAATGTACCTATGTCAATGAAATGAGACGAATGTACTTGTGTCGTATATTGTTACATGCGCAAGATTTTTCGTCAATACATCCTATACAGCGTGTCGTTACGATCGTGACAATGAATGAACACACGTCTAACGCTACTTGAAAATTAATAATCATAAAAAAATATTAACGTTAAAAAAACATGCTTAAAAAAATTTTTTTCTAACAAAGTAATTAAGTAAAAAACAAACAAAATTTATAACATCCTATACAACTACAACTGACTATTTCATACATTCAGAGTCTTTTTCATTCGTTGCCACAGCGTCGCATTGCAAGCCTCTCCCTCTAACAGTATGTTTTGTCTCTTTTAAATTTATTCAACCCATTCATATGCTTTGTGACCTTTACATATGAACTTTACGTTACAGTTTTATACGTAAGGGTGTTCTGAAATTCTTTGTTTTGGAAAATTTAATAACTCTGTAAATATTGATGTTTAAAGAATGTAAATGTTTAATACAATTTCCTTTATATGTGTGTTCATTGATTGTCGCGATTTTAAAGACACGCTATATATATTACTACCGTTTGTTGATGTAAAATCGTGAAATTTGTGTAGAAGCAAACTTTTGACAGTACAAGTTTGATACTGTCACAAAGCAAGAAACACGAAGTAAGAAACTTACACAAAGACAAAAAGTTTTGAAAAAAGTTGTTAAGATTAAAATTTTACCTTTGATTATATACTTGTCTATATAATCAAAGCACTTTACGGTAATACTCATTTTGTTACCCGGCCTTTTTTTTTACTTCTGTTCTCTGTAAGATAGAGAAAAGATTTTTAATCTGGATTTGTTCGATGATGCGAGCGAATAAACGAAAAAAAATCACTTGATTCCAGGTGATACGCGGTCGCTGCAGGTGGAAGGCACGGCGTTCGAGCGCGCCGCTGAACTTTTGCGACGCTCACCGGAGTTCACTATTCTCGCCGCACTGCGTCAGGAGCCAGCCAACTCTGGAACGATACTATCCTTCTCTCATGGGTACAACAGGTACTTACCTGCATATATTACCTCTATCACCCATCACATTTTGTTTCCGTTAACGCTACGGTGCTCGTATTAAAGCATGATTGCACTTCTATTTAATTTCACGTAAGGTTTTAAGATAAAAGTAAAACTGAAATGTTTACATATTGCAAAATTTAAACAAGTATATCTTAAAATTGATAAAGTAAAATACGTCTCGATCATAATACAAACTCGGACGTAGCTATCACATTATTACATAAACCGATTATGTGCTGTTTGGTCTGGAGTAGAAGAACGACTTGAGCATCGGGCGCAAATGACGCCGGCGCGACGACGGCGTAACGGGCCCTGGCACGCGGCGGCATCTCCGGTGAGTTCTAGATCTCAACATCGCTGCGCGCGCATGCACACAGCTCGCACACTGGCCGCGTGCATGCGCGCGCATAGGGGAGAGTCATGTATCTTGGAATGTCCTGTGCCTCGGAATGTCCTCCTTGATCCATCCGTTGACCTCTGCATGGCCGTATATGTGCGTGGGTGGGCCGACTTGCATGCGCCCCCGTGCCTTCTCAGTCTTCCGTCTTGTGTTCTGTGTCTTGACGTGTTGTGTTCTGTATCTGTCCAACCGACCCCCACGATCCGTCTCAGTGTTTACATAAATGTTGATGTTTGTCGTAAAGCAGTCGGCCGCGGGCCCGCGCTCGCTCCGAGGGGACACCGCCGGGCTCGTCCGCACTTGCATTCCAAGCGACATGAGATTCCGTATTGTGCATCTCGTATTGTGTCTGGCAAAACTCTGACCGGTTCGCGTTCGCCACTCTCTGGTAGTATCGCCCGAGGAGTCGGTGAAGATCGCGACCCGCCCTTCGCCCGGTGACAAAAGTCCCTCCGAACACGTCGGACACATCACGAGACGCGTTCTGTTTCTTTATAGCCGTCGATCAGACACCAGTCGGCACCGAACGCGATTCGTTCCGAGGTACATGGTCCCCTATCCTGACCGAGCGATATTGAGATGTAGAGCGAGCCAAGGCCCGCTCGTGGCCGGTTCCGTCCGCCATCCGAGTATTTGTGTTGTTTGCTTTGTTTGTGTGTACCTCGGAACAGTTCGCGACGAGGTGGCGGGTCGCCCGTTGCGATATGTAGTGCAACAGTGTGCGCGGTGCTCAGGTACTTGGAGGTGCAGTCGAGCGGTCGACGGGACGAGGTGCGTTTGCACTACGTGGCGGCAGGGGCATCGGTGCCGCGCGTCGAGACCTTCCCATTCCGGCTGGCGGATGGGGCGTGGCACAGGCTAGCGCTGGCCGTATCCGGTGCGCAGGCGACACTGCTGGTCGACTGCCACCCGCTCTACCGCCGCCTCATACCACCGCCCGACCGCAACTTCACCCAACCGCAACTTGCCCTATGGGTCGGGCAGAGGAATAGCAAACATTCCCTTTTTAAGGTATCGATTGGCACATACGTGAAGAGTGAGGGAAGATGAATTAGTTGATAAAAGTTTTTTAATTAATCTAATTAACTCTTCACTAGGGCACCCTCCAAGATGTAAGATTAGTGAGCGGGCCTCACGGTTATTTGGTGCAATGTCCCGGACTAGATTCGGAGTGTCCTACGTGTGGACAGTTTGCATTACTGCAGGCGACTGTACAAGAACTGACGTCGCATATCCATGACCTATCGCTTAAGGTAAGTGACTAGACACCATCACATAAAACATAAAAAACAAAACGTATGTGCCCTATAATATTAGGTTACTACGTTAACCTTTCAGTTGGTGGGTGCCGAAGCGAGACTAGCTCGGTTAGAACAATGCGACTGTCAAAAGTCGTGTTACTCGAATGGGACGGTACATGCGGACGGTGCTACGTGGCAGAGAGACTGTAACCGCTGCTCCTGCGTGGTAAGCTGCATAAATATAAATTTGTAGCATGATTTGTAAATCCCAGTATTTTTGTTCATGTGTTCAATGTTTCTTTTTTCTTTTCAGCACGGAGAAATAACGTGCAGGCCAGTAGAGTGTGATAGAGTAGAATGTAAGAATCCTGTCTTACATCCAGGAGAATGTTGCCCTACGTGTTTGAGTTAGTATTTGGTTCTTGTTTTTAAATATAATTTTGATTACGTAGGCATTAAAGCATCATAAGTTTTAATAAGTTTCATACCTTATCCCCCAAGCTGAACTCCTTTGTTTCAAAAAACGTTTTTATTTTTTCTTTTATTCATGAATTTATACAGTTTTTTAATATTCTGGTATGATTTAAATAATACAACGCATTAATCGGCTATCAACGAGCCTGCATGTTTCGTTTATCCCTTGCATTTCTTTTATTCTGTATTGTTCCACTTGAAAGAATTTTTAATTTTAAAATGGTCAAGTCGTATGCTAACCGTATGCTATTTTTATGTTTAGTAGCAGACTAGTAAATAGCCAGTAGTTTATTGCTATTACTCCGCTGTAGTTTTGGCATTTAAATAGAGGATCCTTTTGACTATTACATTGTAACGAGAATCCTGGCTTATGGCTCTTACAATATTTGTCAAGCGAGATCAAGACCTTAGCTGTTAGCATGTAATTTAAGGTGAAAATAGTCGACGTCTCTTACAATAGCTACGTCATATGCAATCAGGACGGTGCCTCTTATAAAACATAAGCATATAACCACAGGACGGTAGCCAAAGAACAGCTTTATCGGGAGAGACCAGGGCGATGCCTTAAACGATAGCTTTGTCATGTAACATCAGGACGGTGCCTTCTGCAAGGCGAGCTGTACGAGCATGGGGATCGGTACACGCCTAAAGAGTGCGCGGAGTGCGTGTGCCACGATGGCAACATGCAGTGCACGCGAACCGACCCCGAAACCGCGTGCCCACCCCTACCCTGCGACCCAGCAGACCAGTTCACCGTTCCCGGCGAGTGTTGCAAGTTCTGCCCAGGTACATGTTCTGTTTGCCGCGCGTGTGTGTGCACGGGTACGTCCGTGTGTATCACTACATAGTATAAAACGAAGTCGTTCCACTGTCTGTCTGTCCCTATGTATACTTAGATCTTTAAAACTACGCAATAGATCTTGATGCGATTTTTTTGATAGAGTGATTCAAGAGCAAGGTTTATATGTATAATACATTAAACCTATGCGAAGCCGGGGCGGGTTGCTATTTCCTTATAATTAAAAACTTCACCTAAAATTGCTATAATTTTTCCAGGCGCTTGTATATCTAGTATGTCGTTCATAATAAGGAATAAATATTAAATACCCACATTCTGATGGTATTGATTTCAATTTTTTACATATAATATTATTTGTTAAAGAAAATTAGCTAAAGTTGTAATTTATTTATTCTATTATCATTCAAATGAGAGAGTACCTTATTTTGTTAGCATTATTCAGAACAATAAATGTAAAACAATAAACTATGATCTTATAATCCAAATAGGAAGTAGTATAAGTTGTTACAATGTCAAAAATAAATTGATATTGTATTAGCTAACATTAAAAACAATCCAATAGGGAATGGTTCAGTGCCAGTCTGGCAAGAGCAAATGATATTAATGCTGAGAATTAACAGGAGACGAAATTTAAGGCGACATGATCATTGACATAGTGTTTATGTAGGTACTGCTTATTGCCTTAGTACCAAAGGCTTGTAGACTGGAACCAAATACATTACTTCGTTTACTTTTATCCATTCAAAATTGGACCTTTTTACCGCTATAAATACATTTATTTTCAGGTGTGGATTATTGCAGTATGGGACACTCGTGTGACGAGAATGCGACGTGTATGAATCTCAATACAAAATACACATGCAAATGTAACCAGGGATTTCGTGGCGATGGAATAACCTGCGAAGGTAATACGAATAAAATACCTCAGTATAAACTTCATGATGTAAAGATTCATAGAGAGACATTATCGAGACTGTTATCGAAATCGTAAGAATATAACTTATTCTAACCATCAGAATTGCAGTAATATTAAAATACGAAGGTTTGTATAAATTTCAGAGGGTGTGGATTCGATCTCCACTACTGATGAAAATCCTTACTTCCTTACTAATATTATTAAGGCCGTTTCTATGGACGGATGATTGTTACTCTTTCTCACAAAAAGTACTGAATAGATTTTAAAGAAACTTTACAATAATACAGCTTATACATCAGAATAAGACCTAGGCCATAATTTATAAAGATATTGTGTAGATTGTCCCAAATATAGGTAAGGATAAGTGTCAACCAAGTAGAAAAAATTCAGCCATCTGCGATATATTATGGTGTATAATAAAAAACTCATTGTTAATTCCCTTTGGCCGCGCGGGTGAAGCCGCGAAACAGCTAATATGGTATAAACAAAAGAAAAGTATGTTTAAATATTTTTATTAGTTAACTAGCAACCGTAGTACCAGCGTTGCTTACCTTGATGCTAGAGAACGTCGTGTCAAAATTTCCTGATTTTCTTTTGTTTTAATAACAAAAGCTTTTATGTATGATGCATTAAATAATCTGTTTTAAATTTTTTTTTTGAAATTCATTCTTAAAAAGTTAAAGTTTAAGTTAAGTTGTCTACTAAGGTACAAAATTATTGAAACATGAAGTTTTCTATCAGATCATTTCTTGCCAGTTTATTATTGGTCATAGGATGTCATTCTAATTAACCCTAAAGCAAATTTATTAATATTTTTTCAGATGTCGACGAGTGTCAAGAGGCGGGCGGTCGTTTCGGCCACCACTGCCACTCCTTTACGCGTTGCGTCAACGTGGTCGGAAGCTACGTGTGCCAGTGCTTGCCGGGCTACACGAGAAGGGACAAATTCAATTGCGTCGAGGTACATTACCAATAAGCAGTGGTGAAAATAACCGTGGTAGCTTATCGGTCGGAGTAAAATGACTTAAACCGGCACGATCACCAAATACAGCTGTTGTAATATTAAACGCTCACCTACCATACTCGTATGTACGAACGGCGAGCCTGCCGAGTTTTCAAAATATTTCGATGACACGCAACGAAAACGCGTGGCGGATTGTCTTAATATCTTTAGCCTTTATCCACCTTTATATTTAGGCATAAAAGTTAGTTTTGACCTTTTATCGCAGCAGTAAAGTAATATTGGAAAAAGCAAACTTTTAATGGGCTATAATTCTGAACATCTTTTCGTTAAAATATCTATTTACTCGGAAGACGCACTTCCGAATCCAAAATTCTTCCCATAATTTTTCTAAATAAATCACATTTTAAGTCTTGAGTGCGGAGACTTCTACTAAAAATAAAATTAGTCTTAAAATAAACTCTGTTTACAACATTTGCAAGGTGGACGAGTGTGTGGGCGAAGCGCACGGCTGCCACACGGAAGCTGTGTGTACTAACACACCTGGTTCCTACACATGTCAGTGCAGAGACGGTTACACTGGTGACGGCTATACTTGCACGCGTAAGTATCACACATATATTATTCTATCACATATAGTTCTACTTTTAGTTGAAACTAAGCTCCCAAGTATTTTAACACGTACGGTAGACCAACTTGGCTTAGGTATCTATCATCGTCAATATACGTTTCAACAAACGTATTTAGACTACTATAAATAATGGGTTGTAGATGAAAAATAAATGTACACGTAATTTCGTACAAGTAATCCACATGAATATAAATTATTTAATAGATCTCTCGTCGTAATTATTAATCAATCAGTGTATCAAGAATTTACTATCGTTGTATTTGCTAATGTGTCCAAATTAATTTGCCACATGACATTGGTTCGCGATTAGTTTTTTAGTTAATTTCTTGCTTGCTAATTTCTTGTATTTACGCGATTACGGAGTCTATCCCGTGACCATGAACGCTGAAAATTCAGAAGATAAAATTTAAAAATAGACGCGATAAATCCGTATACTCTTCTTCTTTTCTTTTGTGGCGGTTTTCTAAATCCGTATATAGGTACAATTTAATTTGTTGTGTTTTGACAGTTAAGTTGTGTGATTACCATCTATAGACAAGGATTTTTAGGAGTATGTTATTTAGAATAATAACACTATCAACGGGCTGTAATAGACTACCACAGTTGATCGGCCCGAAACGAGGCAAGCACTTACAGGCCCACGCTAGAATTATGAAATTCAAAAAACGAATAAGACTTAGAATGGAATTTTTATATCGAAAATTGCCTGCAATTGCTATCAGAGTACAGCAAAGAAGGTGTTTTTTTTTAAGTTTTTGTCAATAAGGAGTTTTATAATGTCCTATGCAATATCCTCTGTACAGAGAAGCCTATCACCCAGTAGGACACATATAACTTTCTTATTCGTTTATGCTATTTTCTATTCAGTGTTTCTACTATTATTGATTGATCCTACTATTTATTGTTGAATAAATCGTATCGTATATCGAAAACCATCAAAAGATGCCGGTAGCCCGGGTCATCTATGTGATAAGCATGTCAAAATATATCTTAGTCTATCCTCTGACCATGGATCATGTAAAGTATTCGGAACGAAGGAAATTTAAACTAAAATGAAATCAAAGAAATCTGGCGCTGAACCGGGGCACGTGCTCGGCGCCCGAGCGGTAATATATGTATAAGGGCGGACTCAATGCCACCAACATTACCATTCAACCTTGGGTTGGTCCAGCGAAGTTTAGGAACACGTTTGCCCCTAGCGATCTGCACGGGGGGCTGCCTGAACGGGGGCACGTGCTCGGCGCCCGAGCGGTGCTCGTGCCCCCGCGGCTTCGGGGGCGCGCGCTGCGAGCGCGACGCGGACGAGTGCGCTGCCGCCGGCGCGTGCGTGCCCCGTGCCCTTTGCGTCAACACGCCCGGCTCCTACTACTGTGTGTGCCGCGACGGGTACCGGCGCGACCCGCAGCGCGACCACTGCCAAGGTATCTCCACACTAGTCACTGATTGTCGAAAAAAATGTCATTTAATCGCTACCAAACGTACGATCGGTACCAAGGTTTCCCTTTTATAACAAATTAGTGGCTAATCATCTAAAAAAAAAACTGTTTTCTGTTGATTTAATTGCTGACATACCTATTCAAAAGCAGTAAAAATAGGACGTTTTGGATTCCATAGCGAACATATCAACATCTTAATTTCAAACTATTTTACATAATATGTAATGAATGTTACCTATGACGAAACGTTATTTAGGTAGCCTAAATAACGTTTCATTATAGGTTTAATTCGTTTTATTATCGTTTCAGATGTAGACGAATGCACAGAAGGATTTCACACTTGCCATTCGAGTGCACGCTGCGTCAATACAGATGGTAGTTTCAAATGTGAATGTGACACCCAGCCTTGTGAATTAAGTAAGTATTAACGTAGCTTACATTCCATTTTAAAATATTTAAAACTCGTAAAGCCTATTTTCAGTCTATGAAAATCAGTTCTAATTGATCATTCTTTAGTTATATTCTATAAATATAGGGCAAAATGAAAATTTGAATGATATTATGTCGAATCTAAGTATGTGTAAAATCTCCTTCTCTCCAACAGCACTGTAATTTCCAAAGTCACTTGAACAGAAATTATAAAATATTTCTTAGACCAATCAGCCACACCTTGGATGGCGTTTTTAGGACTCTGAAAGCTTTTGGCCGGCAATGGGTCGTATATATGGCTAATTTGTTTCATTATTTTTGTGTATGTACAGGCTGTTCGTGGCAGGGCCGCGTGGTGGCCGACGGCGCGCGTTGGGCGGAGGGTAGTGGCTGCCACGCCTGCTCGTGCAATGCGGGCGTCGCATCCTGCGTGCGCGCACCCTGCGCTTGCGACCTGCATGGCAATACCTCACTGACAGTGCGTTCCTTCTGATAAATCTATTTCTAAGTTTCATAAAGATTAACATAAAGACTGCGGTGTGGCAACGCAACAGTCCTCACTGTTGCACAAATGGGCAGGTCTGCTCGGAGGAATCCCACGACCTCACGGGGAACCGGTGTGAAGTGTTACACTTCTGCGTTTCGTCCGGTCAGTGAAGTAAAAGGGCCCACTTTATTAAAAGGTGGCAACGCATCAGAAACCATACGGGTGTTGGAAATATCCATGGGGAGCGGTTATCACTTCACATCGGGTGAACCGCCAGCTCGCTTGCCACCTTCTCACATTACAAAATACCGACCAAAAAACATCTCTCATAAGATTACGTTCGCCACGTCTTATTATGACCTGGGAGGATGATGATGCAGCTTGACATCGAGTATCTTTGTAGAGCTTTAATGACCCACAGTCGGTCTTAGTCAATATTGTGTTAAGTTGTGGCCATTGATGGAATGCTGTTTGGGGTAACAGATACAAAGTGCGGAGGCGTCGCTGCCCGTGGCGCCGGCGGCCTGCTGCCCTCATTGCGAGCCGCGGTACCGCTGTCGTCACCAAGAGATGCACCACGTCACCTTCCGGAGCGGGGAGCGCTGGCTGTACCAGTGCCAGATCTGCGAGTGCCTTGTTAGTTCGCATTTCTTTTACAAAGCGTTTTCAAACCATATGGCGGTTAACCTGATGGCGAATAAATGATTACCGCCGCCCATAGAAATCTGACCTTACTGATTCATAAAGCTTGCTTATGTTATGCTGACAGTAAATTAATGCAGGCACAAATGTATTTGTCGTGTTACACACACAAAAAGTTGGTTCAAAAATTCAACTAGAAACTTATTCATCAGACCAAAATTTTTATAACACATTGTATTAGCTAAAAGGATTTGAACAAAGCCGCAACGGCGATAGTTATTTTCGTCTCGTTGAAATAAACTATACTATCTATATACAAATTAAATATACCAGAAGAACCTCGCGTACGTCGAGTTTATAAATAGGCGGTATTCAAGATAAATTGTTTTTCACATTGTAGTTTTACAAGATCGTAAAATAAGTTTTGTATTGGAATAATACCGCACAATTCCTTTGAATCAAAAAACTTTATTTACAATCTTAATTATACGTTTGGACAAAGTTATGCATAGATTTGTTGCTGTGTTACTTCGAAACGAACGTTAGTCTCTGTGGTCCAAGGGAAGTAGGGAGAGTGACGGTCGATGAACGAGGACGCTCGCGTTTCAGTTGGGCGAGGTAGACTGTTGGGAGCCCGAATGCGACGAAGCGGGCGGCGGCTGCTGCACCGACGCGGGCGGCACGTGGCGCGCCCCCCACCGCCTCGAGCTGGCGGGATGCGCGCCGCACTGCCCCGCGTGCCAGGTACCGACGCGCACAACGTGCGGCCGCGCGAAACTTGAACGCGCCCGCCATAACTCGCCACGTACCGGCGAGTTATGGCTAGATATCTAAAGAAATAACGTTGTCCGCGACTGTACTAACGTGTAAACGATTTGGAACACGGTAATACTTACCTCCTATCACTATTTATGTGGCTGTGTACTGCACAATGACTTGGACGGATTACAGAGGCGCGTTTAAGTTTTACGCTTGTCTTTATAATGCATATAACTCGGTCAGTTCAAAATTCTGCGCCTCGCAGAGCGGTTTCCAAATTACGATTATGATTTAGGTTAGGGCCACGGAGCAACATTGTCTGTAGCACAAATGGGCAGGCTCGTCCGGGGAAGTACCACGGCCTCACAAAAAACCGGCATTAGGTGCAAGTATGTATTTATTACACTTTCTCGTTACGTCCGTTGAGTGAGGTGAACCAGAGACCACCTTTTAATGTTGGCAATGCATCTGCAACCCGTCTGGAGTTGTAGATGTCCATGGGCGGCGGTAATCACTTAACATAAAGTGAACAGTGAACATAAGGTGTTTTCCCTCAGAAAACAGTGTCAATCCAATGACGATTGGCGCATAGTTAAATGACGCTTATTTAGCAATTTTATGGCGTTTAATTCTCAGAGGAACTCAGATGGCAGAACTGACGGCAAATTGTCTCTGAAAATCCATGTGAAAATGTTTAAAATATCTTTAGTAAAATGAAATTAGACGCCAAAAAACCTATAGACTTGTTTAATGATGTTTTCTATTTACGTAACTCGAGAAATCATGGTTCGTCTGGGTGTGATTGTTGATACCCTGTGCGTTTATTGCTAGCGTGTTTGCTTGGATCGATCAGAACTATCGGCAACAACTGTACTTTGATTCATCTTGATTAAGTTGTAACAGAATGCTACGATAACTTTACGTGGAAAGTTAAGTACATATTAAATTAAGGTGTTTAATTTGTGATAAAATCTGTGTTCGCTAAATGGGGTGCTAACGCGCTTGTGGTGTTGGGACGGCCTAACCTTATGCTTATATGCTTTCAGGTTTGTTAAACTAAATCTCGAAACGGCTATATCAACTGAAACTGATGTATGAAATGTATATTTATTTAAAAGGATATTAAGGATATTATGTATTGTGAACAATGCGTTAAAAAAGTAAAAGTGCACGTTTAAGGGTCATACTATAATATACTTACAAAAAAAATGCCATTTATTCCCTAAAAAGCACAACGTGTTGACAATGCGGTAGTCATTCATAAATATCTAAATTTTACTGTGCACGAACTTGTGTGCGTGTTAGTTATGAATGATCGCGCGTAACATAAATGAGTTCCCCATAAATCACGCACTTTTTGAGATAAGTTCAAATGAATGTAATTAATTAATAACGAGTGATTTTAAATATTTATCATTTTTTATATAACATTATTTATGTCTATAATTTAATTAAAAAAATGGATACACTTAGAAAAACCATCCTGTGTAAGGCTCTCCTTGAAAAATTCTTTTTTAACACCCCGCAAGCAAAAAAAAAAAAGTGAGCCTTACAGTAGTCGCATTTATGATGTTGTCTGTCATCTGTCAATAAGCAGTATTATAATCATATATTATACCCTGAAAAAAAATGATTCTGGTATTAATTGTAATGACCTTTTGTAACGAAAAATAATTATTTTAGTGAAATTTGTATTTTATTTAATTAACAAACAGAGTAATGCATTTTTTTTTCATTGCAGACAGATGTTTTTTGTTGCATTTGGGGGAGAACGGAGTCAATAGATGTACAATAACTAAAATATGAGTTATACTTCTGACTTTTAACTATTTAAAAACCGTTGAAAAACTGCGTCATTTACAGCACGACTACTGTTACTTGTCGAAACATATCGATCAGTTTTCAATTCGATACATCCAGTGAATAGCAATAGAAAAGTTAACTTCAAAAATAAAACAAATCTAAATACTAACTGAAATATTTATTCGAAGAATTATTCATTACTACTCATTTCCATTTTTTATCATGTTCTGCACTTGTTTCAGACACGGTATGAAAAGTAAAAAGTACATTTATTAACATAATTATACATATAAATTAGTTTATATAACAGCAAACTTTATACACAACACTATAGGTTAATTGAACAGTTAATGGCAACATCCTGGCGGAAAATAGGTTGGTAACATATGACAGCCAATATCGCATGCGCTCATTGGTCAAATCAAATAGCGTGCGCTTTCTCCGATTTCCTGTTACACACTTCCGTTCCTTCTCGCAAACTAACACCCACAGACTGCACTGAGAAAAGATTTTACACATCAAAAACATACCTTTAATAACCGGAAAAGGAAGTACAAAATAAGACTTAATTTCACAATAAATAATTTATAAAAACACTGAACCAAAGCAATATTTGTCAACTTTTAATCATTTTCCAGTTAGCCATCATAAATATCGGTATTTATGATGTAACTTTTCAAAAAAAAAACTGAAAAGTACATCATAAACATCGAACGTAACTCTGAGGTATTAAACAATAAATTCTTCTAAAAATGTGACTATGGCAAACAGAGCAACGCCTCTGCGCTTTAGCTAATTTCATACAAAGCTATCTGGGGCTAGGATGAGGCACATTCTATTATAGGAATCTCAAAAATTCCCAAATCACCTACAAATTATCAAAACGATTGCGCCGCTAGCCTAGGCTTGGACAACGAAGCGCTTCACGATGTGTGTGTATGTGAAAGGCAGTTTCCGCTTGTTGCAGGGCGGGCAGTGTGCTACTTTGGTGAGCAATCTCGCGTGTTGTGTGCATCGGTAACCATCCCCACTGTTCTTATTCATTCATACATTTGCTAAATTAACAATTTGTTTTATGTGCTTACGTCTTCGACTTAACTCGAGTGTAGCGTTGCGTTGTTGGATGTAAATTACAATTACGCAAATGGAAGTCTCGAAACATATAAATGTAATTGAACAATTACTTAATATTAAATAGATATAGACATATATGTTAAATCGAAGACACGTCTACTCATTTCATTTCAGACGTCATTTTGTGTTGCATGTTTTTTATACTTTCCTTGACATGGTCAGGCATGTTTTATGTCGGTTTGAATAAAAAGTTTTCCAAGACTGCTACGAGCATGTTGATAATAATAATTCCTACGTAAAGTCTTCCATGCATCAAATTCATAGCTCCACTTTAAGTTTCTAAATCCATATTATTTCACTAGAATTACTTTAGACGATTCCTCTTAACAAGTATTATCAAACTGAAATGATAACTGGCAGGTTTTAATTAAAAGTATTTATTGTTATTATAATAATTGTAATTTAGCAAATAAAATAAAATTGCTTGTGATAAAATAAATAGTCAATATTTTTATTAGTAAGCGTATTAGGAAATAGAGCTAAGTAATATACCACTCGTAGAATTCACCAAGCTAAAAGTTAGACTATAAAATGTTTTGTATAAGTATACAGCTGATACACTGTTAAGATAATTTGAACTTATTTCAAGCGATTGAGACAAAAATGTTAGCTATAGCACCGCTGATTGTGATGATTTTGGAGTTCCTAAATATTTCTATCTAGGTTTTTAATGAAACGCATGATAAAGTTCAAGTTAACTTCTTACGTTGGCATTTATACGAACCATTCACCACACGACCGATAGTTTGTCTTTTCGCATTTATGACTTACTAGCTTTTCGTTCGTTGGCGTCGACTGTGCACACGGCCAAGTCATTTGGTATTTGTTAATTAAGTGACAATTGATCGATTGACCCTCGTCAACGTTCTGGTTCTCATGGCCATGTGACTTACAAGTGATACATCCTCACATTCACAGTCACATTCGATATCTTTCAATGACAAGCTAAAAGGCGTCGCATAATGAGATGCAGCCACGTAAAAAGCGAGTGGAAATAAAACACAGTGGTGGTGTCGCGTGTGCAGCCGACGCGAACGTCACAGACCGACCTTGGCGAAGAGCGGAGTGTCGGGCGTGTGGGTGAATGGGTGAGTGGTGAGTGACGCGCGCGGCGTGTTGGTGTGGCAGAGCGCGGCGAGACGTGGCAGCGGCGCTGGCGCTGGCGGCGCTGTGGTGGGGCCGCGCGCCGCGAGCGCACCGCAAGCACCGCGGCGCGCGGCGCTAGAGCCGCCCTGAGCGCGGCGCAACGCACCTATTTATTCTAGATAGACCTAATGTTAACCAATTGGCGGGCGCGGCCGCATCGGAGCGACAGTCGGCGAGCCGCGCCGCGCCCGCGCCCGCGCCGCACCGCAGCCACGCCCGCGCCGCGGCCCCGCGCCCGCACCGGACATTTTACCCTCGTTATAGCAATATCCTAGTGTTACCGCGTAGTTAGGACTGCGGCTGCGGGAGGCGGCGCGGCGGCGCGGCGGCCCGCACCGGCGCGTTCCCACCGCCGCAACATGTAACCCTCGAGTTCTAAATTTAAAACGAGTATGATCGCTTGTAACTGTATCTTTAGACTTGTAACTGTTTAGCTATTGTTATGAATGCGCATAGAGAAGCCGCGGTGGCGCTGCGAACGCGCCGCGCGGGCGCCCTCCGCGCCCTGTTGTACGAAATTTTTCATAATATATTATAGTTTTCTTTTTGTTTGTCTTTATATAGAGATCGTTTTCATGGATAATTTAAAAGTAACCAAAAATAGGTACCAAATATAGAAAAGATATGATTGTTTCTTGGTTTCGAAAAGCATTTTTATGCTTGCATGTTGTATTGTGTTCAAAAAATTACAATTAAAAAGATATCCATAACGCATTGTTTTAATAATTGAAAAAGCTTTCCAAGATACCTTAATGTACCGTTACAACCTATCCTTATATAAACGAGAAAATATTTGCACATTGTTTTCTTTGCTCGATTGTATAAAATTCTACCCCAAATATGGAATCAAATAAATAACTTCGTACATGAATTTATAAATATCACTAGAATAAAGGACAACTATTTTCATCTACATAATGTTTTTCCAGCGGCGGCGTAAGGGCGGTAGTGGTAGGATCCGCTCCGAGTGGTTAGCACCGACGGGTGCTCACTGTGCGAAAATTGTTATAACTGTCTAATTTTATTTTTCATTTTAAGCAATGATTGACGTCATCTAGTGAGAAAATTTACAGCATGCCATCACTCGAGATTTTAATGAGGCTTTGCTACCGAAACAAAGGCTTATTTTTATATTTAATGGATCTCACATGAAAGCAGATCAGGGTATAATAATAAAAAAATAGCAGCAGATAAAAACATATATAAAAGAGAAGCAGGTACTACACTCTTCAGCTTCGTGTGAGTTCAGTATTTTATCTTACCTTTCTTATTGGGGTTCCTAACCGAAGGGTACAACGGGACCCTATTAGTATGACACCGCTATCTGTTTGTCTTAGTAATAGGGTAAACAGATTGGCAGCGGAGTCTTAGTAAGTGTTTAACCCTTTGGGTACGGAACCCTAAAACTATGTACCAAATTAAAAACTTTCAATGTGAAACATGTTAAAATTGATGTACTTTATATGGAGAAGCGCTAGACCCTATTGAGTCATTCTGTCCTGCATAACTATAGATGCCAAATAATGCCAAATAGCTATTGGGCTCCCATATTTATATGCTGGCGAGTAGACTGAGCTTTTGCGGTTAAAAAAATAAGACATTTGACTGAGGTAGACACAGATCACTTGGTATATTTTAGTTATTTCCATAATAGGTATAATGGCTTTCTATTTCTGGCTATGGTATTCTACTTTGGGGTTACGCGGGCAATGTAAATACAAAACAGAGCTATTCAAGCAACTATTCAAACAGTTTATAACCTGGGCCCCTTAAGAATTTGTTTCAGAGATGTTGACTATTGATTCTTAGTACATACTTGAAAATGTTATAGCTACAAAAAACATATAAATTGATAAATTTTCAAGACATGGTAAAGTGCATGATATATGAGTAAATACTACGGTACTGGAACAAACATAAAATATTCCTAACCACAAGTAGACTGCGCAGAATAAGTATTTCTTTTATGGGACAATGTATGTTTTACAACAAAATCCCAGAAAACGTTTAAAATGTAATAATTGCTAAATAAAAAAAAATTAAATGTGTTTATTATATTAATGACTATTTAAATGATAACACAATGGAATGGATAATTGATCGCTCCAAGCCTTTCAATTGGACTGCGACGTTTTCACTGTCAAAAAATGGTAAAAAATGGCTCGCGGAGTTTTTATCGCCGTTTCTTCTCAGGTCAGTAGCTTTTCTTTTCTGAACCGGTAGTAGTATTTGGACAATCAATAAGTCAGTGTAATGCTCCTATTGTAAATAAAAATATTTGTATTTGAAGAACTTCGTGGTATAGTTCCCATATCTGACAAAAATTAAAATATTTTTTTCTGCAGAGAACATTATTTCAGAGATTTTGCAACTTAGGTTAGACTCCAATGGACTATCTTGCAACTTCAAAAATCCCGTTTAAAATGGGACTATCTGTTCGAGACTAGTGGTGGGTCTAATGTTTCAGTGGCTTCTTGTGAAAAAAGTTTCTCAAAATCAAAGTTGAAAAATATTACTTAAAATTCGAAATGAGCCAAACGCGACTTACCAACCTTTCTATATTGTCGACTGTAAAAGACTGGGAAAATAAATTTTGATAATGATAATCAAAAATTTCATAATGAAGTCACTTCAGCAGATTTAGTATTTATTTTATTTTGGGGCTGCTCAATATAAAATCGCCTCGGATCAACTCATGCTACATTTTGTTTTATTGTTTAGTTTGTCGCATAGAGCATTTCAATATAGTCACTAGATATATATAAAAAAATAAAAAAAAATTGTAAAAAAATATGTATTCAGTCAATAATTTAAACCATCAAAGAAAGGTACCGTTTTCACAATTTAACCATTAGACGACATTTTTAAAACACTAAATAACAAAGTTGCATATTATTAAATAGTGAGAGTTAATTTGCTTTAATTCGTTCCATTCCCTAGGGTAACTACTATGTTATACAAGATGTGGAATATATTAACATTACAATGAGTAAATATTAGATATTTATTACAAATCTAACACACGAAAAACATAACATATTGAAAATTATGCTTATAATTTGTGCTGTTGCATCTTGGATATTTAAAGCCACTTACAATTATGCATCGGCTGTATAAAACAAGATTCAACGGATGTGAATTTCAAGCACGTTTAATACGTTAATAAAACTAATGGTCATATGTTTGTTAAAGAAAATACATTTTTAACAAAATACAATGGAATGAAACAAAACTAATCTTTATGTAACACAGTTAAAAAAAATAAGGTTTCGCAATCTCGACCAACGGAACTAATTATTAAATAATTTATCAATTTTATATCAAATAAAAAAATTTTTTTAAGACACTATTAGATTTGGGGTATCGGGTTGCTCGGATTCTGGTTAATGTTCTGTAATGTCGGGTGTAGACAAGCGATTCTCAGGGGCTGAGTTAGTTTCAGTGCGCGCGATTCTTTTCGTTCCAGTGCTCCCGACACTAAGGTGTACGCAGTCGTAAACAGTGTTGCAGCCTAAAAAAGTTAACAACCTCTTATTTTCTTCCACTATAATAATTTCGTTAGTATGAATTGATAAGTACAGTCAAGTTATCCATTTGATAAAAGATGGCTGCGCGACTTCTGTGCGTATACCGTCAAGTGCAGATATTGCTTAACAAGATAACTTAATACCTAAAAAAATACTTCAAAAACCCGAATAGCAACGTTATGGTGAGTGTACATGAACATGTAGTGGAAGCGAATTAGAAAGCGACAGATGGGATGCCCCCATCAAACATGAGGAAAATACTCTCCCCGCAACGAGATGGATGAAGTACAGAATAGCATTGAACTTTTACGGACCTGCTGTTAACCTAATATTGAATTATAATAAAAGTATTGGGTCTTTCTGGAAAAGCCCTGGCAAAAATACTGCGTAAAAAGGCAAATGCTGATATGTTGACGTGACTGTGGTAAGGCAACATAACAGTTTTTGCAGTTACACGAATGGGCAGGCTCTTCCAGGGAAATACCAATCTCATAGAACACCAACAGGAAGTGGAAGAATTATACTAATAATTATACGGGGGGCAGCTTTTTAAAGATTGATAACCTATCCGCAACCCCTACTGATACTGTAAATGTTTATAGGCGGCGGTAATCTCAACTTGAGGTGAACGGTCTGCTGAAAAAAAGAGCGTGCCAACTTTACAGATAATAAAAAAAAAACACAAAACAATTTATTTGATTAAAGATCCACAGGCACAGTTTTATAAGAAACTTTACACTAGGAATATTTATATAGCTGGTACAAGTAAAGTAATAATAAAAGTGCACTTGGCAAGTAAAGTCAATTGGTTTGTGCCTACGCAGGGTACTAGAGTACCCGTCACGCATAAACTTTAATGATTTTAGAGTTCTTTATGTAATAACAACAATAACAGTAAAAATAATATTAATACCATCACGATGATGAGAGCCGAGGCGAGGACGCACATCGAGTTAATAAACATTCGAAGCTCGCCAAGCGCTGGGCGTAAGCAACCGATGCCGTGCACCGGACTAACACACTGTTCACCATTCTGAAATAAATAAAATAAAATAAAAATAGCAGCAAGGAAATACGTGTAAAGGAAAGTAAATGAATCACATTCCGACATTTTAATATTTGTATTGAAATTGTCGAAAAGATATTTATAAGGCATCTAAGATTTATATATCTAATTCTCTACCTTGCCATTTAACAATCGACCGCAGCACGAAGGTGGCAGCCCCCTACGGTAACTGTACCAATCCGTGTACGAATGGACGCCACAACACTTCAACTAAAATAAAAAGGTAGAATGTTAAAAACGATATATGCTTAGTCAGGTGTAAGTTTCGCCAATAATTCCTCGGGCGATAACTCGTAAGATGCTTCAGAGAATTTTAACATGATGCCTCGTGAACGTTTGCTGCGTTTCCGTGGTTGGTGGTTTTGCAGCAGTAACCTTCACCTCCAACGCACGCAGATAAAAAACGATCGGAATCAAATGAGAGGGGGTTGGTCAAAAAATCAACGTTTGTTAAACATACGCGATGACATGCATGCGTTAGACTAAACCGTATAACGTACGCAACCGTAATTAGAGCTTACGACTTAAGGACATTTTGCTTAAGTCTTAAGAGTTATCGAGATAGTAAAGTCGGAACTAGAAGAGTCGGAAGTAGAAAAACGAACTTCGTCGGGGAAGTAGAAACGAACTTCGTCGGAACTAGTAGAGTCGGAAGTAGAAACGAACGCGACTTTATTTCAACGTTCCGTATTAATGTGGGTGCGAAAAGAATGGTAAGACGTAAGGCCCTAGATATGATGCGGCATAGATAAGTTTTTTTTCAACTGTTTTTCATAGCATATTTTCATACCTCAATCTGCATAGCGGAAAAGGCTGTTCTGACGGCGGGATCAAACGAGTCGAGCGACAAGGCGCGTAACATGCTCGCGTTAAGCGCGGCCGGCTCACGAACTGCTCGCGACAGCCCTGTCACAGCCGACATACCACACGACAACAACATCATAGACGTTGTTGCTAACAGCATTAACTAAAAATCAAATGAAATCATTTATTCGTGGAAATAAGAAACATACATTTCCTTGAAAATTATCAAGAGTCGTTTTTTTAATTAAAACTACCACCGTTTCTTAATGAGGTTCCTCTAACGGAGAAGAAAGAAACTCCGTTGGTATCCCCTTTTTTGTCATTTTTGATATTTTAGAAATAGCTTTGGAGCGATTATCTCAATTCTGGGGGTTATTTTCATTAATGTATTTATTTATATTATAACCCTTTGTTTTTTTTAATAAATTTCTTAAGCCTGTTAATAGACAGACAACGCTATGACTGAGATTTGTAGAAGCGTATATACTCAATGAGGTAAATACTTATGAAAATTGTCATTAATCTTGTTGAATAAAGAAAAAAATATTCTATTACTAAATACAATTAACATGCGTCAATAGAATAATATTAATGTTATGATTCTAATAAAGATAATTTTAGAGAACGTACCGTAACCAAAATCGATATAGATTTATTGTGGTAGGGCACTAGAGTTGCAAGCCAGCAGGAGGGTAAACAGAGAAAGGCACCCGCGATAAACATTATAGCGGCACCCAGCTCTGCACCAAGGTCCGTTGTCCAAAAGTAATAGGACATCCGCAGTAGACTGAATGCAGTAGAACCGCCAAGGATGGCACCACCGCTCTATTAATTATGTATTTAAATTAGACTCGGTGGCGCATTAACTAAGCTCTTGGGTTTGGCGCCGCGGGCCGTAGATTCAACTCCCACACGGAAAGTATGTTTATGCCCCACAGATAACGTTCCGGGTTTGAGTCTTTGTTCTCTAGATAGGTTGACGTCAGCAAGGCATCCGGTCGTAAAAAAACATAGCCAATATCACTTACATCATAATTCACACGCTGTACAGACTTCCGCTAGGTGGGATAAGGACAGAATGAAGATTCAAAACTATTGACAACATTTTAAAATGCCACGAAGTATACTTAAGCTTACTCCGAACCACCACGCAATTAACTTTCTAAATACAACAAAGGATAATCTTTATACCTAGCTTAGCTAGACTACATCATTTGTCCCTAAAGCTGTTTAACTTGTAAATTAACATAAGTAAATATTCCATCAACATCACCAGTGTATGGTGATCCTACAATGTATCGCCGCTAAAATAATATGATGATATTTTAAAACTCTGTAAGTAATATAATTAAATAAGAAACACTTCCCATTTCAAGTATATTGAAAATTGAAATATATTTTCACACTGCTAAAAACGCAGTTCTGTTACGTATTTGGAATATTGAAATACGATTATACTCACCAGAAGCAATCCAGCGCAAACAAACAAAACCAAACCACTACTTCTCATGATAATGAAGCTAAAATAGATTTCAAATATAATATAACACAACTTTTTATATAAAGTTATCGCTTTATACATATATCCTTATAATTTTCTTTCTTTTACACTATTTTCTACCATTTAATTAACAAAACCAATTTTATATAATCATTTACGTCTTTATGATTATGACAGATATTTGAAATTAGACAAAGAAAATAATTTTTATCGTGACATGTTTACAATCACTTGTTTCTTTCCTTACTAAAAGAGGTGCGTTAGCCTAAAACTTTTTACAGCTTTCAATAATAACATTAAATTAGGATTTGCCGGCGGTTCTATATGATTAAAATTTTATCCTGTGTTAAAACAAAATATATTTTCATTAAACATTAATGTATACTCAATGATGTATAAGAAAATTTTACCCTGTAAATCCAACCAGTCTCACTCTTTCTTTATTGAATGACATGAATAGCTCGTAAGCTATTCCACCGACGTTTCAGTACGTATACTGAAAGCGTTTTCGCTTTCAGTATGTAATTAACCGCTTAAAGTTGAGTTGATTCGCGACACTCAAAAAACGATGTTTATCTGTTACCAGCGTGCTCGGGTTGATTTTCGAACAGCCAAATTTTTTATGAACTTTGGAAATTTATGCAAAAGACATGCATTATAAATCGAAAGCATGCATTTCAGAGAAGAAGCTTGTGCTTTAAAGTGCGCGAGATAATGAATTCGAATTGAAAAAAAAACACTGCTAGATATTTGATGTCGGTAAAATCTAATTTCTTTCGAATAAATATTGATGACACAAGAATAGATCAAAATAAAAAACTATTATTTTCACAGATTTCAATCAATCAACACAATAAGGACATGTTTCATAATCTGTGCGATAGAGGAAAGAAGAATAAACTTCTTTTCACGCGAATGGCACTAAAAACGGATGGAACTAATCAAAAGTGGTCTCAGAACTAATTAAGTAAATTTTATACCCAAATTGATAGTTTTTATTTGCATGCAATACTTGGAAAGGAGTTTTGTTCTCATACATTTTTAGCTAATGGTATGCATTGATTTTATTACGATTAACAAGTGCAATTTAGTTTGTTAGTAAAAAAATTTTGTTACTGGCCTTCAACTCATCAATATATTAATAGTTTGGAACACTTTTGTCATGTATAATTGGAAACACATTTAAAAATTCCACGTTGATATTTGCATCGGATCGAGAATAAGATATAGAAGGGAATTTATTTTCATTACTTTCATGTCAAAATCGCCCCAGCTGTCAATTCGTTGATTGTATTCGTGTATTCATTTACTTACCGCAAATTTGAAAATCGTAGCGGGGTATTTAGGATGGTTAATGCTGTTCATCAGTATTGGCCATAAGTTTATTAAATTTCCAACCGAATCCAACTAAAACAATTAAAACCTCCTCATCCGCCCGGTCAAGGACCCTTTTTAGGTTAAAAGTTAGCAAACTAACAGGTGGCATTTTTATTATCTGAAAATTTCGCTCATGAGCAGACTGTTCACGTGACGTTGTGAATACCGCCACTCATGGACATCTACAACACATGACAGGTTGCAGATGCGTAGTCAACTTTAAAAAGTTGGCCCTCGTTACCTCACTCACTAGTTGAAGTGCGAAAGAATATTACTTTCATTTTACGCCGCTCTTTGAGGTCGAGGTACCTTCCACAATGAGCCTGCCTATTCGTGTAACAGCCAATGCTGCTGTGTGGACCTACCACAGATAGGCCCTTCCTGAAGATATTACATAAACCAATAAGAATAGATAGGTTTTAAAATATAAAAATAATACCTAAAATATATCCTCCACAATATATTTTTATTGCATGTATTTAACTACCATAATAATTACTAATAATTTAAATCAACCACCTGGTGTAATGATTGTACTCAATACTATACATAATTTCTATTTTATTTTTTTAAAGTTTTTAACACTGTAAATCGAAATATTTTTCCGCTTTAAATCGAAATAATTTTATAATTCAATAGAATTATTAAACCTTTCGTGATACACTAACGAACTAAATAAACGGCTGACATAACGTCCAATCACTGTATGTACCGACTAGTTTCGGACTTAGATGTTAACTTAGACTCTTAACGGTGGTAGGGCCACGCAGCAGCCTCTGCTATTGCACGAATGGGCGACCCTTCCGGGTAAGTACCACAACCTCACAGAAGACCAGCGTAAAGTGAAAGTATGACAAATACTTTCGCATTTCGTCTGGTCAGTTAGGTAGCCGGAGCCCAATTTTCAAAAGGTTATCAACGCATCTGCAACCCTCGGGCGTAGCAGATGTCCATGGGCGGCGGTATTCACTTAACTTCAGGTGAACCGTCTACTCGTTTGACAACTTTTCGCATAAAAAAAAACTTAGAAGTTCCCTAAGTTCGCGATTGGGCGCCTGCTCTCAAATGTATTTAGTTTAATCTTATAATTAAGTTTTAAAGATGCCTAACGGCTGGCAATGTGGGCGGACTGTGCTTTAATACCATATGTAAAGTGGAGGCCTTCGCCCAGCAAATAGTGTGCATAGATTCTTACTTCACAGATTCTACTCATCTACCGTTAACGCCATGCATCCCTTACGCGAAAGAGCTTGTGACGAGTTGCTGCAACACCCACTTCTTCGCACACCACCCCCAGAACCCGAAAAGCCAAAGCCACCACGTATCCGCAAACCCAGGGAGTTCAAACTTGTTAGCTAAATTAATTTATGATAATCCGTCCACGTCTTCAGAAAAAACTTTTAATCTTGACGTTGAATATTATTTTTCCTTGCTCATTTCATTGATGAGGACATGTATTTTTATCATGGGCATGTAATTTTTCTATGCAGTATTTTAACTAATTCAATGATAATAACATGTCAAATACAATGCTTTTTAGCCACCCAGATTTCCGCTGTTATCTAAAGATTTCTATGCAAAGTGGTGTAATCATCAAAAAGAGGTAAAATGGCAAAATTTACTTATATTTATTAAAAGGGGAAATTGTCAAAATTTTCTAAAAATGTTTACTTTACTACCATGTTATAAACAGTTACAAATGACAAGGCATAAAGTGGACGACAGTTCTCCTGAATTATTCCCAGAATTGTACCTTAAACCACGTCGATTGGATTACTATGCTCGGCAGTTAGAAGAGAATATGATTGTCAATAAAGAGCTTATAAAGAAAATAAATCTTATACAAAGGACTGGGGTAAGCTATATACAATATTGATGTTTAGTCAGTTGAATCTGATCTGTGCATTTAATAGAACAAATTTTTCACGTGAGATGGTGGCAAGCAAGCAGGCGGTTCACCTTATGTTAAGTGATAAATATTTGCAACCGCGTAGGGTTGCAGATGCGTTGCCACTTAACAATAAAGTGGGCTCCGGTTATACCATTCACCTGTACGTGGTATAACCAGAGATATAATCGGTTCGACGATGCAGAAATATAACATAGCTACTTATCGCCGGCCTTCTATGAATTCGTGGTACTTCCCCGGACGGACCTGCCCATAAGTGCAACAGCAAATACTGTTGCGTTGCCCTACCACAGTTTAAATTTTTTGTTTATTTTTTAATTAATAAATGGACAAAAGAGCACGCGAATCTATCTTATAGGGAGGGAATGACGCCGCCTATAGTCATCTACAACTGGCATGCTGTGGATCTACTTTGCATGCTCCGATTACCTCAGTGAACTATTCCTTCTTTACGCTGGCCTTAGCATTATCTGCTACTCATCTCTACCATAACTGAATAATATTACTGTACTTTTGGTAATAGACGAAATGCCTTGTAACTAAATGAATAATGTTACTACAACTGACGAACAACGCAGGGGTTCGTCGATTGCTGGCTGCGTCCGCAGCCTACGGACACGTACAACAAACTGCTCTGCAAACAGAGGCAGCGCGTGCTCGACGTCATTCGACTGCAAAACTTGCACATCTATTCCCGACTGCTTATTGCCGTTCGTATTACATGAATTCACTTGGTATGGTCCGTCCATACTGGTTATTAATATTCTCCAAGCACTTAGTCTATTTTACATAACCTACCTACATAATATATCCTCGTCTGTTCACGGCTGCTTGTTATCATTTGTAATACGCACATTTATGTTACCAGATGTTAAGAGACTGTCACAACCCATGGCTTTTCAGAAAAGTCGTGCGCTCCAATAGCGTTACCAACCTTTAGAAGCGTAACACACAAGTCGAAATTCATAAGTACAAATTACCTCTACTACGTGTTTTCCATGAATGTAGAAAGCCGACTCTTTAATGCAGCAAAAATCCATGCAAAAAAAATCCTTTTGCCCGTTCGTCACGCCAACACCTAACAGCTACCACATAATCGTATATACCCGTATATTGTTCTCATATTGCTATCAATACTTTTTTCAAAATTAATAATGGAGGCATTATTTTGAAGAATTTTCTCATGATACGAAAAAAACATTTAGAGAAGGTGCGGATAATAGCTCGCAGGTCAATTATTTATATAAAAAAAGGCAAGTGGATTAATTATCCACACAAAGAGAAACATTTTTTACGGATTTATCACGTATACTTAATTTTTAGTTCCCAACGTTTCGAACACTTTACAGCGTTCATGGTCATGTGTATAACAAACTCATTCAAAGGGCTGATGTTATCTGTTTGATGAGATTTCAAATGATACGTTATTTTTTGAACTTAGCTCAAGGGATGAATAAATTGAATGATTCACATTTGAATGATTCACAGGAAAGGCCAGAATTTAATTAAAATTAAAAAGCGGATTTTTTTTGTAGTTTGAATTTACCAAAAGTTTTTTTTTTAATGTAAAAAGTTGTCAAACGAGTAGACGGTTCAACTGATGGTAAGTGAATACCGCCGCCCATGGACATCTGTTACACCCGAGGGTTACAGATGCGTTGACAACAACGTTTTGAAAATTGGGTATCCGGCTACCTCATTCACCAGACGAAACGCGAAAGTATTTGTCATACTTCCACTTTACGCTGGTCTGTCGTGGTACTTACCCGGGCGAGCCTGCACATTCGTGCAACAGCCGAAGCTGCTGCGTGGCCCTACCACCGTAAGTATTACACCGTAAGTTTTAACATATTCGGCAAAATAAACCTATGAATTAACAAAAAGATTTTGCTTATTACAGAGATCAGAACAATTGCTTACGAAGGAATTGGACGAAGCTTGGCAAGACACAAAACACAAGTTAATTTTAGGAGCATCGTGAGTTTAAATTTTAAAATGATATACATTAACACTCACTGTATTTATAAACTTACGTTTTTCCAGGTTACCCTTTATTTTATTTCAAACTGAAAAAATAGACCGTGGTATCAGAGACCCGGCCTTTGACAAACCTTCACATATTAATCGCACCAAGTAAGTGCTCTAATTTTAAATTCAGCAGCATTGGTAACATTTAAGAATTAAAGATACTTAAGTACATACATAGGTTCGGTCGACTCGTTGCGGCCGAGTCGAGTTTTACTCGCTACGATATATAGCAGTTTCACAAACTTACATGTGTTCAGTAACTTTTAAAATCAAATGTCATACATATATCCATAAAACTAAAAATTTATATATAAAGCTTTTTGTTTTACTAAACAACAAGTTTATTTTAAATGACTTTGAAAACAATCTATAATTTTAAACAGACACTGTGCACAGTACTAAATGTGTTTCTTTTTTCACCTGAATGACAATGACTAACATTATTGTAACTCTTCATTGTTTTAGAGTTGCCATGGACATCTGGGTTCGGGGAGGTTCGAAGATGGGAAAAGTTATAATAGAGCTATTCACTGATCTAGCACCTAAAACCTGCAAACTGTTTCTAAACCTTGTGAAAGGTGATGCGAAAGGACGTGCTTATATGGGATGTAGATTATTTAGGTTGCTTGAGTTTTATTTAAGCCTTTTTACACAGCTTTAGATTGTTGTATTGTATAAAAACTCGTGTAAATGCTGGATCCAGTCGTTCATCTTTGTTTACTCGTAACTCTCTGGAATACTAGGCTTTTGCGGAATTGCTAAGACAAATAAAAAATAAGCAATTGACAGTGTGCATTAATTAATGGTCAAAACAATTTCAAATTCAAACTTTTTTTTATTGAATGACACAGATGTTTAAGCCATTTTCTTACATAAACACATATTCAAATTCAAATGTCCATATTCAATATAAGTAGAAGCATTACATTTACTTATTGATTGTCATAAACACTACTACCGATTCAGAAAAAAACGCTATCCCGAGAAGAACCGGCGAAAGAAACTCAGCGGAACAATTTTATACATATAAAATTATTCCTCTTATTCTAGAGTCGTACCGGATCTTTATTGTCGTGGCGGGGACGTCGTTAAAGACAATGGTTTCGGATTCTACTTGCCCGAGGGACAAGCCGAACCCATGCCGGCTGAAAATTATCTACTGAAACACACCGTTCCAGGTAAAGAAATTACGAGTCAAGCTTTTAGATAAAATTACTTCAAATTTCTTTGATCCCGGCACAATTTTTGCATCTATTCGCAATAACTACAGCGCTAAAGGTGCAAGGGTTTATTGTTCCAATATACGGAACCACAATGATGTTCATCCCGAAACTATTTGAATTCAGTCCGAAACTTATACTTTTTGATTTCATCTTTGTGACCCCCTCGACAGAAATGTAGAAATATTTTTTTAAATAAAAAGCATAAAAAGAAGAATGCGCGTATCGTCGACACCTACAATTTCTCTTTATTAATGTGCACTTCATCAATAATTAATAGTGCTCGCGGCCACGCCACAACATCTACTCTTGGATGAAAGGGTTAGCTCGTCCGGGGAAGTTCCATGGCCTCACAGAAACCCTGTGAGAAGAGGAGGCTTTGAGGCATTTCGACTCGTGAGTAAGATAGCCGAGTCTACTTTTAAAACTGGTTTACGTTTTATGTTTTGGTAACTGTTATATGTATATAATAAGCTATTACCTCTCACATAATTGTAACTGAATTGAGCCTTCATCTCTTTTGAGGTCGGATGAAAAGCAGTTTTTTTTAATAAAATTCCTTTATATATAAATAAATCAAAAGCTGAAGACTGGTCAGTGTCTCTATCACACCGAAATAATGAAAAAATACCATTGACGAACTTACTCGTATTTAAAAATATAGAATAATTTTAATTCGATTAAATTGTTTTTTTTTATATGTGACAAGGTGGCAAGCGAACTGGCGGTTCACCTGATGTTAAGTAATGACCGACGCACATTGACATTTACAACACCGTACGGTAGCCGATGCGTTGCCACCTTTTAATAAAGTTTATTTTACACCGTTTACCTCAAACACCGAACGAAACGCGGAAGTATATAACTTACACTTCACGCCGTTCTTTTGTGAGATCCTGGTACTTACCCAGACGGACCTGCCTGTTCGTGCAGCAACGAAGGCTGTGGCGTGGCTCTACCACAGTCGAACTGATGCGAAATTGCACTCTTTTCTTTGTAACTGTTTTCTCAAGGTGTATTATCGATGGTGGTCACCAATGATAATGAAGTGCCTGGGCAGTTCAACATAATTTTCAAACCTTTGCCGCAATTCGATGGGAAGCATGTCGTTTTTGGCAGAGTAAGTTAATAAAATTCCTTCTTGGCAACTTATAGTTTTCCGTCCCATTGTCCGTGGGTTCTATTCTCACAAATAAGCGAATAGTGTGACATACACACAATTCTTCCGGTTCTACATATTTTTATGTATAATTTTTTTTTATATTCAACACATTTTTCAGAAAAGATATGCTTGCATTTACAGGAGCCATTAATTTTGTAAACATGTATATTTCATTAAAATATGTAGAAAATGTATATTTCAATCTGTATTTACCCGCTTAATGCGTAAAGAAAATGACAAGTCATCAAGTGAAAATCTTTGATGCGTCATTTATTTTGTGCTGACTGTAGAATGCAGTTTGTTTCATCTGACTTGTTAATTGTTTTTACATTGTGGCGTCATTTTAAAAATTGCGTGTCTACATTAACGTGGATTTAGTTCGGGAAAATTTTCGTAGTATGATTTTCTACTATTTTTAGTGTAATTTGACATTCAGCAGAGCCTCACTCGGTTTCAATCTGATATTGGCGATGAAGCACCATGCCAGACGACTATTGCCGGTTTGGCGAATTTAAGCGCGGTCGTGTCAATCTCAGTGACGAATTAAACGATGGTCGCCCTTCCACCGCAGCGAATAAGAAAAACATTCCTGTGCTCCGTATGATCGAAACAGACGGGCATGTGATTTGTATGAGACTTGGGCATCCTCAAACATAGCCATGAGTCTAATACAATCAATCCTACACAAACATTTGGGTTTGAGAAAGCTCGCGGTGGATCTCGCAAGTGCGCGGATCTCATCTCAAGCGCGGTCTTGTCAATCTCAGTGACTAATCTCAGGATGGTCGCCCGTCCACCGCTGTGAACAACAAAAACATCGATGCTGTGCGCCGTATGGTCGAAACCGACATGTGACCTATTATGAGATTCGGGCATCCTTATACATAGGCATGAGTCAAATACAATCAATCCTACACACACATTTGAGTGTAAGAAATGCTCGCGGTGGATCCCACACAATTTGACCGAGGCTCAAATAACGGGCCGCTTATGTCCCACACCAAATTTGACGCCCCTTCGTTGAATCCGGTTAAGCATGGAATTGCACCAAGTGACGGGACATAGTAGCAGGTGACGAAACATGACTTTATTATAAATATATATATATATATATATATATATATATATATATATATATATATATAGGTATAGGTCACTACGGAGGAGTGGGACAATCTTTTTCTAAATTGCGCAAAGAGAGAATATTTTGAGAAACGATGAATTATTTTTTGACCTTTAATAGTATTTTTTCTTATTCATTCCAAAAAAATTTAGTGCGTCCCACGTATATATTCTTCTATTATCTAAAACATTCGGTTAAAAGATAAGATTAAAGTAAAACAAAGTAAAGTAAAGCCTATACATGTCCCACAGCTGGGCAAAGGCCTCCTCTATACAGAGGGTATCAGGGCATAGTCCACCACGCGGCCCCACTGCCGATTGGCGGACTTCACATATTTTCGAAATATTTCTTTTGTTAATATTTATAAATAAGTCAGGACTTAAGTTAAAAACTTAATTGGTGCCGGCACCGGGGATCGAACTCTGGTTGCTCAAGTATATTGAATTAAAGGCGAGCGCCCGAACACTGAGCTATCACGGCTCAGCTAGATAAGATTTAATCCTTACTAATATTATAAACGAAAAAGTTTGTATGTTTGGTGGGATGTTTGTTACTCTTTCACACCAATACTACTGAATGGTTCATTAATACTACAGTGTTCCATGTGAATACGGAACAATGAAAAAGTATCCGTTTAAATCTTGCCTTATAGCATTCAAATATTTGAAGCATGTTTAATCTTATAATGTTAAAAGCCATTAAACAAAACTGGCAAAGTGTTAGTCAGACTCGCGCGCGAAGGGTTCCGTACTACATACATCCTTACTAATATTATAAAGGCGAAAGTTTGTATGTATGGATGTTTGTTACTCTTTCACGCAAATACTATGAACGGATTTTAATGAAACTTTACAATAACTTACCTTATACATCAGAATAACTCGGGCTATAATTTATATACATATTTTTATGTATATCTGTCTTTCTGTGTGAATGTTACGCCTTCAGCCTATTCTACGCAGACGTAGTCGCGGGCAGCAGCTGATTAGTCATAATACAATATGATGTACACAAATGCGCTAAAGACTATCCATTTAGGATTTATCAACGCTTTCGCAGCTTTCACAGCCTTTATGGCGTATATTATACATAAGTCCAAGGTTATAGTATATAATACATTAGTACAAATTCTCCACAGATCATATCAGGACCCACACAAACGTTGGAGCGCATCAGCGCCCTAGGGCTCCCGCTTGGCACCACAAGTTCAGACTGCATCATCCGCTCCTGTGGCTGGTTCAAACGAAACGGCCAATACCGTGAAGGAAACCCCAACACCGTTAAGTTTCCATCCAAGAGAAAAAATGCCTAGTGTTTATTTCATATTTGTACGATGTTTGTATTTACAAATAAAACTATTGTTTTTAGCATTCCCCTTTTAGCATTGTGCACCATTCCATATTAAATATTTAAATCTGTTTATACCCACAGTGAAACTTGACTACAAAAGAAATTCTTTGAATTCCTATATAAAAAAAGTTATTAAAATAATGGCATCACTCCTTTTCTTGTCTACTGTGTCCCTCCTCTTTTTGTTCAAGATAAAAAATATAATAGAAACTATGTCACATACAAGAATTATGGGTCAGGAAATAAATATGAATAAACATCGTAAGCTTGTTTCCACATGTATATTAAATAAATTAATAAATGTAATACGAATATGACACCGAAAATCAGCCATCACTAACGATCGTTCATAATTAACGTCAATTCAGTCAATCAAAACAACAAAATAACGGCAATAACTTACGTTACTGTTATATAACATCACTATTGTCACTCAATTTTCACGAACAACCCGCATGAAAACACTAATGCCAGCAACTGGAAAAATCACAGCAAAATTTAAATGTTTTCTATATTTACCAAGTTTGTGTCACAAACATATTAGTTTTGTAAACAATACATATTACATCACAGCATTTGAAATCCTTCGAAGAAGACACGTTTTGGACCCAAAAAAAGAAAATTTCACAAAACTGTGACAAAACAAAACATAGGGTTGAAGAGAATATTCTAAGAGCATTTATGATATTCCAGGTGCAGATTGCAGTTGGTTTTGTACGCTTACGTACTTATTCTTTAACGATAATTGCAATGCACATTTGCAAATTTTAGATGATAATTTAAGAATTATGATTGTAGGATGGTAAAGTTGAAATTAAATAATCTGTACGCAGCTAGTGTAAAAATTCAAGACTCTTTTAAATCTCTTACCATTATGATTGACATTACGATGGCCGTGATACCAACATTCAATGCGTTTTCCCGCAAAAATGTTACAGTTTTTTCGAGACAACCATCAGTGTACATAGTCGTTGGATTCGGGGAGCTCTTGCAATCCAGTCTCTGTTGAATTAAGACATATATAATGCATATTTATATACTGTAAAGATATATTTTAAACGTGAATTTAATAATTCATCAAATGCTCTTCTTAAGGACTCAGTGATACCTTTTTAAGCTATTGCTTTGGCGCCGGGAATCGTGAGTTCGATTCCAACATGGGACAAGAATTTATATGACTCACAGATAATTGTTCCGGATCTGGCTGTTTGTTCCCAAATACCCAGTCAATTAAATTAAAAAAAATATTCACAGATTGTTTCGTACCAGCCTCGGTGGGCCAAGGGGATATGGGTGCAGAGTACTCTTTTTTTAAAACTCGCTCATACTTACACGGGAATTGGAGGCGGATAGATACAATCATTACCATATTAAGCGCAGTACTTCAACTTACCTTCCCAGGGTACACTTCTTTGCAACAGCTCTCAGGTACATTATCGTTCCAGTCGTTATGATTCCTCACCCCGCAGCATTGTAAGAACGTCTGCGTGTCATCCCATGCCTTAGTGTATTCATGCTTAACCCCATAGTACGGTATGGATGCAAACATCTCGCGGTCCAGTGTGGAATGAACCTTCTCGCGAAATACAAACTGCAGGATTCCGCCCACCAGTGCGACCACGAATATAATGAAGACTAGAATGTAATACTGAAAGAATACCGAAAGATATTCAAAAACAGCTTATGAAAGCTACTTGGAAAGACTGATTGGACTAAAGTTAACTTGCACATAAGTAATTATAAAAAAATTGTCTATCCTAGGGCTATCCTATAGGCTAACGGACGTGATAGATTATTTAATACATCATTATCCGTCATTTTTTGCCTCGAGTTGTAAGTAAAGGTCAAGTGTAGTATTGCAGCAATGGTATTTATTTTATAGCGGATGTATTGAACGGCGGATGTAAATTAGCATATCAAGATTAATTCACACCGGAACTCTACAGCAATATCTGCAACAGTAAAGCCCTCAACTGAGTCATATAGAGGTCATGACATTGCATTCGTCTGTATTGTCGACAATGTATGTATACGGCACTAAATATTTTTTCAGAAATTAAATACTTCATATAACTGCAAGTCTATAATTTCCAAAATTGAATTGTTTAATAGGGTGCTCTCCCCTATGCTACCTTTATCTATAGGAATATCACGAAATATAGCCTTGCTCCTATAGAGATATATTTTAAGAATGATTATACATATATTTAAACACACGTTGTATAAAGCAAAGGGTAAAACAATATTTCGGTAAAACTTCTGTATATTTTGTACATAAAACTTTTGAGGAATTAATCTTCTGAGTTTAGTTTTGAGTTAGTTAGATTGTCCAAATCGGCGGAGAGAGTTGAATGTTGGAAACAAGGAAGAACAACTTAAACATAATAGGATCACGCAACCCTGAAGAATGCGCCTGAATGGGCAGGTCCATCCGGGTAAGTTACCATGACCTCATAGAAAATCGCCGTGAATTGGAAGTGTTTCCGCGTTCCGTCTGGTTAGCGGGGAAGCCGGGGCAAATTTTATTAAAAGGTGGCAACGCATATACAAACCTATGGGTGTTGCAAATGCGGCGGTGGTTATCACTTAACATCAAGTAAACTGCCAGCTCGCTTGCCATTTTCTGAGATTAAAAAAAATGATTTTCTAAAATTTTCATATCGGTTGAATTTAGCCGATATTTAATATGAATAATATTAATGAAATTAAATATTGGTTAATTTAACAATGTTATTAATTAATTAATATTTTAATAATGTTATTAATTAAATATCGGTTAATTTAACCGATATTTAATTAATAACACTATTAATAAGTATTCCATTAGTGTTCTCATACCGTGAGCAGCATACATTTAACTTCTTTAGCTGCGCCACAGCATCCCAGCAAGGAGAGTAGTATCATTGCGGCACCTGACACCACGACCACGCCCACTGATGCGATGAACATGTTGTTGCTCATCAGGGTGCTTGAGAAGGAACGGGATACCCACACCCATGTTCCAATTCCCAAGGCGAAAGCGCCGCCCACCTTGAAGGGGACAAATAAAATATAACTTTCTTAACGAACCGTGAGCTCATTGCGTGCGCGCTCGCTTTCAATAGTGAGTTTCTGAGTTCATTCCCCAGTGCCGACACCAATGAAAATATTAATTATAATTTGCTGACTTAACACGCTTAACATGTCGAGGAAACCTGGACGTTTTCGAAATAATCCTTTACTAATACCTTTGCCAAGGAGTGGACAGATATAGGCTGTTATGGCATAGGGTTCTAAAAGTAATAATAATAAATAAATATTTTAGGACACATTTTTTACACAACATTCTCTACCAAACTAAGCAACGCTTGTACTATGGGTACTAGAAAACTGATAGACATACTTAAACATATATATTTTTTTAAATAAATACACATTATACATATATAAACACCCAGACACTAGAAAAACACTATGCTCATCACACAATATTTTTCCAGTAGTGGGGATCGAACCCACACTCTCTGGCGTAGAAGGCAGGTACACTACCGACTACGTCAATCGAGTCGTCGATTGAATAGATTTGGTGTACCTATATTATTATAAATGGGATATATATTATCTTTAGACTAAGGATGCATATTATCTTTAGACTGATCAAGTGTAACCACAAGTTTAATGTAATATTGTTGTACACTTACAAACAATCAAAATGCGAGTGCCATCATATTGAAATAAAGGCTTATTTTTATTATCATATAATATTCTTTTCAAATTATTGCACACTTTATTTATTTTAAAATGCCTTTGATTAATCATCGACCGATGATAACGGTTTTGATACATTTGTATTTGTTTTTTTATCCAGGCGTGTTTATCACAATAACACGCAACACTCAATGCAGCTAAAAAAGCTAAAAAAGCTTCTTAAAATGCATAAATGAATATGGCCGTAAGTAGTGTTTCATAACAAAATGAATGTTTAATTTGAGTCCTTGTATTGTAATCCACAGCCACACCGCTATTCATTCTATTGCCATGAATCTTTAGTGACTTGTAGACGCGTCCGTAGGTTTCTGCGAAAATGCTAATCTAAGATAATAACTAGTGTTTACTTAACTTACAAATATAATAACATTGATCGCAATTAGCGACACCTTCATGCATCTGCCGCAGCTGTCTATTGCGCCGCCCATACCCATGGCTACGCTGAAATCATAAATAATATCTGCAAGTTAATTGTCTAAGTTGTAAGTCTGTTTTAATTTAGTTTTTATGTATTATTTGTCAATTACAAAAATATATTTTAACTATTTATACATTACACGCTGTTAACAATAATCCTCCCTGAAAACCTAATCCTTTTGATTCTTTAAAGATATACCCAATACTATGAGAATACTATGAGAAGTACCTCATGGCAGGCGAACAATTATGAATTATTAAATGTAACATAAAAAAATTACCTAGTTTGCTAAGCAAATACATCAATGACACTTACTTCAAATCAAATTGTTATGAGAATTTAAATTCATTGATACGTACGTACACACTTATTTATAAAACCAATATATTCAGACCATCCTTTTTCGTAATAAATTCAGACACGGCCTCCGCGATCCTTATACAAATTATTGTACTTACCTCCAATGTGCTTCGGAACGTTTTCGTTTAGAATTCATAAATAGATTCAATTTGGATCCCATGATTATTAAGTTTTTAAATTAGTAAAACTAAAAGCGATTACCCATACATCTAATGCCAGGGAAGGTTGAAAGAAGTGACAACTACCTTCAGTATATTCGCTAATGTTAAAAATGTTCTTTATACTAAATGGAATAGTAATATATATAATGATAATAGGTAATTTGTGATATATTAATCATTGGTATAAAAGGTATAATAAAATTAGATACTTGGTACCTATAGTATATATTTATGCATTCATAATTAAATATTTAAACCTATTTTGCTCACCTTTAACTACTATTGGTTCCAAAAGTAGATAAAGGTGAGTTTCAAAGACGCGATCAAATACAGTTAAAAATCCCAAAAAAAGTATGGTTCTCCTCACTGCATAATGAAGTAGTTCTTTTTTTTATATCACCATAGTACATGACATGTTGGTATTTAAGTCATGCGCAGTGCATATATTATGCTCATGCAGCGCAACCTGTGCGGACGCAGCGGACTTATTTCAAGGTGAAGTGGATAACGCAAGGCCCATCTGATCCATTCGCTTGTTGGTGATAGACAATAAGTGAAGTGAAAGTGTACATGCGTAACATTTGAGACGGCGTCATTCAATTTATCAACAAATCGCGAACATAAAACATTCTTCAAAACAATTCACGTTCAACAATTTTAAACGAGTACGTTTAACAAGTGATGATTATATGTTTTTACGAAACTGACATGTTTGTTTGTAAACAATCCATTGGTCTCTTCAATAATTTCGCAGTTCGCTTGAGTCTAACAAGTTACGTTGTTTTTACTTACCGGTTGATTATTGACAAACTATGTACAAGTCGATGCTTAAAACTTTTCACTTAACCATCACACATAAAATTTGCACATATCTTGTATACCTACTGAGTAAAATTACTAAGTTACTTTTCCTATATAAAACGTGTAAGGCGTTCGGCGCGAGAATTGTAACTGGTTTGGAAGACGGGCGAACGCGACGCCCCACCAAAACCCAAGCTATGGGGCAATCTTTAAAGGCAACGTACTTTTTGCTATAGGAATTTTAAAAGCAACTGGGTCAGCTAATGATCAATGGGTAACTTGAGCCTTTAATACCATAACGTCCAGCCGGAATCTAGTAACCGGATTCTAGATTACCAAATAAAGAAACGAAAATGTATACCTCGTTCTTGTACAGCATAAAACACTGCTTCTACATTTTCAAAAATGCTTATGCCTAACTAAATTAATAAAAATACTATGAGTAATGTAATAATAGCAGCAATAAATATATACACGATTAGTAAAAATGACCTATTTAAAATTCTAGAAACAGTGATCTTAAATATAATAAAAAGCTGTATGTGTAACGTTGTATTATGCATAATGTAACAGACGAAAGTAAATTTCTATGTCATTACTTTTTAATTACATAAAAATAATTCATTCATTCATTTCTCACTCTGAATCTCAATGCCTGATCCTACCTAGGTTAGGTCGACACAACATGTGAATGAACATGATTAATGGTATTTACCAAGTTTACTCCGGAATAATTATGTGGGTCACACAAATACTAGTCCCTTGTGGGAATCGAACCCGGCACTGAAGACAATAGCTAGGCAAATGCACAACCGTGTCATCTGAATAAACAGAAAAATATTCATCTCTTTCAGAGGAACTGCTTTTGAACTTGAACTATTTTTATCCACTCATTCACCTTTTGCACAATCTCGTCCATTATTATACTTATCGTCTTTTCATCTCCTTTGGTCTTCATCTATACCCTTTCCCTTACCTCATTTTTCTTTTCTTCTGTTTCTCCATTTCAATTTTCCAAAAATATTATGTTCTTCTAAACCATTGTTCTCTAGAATATTGTTGAGGATGGCTAATGTTTTGGTGCGATCGTGTACGATCAGAGAGAACCCGTATTATGAAGCTTTTGGGAGTTCTTATGTCTTCAAAAAACATGTTTTATCGTTAATCCCACCTACACCTATTTGTACATTATAAAAGGTTATGCCATATGTATATAAATTAACCACCACTCTAGTAGGTCTACGTAGCAGCCTTTGCTGTTGCACGGATAGGCAGGCTCCTCACTCTTAAATAGGTTGGCAATGCATCTACAGCCCAACAGGTGTTTTAGACGTCCAAAGTGTAGTCACTAACATAAGGTTTACCACCTGCTCGGTTGCAAACTATTTACATTAAAATACATAGTATATTGAGTTTTATTCATTGAGAGCGGAACCGTTATAAAGGGTAGATAATTGTTAACCTAGGGATTTTTAAGGGTCAATAAAAAATTGTGTAAGTAACAATATTCGTTAATTTCCAAGCATCCGATGCCATGTCTAGTCGGCAAATCAAAGCACATGAATAACAAGGAGAACATTGCCCCGATACTACATTTTAACTTACATTATGAACCGTGTGTTCATAAGTCATAGCAAAATGTATCAGATTTACACTAAGCTGTCATCAATACAGATAACTCTTGCTCTGCACTTGCAAGTCACAGAAAAGATCGCAAACTTTTTGCCGGTTCTTCTCTGGTCATGTCTAGTTTAGTGAAACAGTGGTAAGTTTTTGACGTTCAATAAAAACTTGAAAAAAGCCTTTAGTTTCAATAAGAATTTTTGACTGACTGTAGTGAGATATCACGTACATTTGTTTTTTCGTTGAACGCGCGATTTCTGCTTTCCGGTGCCTAGCAACGATTCCCCAACCACACAAACACTGTTCTCAATTTTTGAAATTTTTCAAATTTAATTTAACGAAAATAATTTTTCAAATTAAATTAGATTAATCTTTCTTGTATCCAGCGTGTCGTTACCATCGCGACAATAAATGAACACACAAATAGAGGATAACTTTAAAAAAATGTGTTAAACATTTACATTCTTTAAACATCAATATTTACAGACTTATTAAATTTTCTAAAACAAACAATTTTCGAACAGCCTTACGTATAAAACGGTAACGTAAAGTTCATTTGTAAAGGTCATAAAGCATATGAATGGGTTGAATGAATTTGAAAGAAATAAAACATACTGTTAGAAGGAGAGATTTGTAGTACCACGCTACGGCAACGAATGAAAAAGTGTCTGAATGTATGAATCAGTCAGTTGTTATATAGGATGTTACAAATTTTGTTCCTTTTTTATTTAATTAGTTTGAAAAATATTTTTTTTAATGATGGATTTTTTTAACATTTTATATTTTTTCTACGATTATTGGCAAGTAGCGTTAGACGTGTGTTAATTTATTGTCGCGGTTGTAACGACACGCTGTATAAAGACAATAATCTGAAATTTTTAAAATAGGTACTTTGTACTAAAAATACAGGTGATTTTGGGTAGCGCGGTGTTTTAAACTCCACCAAGTATTCATTCCTACTAAAAATCATGAGACACAATTATGGTTGTCACAATTAGCGCGGTTAGTCTTAAACCCCACCAAGTATCCCCAGGGGGCCTTAAAAAATATCACATGATTAATGAACGACCCCTTACCTTCCTCAGTAGTAGCGGAAGCGGTCGTATTTACAGTATAGTATTCATTCTTCCTAAAAATCATGGGACACAATTTTGGTAGTTACAATATTCTGTTGTAAAGAGAAAATAATTCAAACAGCGCGTTATGGATTACATTTTATTTAGCTTTTTGTTAATAAATCGTTACTTCAACAGAAATTATGTATAAATATACCGACAGTTAATAACTTACAAATACGGTGCCAAGCGCAACGGTATTACACTACACACCGTAGAGGTTCGAAATTGAGCTTTGGCTTAAAGGAACATTTTCCATATAACTCAGTAATAAAAAAAAAACTGTACAAAGCCTTTAGCAAATTATTACTTCGAAATTTACACAGGTTTTCAACAAAGTAAATTTTCTGTTACGATGAGAATAAATGAAATCATTGTCTTTGATATCCATTGCTTCATTTCATTTTAACGTCATCTAACATGATCCAACGAAACAAACTTTGAAACAAACGTGTTCCTAAAACTCAAAAACTCTATGAATAATTTGCGGATAAAGCTTCTTGGTTTAGTTTCATTCCCAAGAATAAATTGCCTTAGTCGACTTCCTACATATAATACATAAGAACACATTGCTGCAGTTCCAAAGGACCATTTTAAAATAATATTAATAAATGTAACTATACAGAAATGTCATGACGCGAAGTTGGAACAAATTAGCTTGGTCCATGGTTCCACCTGGACACGTAAATTCTGAATAACATATGGAACTCAATGTAATGATTTTTTTAGATACTAACCCAACTAAAGATTTCGAAATAAGAGCTACAACCATTTCTTAATATGTGAAACAAATACATGGGTATTTTTTATTTTTGCCAATATGAATAATTATGTAATATTTTTTTTTGATAACAAAAGGATCTTCAATTTTAAATTTTCAGACCACAAAGAATAGCAATAACTTAGAATAAAATAACAATTATAAATGAACTTTAGCTGTACCAAACCGCCAAATAAATTATTGGGTAAAGTATTAAAAGTTCTAAACAAAAAACCGAATTCTTTCACATTCGCCTCGTAGGACTAAGAGCGTTGGTAATTCATAAAATTATTCGACAACACAAATGAAGTCTTAACATGATGTATTTATTATGCTATACAGAGGTTAACTAAGGAACAAATACTTTCAAATAATGTATGGACTCTGGACCGTAAATAATAAATTACACACTGCGCTAAAATACAACATATTACACTTATACAAGCTACACACTACGACGCCGGTTACATACAGATCGACAATAAATTATAATATGAGTGTTGGTTTCCTTTAAATGTACTAGAAGTTCAACACTTCATAACGTATTCACTAAATGAGGTCCACGACACTGCGTATACCTCTAAAAATTCACAGAAATAGATTTAATTGAAACCATTGACGGTGTTTATTTTTAGATTTTATTCAATAAAATAATCTCACAGAAAGATCACTTAGATCCCGTTTGACCGTTGCAGAACAGGCAGAGGTAGAATCTAATTAATGTTTGTCGCCGCCAAGCACTTCAATTAACAGCCTAAACTTTTTACTGAACGGCGTCGATCAACAAGCGATTTTAATAGGCATACGGTCAATACGTCTTTGTTGGTCTTGGTTACTAAAGATAGGTATTAGACATTGACTCCATAATACATACTTCAAAATTCTATTTCCAGTAACCCAATCTACAGATTGATAGAATATTGAAACCGGCCATAATACAGCATATAATCAACAGTCTTAACTTCTGCTTAGTTTGAAAAATATAATCGCATTGCACTTCTTTCTTGATTGTTGACCCGTCTTAATGACGTTACCCCGCTTCGCAGAGCTGTTTGATATGTTAAAAGTTCACCTAAATTAACATAACCAGTAAGAAATGAATGAATGTTAAACCATTAAAAAAAAACTTAGATTCGAGTTAGACAATTATAAGTATGAGGGATACTAGAATTTATTAAGGGGTCCAAATGTTACTGAAACAACTGTTTCTACTAAGGTGTTTGATTAAATTAGCTGCCCTGATTCAGCCAGCGGATTCTGTCAGCTAGATACAGACAATTTATTAATGTTACATTTATAGTTGTTACATAAACTGAAATTAATGCTAAATGATTTTTACCAGTTAATATAGTACTCAGTATGAACAACTATTGAATTTAGACATTCAAAAAGATTATCCAAAAAATATTGTTAAGACAAGATAATGATAAGTGAACAAGTTTTATTATGGTACTATATTGACAGAAACATTATATGTGACGAAATTAATGATGCATCAAATTGAATTCGCAGAACATTGCTACGTCTTCAAAAACTTAAAATATATAGGAAACTGTACGCAGCATCGTGACATGTAACATTATTCACTTGAAAAAGCATTTTCTGTTCGATGTCTCCATGAATTAAAATGAAACCGTTGTAACTCTAACCTTCCAATACTATGGCATTTAGTTAGGACAAACTGAAAATTACTACAAATCAAAAATTACACAAATATTAATTTATCCATGTGTAAGATATAGAAATTAAACATTATTTGTATAGTATGGAATAGATGAGGTAATAATAAAAACATAAAACAGCATAAATATACATACATAAATAATACAATATATCCCTCTCAAATGGAAGAAGGCCTTCAACTATGGTCTTATTGGCAGTGCCAGAAAAAGGAAGATTTATAAAAACATAACACAATAAACGTCAACAATATTAGTGCTTCACAATCCCATAATAACTAGCAGACATAAAAGGCAAATAACTGTATACACAATAACAATGTGTACTGAAGAATATTTAAACTAGTAGAAATCTATGTATCATGTGCAACAAACCGCAAATGAATATGCATGTCGCAAAAGGAAATGTATGCACACAAAACTTTGTAATTTTGGGTATAAAGTATTAGTATTTTTTAATATTTAATAAAAGCATTTTTGACATAGTCTTATTCAAAAACCCTAATACTTTAAATCCTTGTCTCAATACAAATAATTAAATGTAGTAAACCATATAAAATAATGTAAGCAACAAATTTTGTAAAACAACAAACAACATTATTTTATTATTAAAATTTGAGAAGGCTAATTTGAAAATTAAGCTTTTAATGTTTTGAAACACTACTCCTTGTTATTATTTAGTTAAATATTAAACAACTAATTATATTTTGCTTACTGGAAAAAATGTTCATGAAACATGTATTGTTATTATTGGCTTTAGTTTAGACTCACTTTGATGTCAAATGAGTGGAATGCATAGCATGAGTGGAGGGGTCAAAAGTATTTGGCACTACTATATCCATATAAAAAGGTTAACAATAAAACAATGTTAACATGGAAAAGAATGCATGAATATTTGATCACTTTAATACATTATGTTACAAAAACCCTGTTAGATCCGAGACTAAATAGAAGTTATAAAATAATAAAGGTTATATATTGAAGACTTTTTAAAAAAATCAACATCTATAATTGTAGATTAATCAATTAATTATAAGAACTTACCATATATGATGCAGCCCATCTCAACTTTATGCTTCAATATCAACAGCATGAAACAATTTTACAAAACAAGCAACAGCATTTACAAAATCTATCTCTATTAAATGCCATATCAACATTGTTGGAAGCAAAATAATAATTAGATACAAATAGAGTTTGGCACAATAAATGTGTGCTAAACCCTTTAAAATTAACTAATCACAAGCTTGACTACAGATCTTCCTAGGTTGCAGTGGTCATTGGAACTTACAACCAAACCCCTTCCTCACAAAATACAAATCACAAGCTATGTCCGACGCTGGTTGGACAGGGTATTTGTCACATACTGTATACTGATCGGTAAGGCCGTAGTAAAGTGGAAAATTAAACGGTAACAGTTATTGGTAAAATTTAAAAACAGAGACATCGACAGCAAAGACTTCAATCAAAAGAGTGCGTGGGGTGGCACGGCGGTCAGCTGGGCGCGGCGAGGGGCGGCGGGACGGGTGCGAACTCCCGCCGCGCCGCGGCGTATCCCTACGGCCTCCGCGGGGCAAACATGCCGCCGCGCGAAACGAACCCGCCGCTGCCGCCCGCCGCTAAAACAACAGATTGTTATCAAAGCGCGCGAATCACAGACCCAGTACGCAATGCCAAACATTTTGGAGAAATAATTATCCTGCCTGGAATTCTTCATAGTGCCGCAACTAATTCACAGTGAATTGAAAATTTCTAGGTAAAGGAAAACATTAATTAAAAACACATAGATACGCTTTTAATAGATACTGGCATAATAAGCAAACTTAATTGAGTTGTTTTTTAAGAAAATGGACCTAAAAATTTCTTGTTCTTCTTCTTGTCTTGCATCGATGCTGCGAATTGCATACAGAAATTAAAACTTTATTTTGTTAATAATTATAATGTCAACTAATAACATATTATCTAGAAAACTACAATCTCTCCAAAAATACTCACGTTGATTAGGAAATGGCAAGCAGTTCGATTTTAAAACTTCTTCATGATTACCATATGCACAAAATTTAACTACTACAGTATTTGCTGATATCCCAGTGATTTCTGCTTCATAGAACTGTGGAAAATAAAATAATTAATATTTTGAAGCAGATTACAGTATTTTTGGGCAGACAATAATAAAAAACAATAAAAAAAACATACATTATTGTCCTCCCAATAAAGAGCAAGGCATCGATCACCAACTTCCCAATTTATGTCAGCAACTCCCAGCATGGCACGTGCTTGTTCATTCACTGCTGCATTTTGAAAACCGAGCAGTGAGCCCGGTAGGAATGGCCCTCCAGGACGCAAGTTATTATATTCTTGAGGCCTCCCACCATACCCATATTGTCGCCCATTATATCCACCTTGTGCTCCACTCATGTAATTAATATTTGCATACATAGGATTCTGTTGGGCGTCAATGTAACCATTAGACTGCTGTTGCTGTTGTCTACGTTGATATGGCTGCTCCTGATACTTCTGAATATCGCTGTTCCTTCTGTATGAAGGATTATCAGGAATATTTTGATTGGGGATATAAGGTTGTTTCATTGAATACATTTGTTCTAGATGCGGTGGATAATTACGAGTCTGAGACATATCTTCAATAGGCCGTGATTGGTTCATAAGCAGATTTAAATTAGCTGTAGCTTCAGTTAAGCTATCAATTACAGAAGGATTATTATGGTAGTTATAGCTTTGATGGATTTTGTTATCATTCATATTTCTATCATGCCGCATATTACGATCATTATATTGATTTTGTTGTGGCATATGATACTGATTGTTGTATTGCATATTTAAATTGACATTGTTAGCATGTTGTTGTTGTTGTTGTTGTTGTTGTTGTTGTTGTTGATGATGCTTATTTTTCTCTTCCAACTTTTTCTGGAATCTTGGTGGTTTCTCATGTTGAGTTTGATATTTTCTATCATCTCTATGAGAACCATGATGATGATTATCATGGGAATAATGACTTCTACCTTCAAACTTATGCCTACTAGCACCATCATATCTTGAGCTATGTGAACGAGAGTGACTTTTTGCACTGCTTCTGTCTCTACATGAATAATTTTTATCAACTCTGTCTTCAATGGTTGTATTGTTCTGCCGATTATTTTTATCCTTATCGGGGACATTGGGTAGTTTATCTTCGAGAAAATCAAATAGTGATACCTTCCCTGATGGTTTAATTGGTATCTGGTGGCTGTCCTCATCACCAGGTTCTTTCTCCCTACGTCCCTTACGTTTAGATTGCTCTGGCTCTTTTTGCTTTTCCTTACTCCTGTTTTCTGAATTATCTCTTTTCTGCAATATCCTGAGAGCTCTGTCTACATTGTTCTTAGTATATTTAAGAGCATTGTCAGCCTGCTCTTCAGAGAATCCGGCGTCAACAATTTTCTGAACATTTGCATCCAAGAGAGGTTTAGTACCTCCACCAAATACCTGAAAATTATGTGTTTAGGACAAATGTGCAACCAATTATCGTCAACGACACAGCACTGTTAATTTCATTATGTAATGCATTAGTTACCTTTTTCACCCCGGACAATCTTTGAGCTTCAGCAATTGCGCCTTTTCTTTGAGCCTCAAACTCTGCATTATCCTGTTTTGCAGCATCTTGCAAGCTCTTAAACTGTTTGTCCATACCAAGTGTTTGTAAGCGTTGACCAAATGGAATCCATGGTGGAGGTCCACCTTCTGCACCAATACCACCTGAAATAAAATATAAATAAATATTTACAGTACATAATATATGTTAAAATAAAAATGAAAATTAATAAGGGTATGAAAGAAATTAAACAAAATGTAATATGAAGTGTTAATAAACAAAGACTAAAAGTTTGTCACTGTTATCTTTTTTTAAATGTTCTTTACTACATTAATATTTCTAATAACATTTTTTAAATAACAATGTTGTATACCTCTCGTATGTTTTGCTAAGCTTCTATTTAACTCCCATTTCTCAATCATGTGAGAAACCTTTCCTCCTAAAATTGATATGACACTTGGAGTAAGCCAGATAATCCCATGACACACTTCAAGTCCTTCATTATTAAGCAACAATTTTGTACCAGGAGGCGTGTTGATACTAAGATTAGGTATGGGACTGGTCTCCAGTCCCGTGCATATTGACTTCCCATCATGAAGTATCAATTTTAACATCCGTGGTGCAGATCCAGAATCTTCATTGGCTTTTGGTGCAGAGACATTTCGTATCTTTTGTATTTGAATAACAATCGGTTTCTCTAGTTTGGAGGGATCTTTAGTAAAATCTTCGGGAAACGCAGCATCACCAATATCACGTAGATCGTACTGTAATATTACAAAATATAAGTTGTTTTTTACATTACAATATTACCGTATTGTTTTTAACATAAACACTGTGTGTATAGTTAAATAGAGAAACTTACATCTAAGGCTTTCCGGCTAATGATATTTACATCTTGTATCTCACCATTTTCGCTAACTGTATCAATACCATCCTGCGTGAGATGCCTGGAAACATCATACACTAATCAGAAATAATAACAGCAGTAAACCATAATGAACGAAAATCTACAACATTTTACTTACCAGCCTAATTCTTTAAGGCTTTCCTGAAGTGACATATTTTTATTTTTATCTAAATTAAACTACGTATTGTGGAAAACCTAATAAATAAAAAACTGATTCGGACACACCATATTCCAATTGTCTATTTGTCAAACTCAAATCCATAAGCAGAAGCACAGACGACGATATATCCTAAACATAAACGGTACCATAAACATTGTTTATGGATCTTTTATCACCCTTCTGGAAAAACAACATAACTGTGACATAACCACACCTCTGCACCATGCCTCCGATGTAATGCTAATATGGAGAACAGGGAATTAAAGAGCTTAGCCAGTTCCGCCAATATAGGTGCGCCTCTTGCTTTCAATAATTCTGATGTAATTCCGTCCTCTCCCGGAGCTTTGTTGTTCGGAATTTGTCTGAGGGCAATGATAATCTCGCCCATGTCGATGTCGGGAACCGTGACGCGAACAGGTGGCGTGTTAGTCTAGCTTTCGAGATCCTCGAATCATCTGTGTTGTGGAATTTAGGTCTCTACAAAACTTTCCGACTTCCGCGAGAACCTCTGACTTACGAGGTGATCCGAGACCAGTGGCCCTGAATGGCGCAGACAAGATTCGAAACGAAGTCATTCACAAGAGAACTAAAGTAACCGACATTGCGCGCAGAAATAACACGAAGGAGTGGAAGTGGGCCATGTCTCCAGACGTATTGATGGTCGCTGGAGCCGCCATGTGTTAGAGTGAACACCATAGTTAGGAAAACATAGTGGGATGGCCTGCAGCACGATGGATTGACGACTTAAGAATCACCCAGGCCAGGATAGCTGGCTCACTTTGGGGGATGCTTACGTTCAGCAGTGGACGGCAATAATCATTATATTGTTATGATGCTTTTGTTTGTGTGCATGATTTGCTGTCCTGCTGGCGGCTTTGACAGTGACAATTTCGTCGGAAGAAGTCGGCATTCACTGCAACTCACAGACTCAGAGGAATAATGTGGCTGGTGCTCGAGGACGATACGATGACTCCGTCCACTCCGCCCACATCTACGACCCTTATTAACGATAGATGGACCAATCGAAAGATCTGATGAAGATGAAGAAAGATACAGAATGGTACTCGTATTTGTCACTTGTATCGTTGTTGGACTGTATATGTGAAACTAGAGTTGTGTAAAACATATGTCGAAATTGATACGAATTCGATGCTTTAAAATAAAAGTTTCGATATTTTTACCCCATCCCTAGCGTCAGGTTAATGACCTCAGACATGTCAAATTACGTCTACTCAATTGATAAGATCTATCTATTTAATCCGTATTAGATTAGAAATCAGGCATTGTACATTTAAATTGGTAATTTTTAGTATTTGTTCATATTCGACACAATAAAATCTATTTTTTTTTTATAACGCAGAATGTCATCGCCGGTAAGTTGAAATTATATCGCAGAACAACGTAATCGCTATGTAGAAAGAAAACATCTGTTTGTTATTCCCTGATGGAGCCATTATACTAAAATTTGAATTTGAATTTGAACATCTGTTTATTACGAGTTTCATACTCAAGAAAGTAATCTTTTCCAGACACACGTTTTTAATGTGGAAATGACCTGTGAAGGCTGCTCAGGAGCAGTGGAAAGAGTTCTTAATAGATTAAAAGGCCAAGGTGTCAATGAAGTGACTATAAGTCTTCCAGAACAAAGAGTTTTAGTGAATTCTTCTTTGAGCGCCGATCAACTGCTTGAAGTAATAAAGAAAACTGGCAAAAAGACAACTTATGTTGGAACTCAATAGTTTTGTGTTATAATTATGCTAAATTATATTTAAGGATACTAAGGCAGGTATTAATGTTATGTTTATGTTTATTAAAAAATTACAGCAAGCGCAGCGTAGGAAGGCCTCCCACAAGGTGGACAGACAACCTAGCCAAGATGGCAGGGACGCATTGGATGCAAGCCGCTAATGACTGATCAAAGTGGAAGTCAATAGGGGAGGCCTATGTTCAGCAGTGGACATCCTACAGCTGATATGATGTGATGATTAAAAAATAATAAAGGTCATGCCCATTATATTTTTGGTAAATGTAAATAACTTTAACATTGTCATAATTCAATTAAAATAAATTTTAAACTAGTAGACAAATATGGTATTTCTTTCCATTAGTTTCTGGGTGTTTTTCACCATAAAAAAATTTTATTCAGTAAAGAAATATCACAAATGAATTAATCAACAAGCAAAATTCGGCAGTCGCTTATATTTTTCGAATAATGAAATAGTATGATTTTCACTATAGAAATCTGCCATTTTTTGAACCTTCACTGAAAATTCCAACATAATCTGAGTCGGATTTGCTCTCTGTCGGTTCTGTGACTGTAAATTAAAAAAAAATCGAACTATCAATATGTGTATGACATCTCCCGCTTCCTATAGTTATCATGTTGGCAGAACTGTGTATTCAGTTTTTGAAGTCAAATTGTTGATTAATTCATTAGTGATTTTTCTCTATTGTTCAAAATGTATTTTAATTGAATTACACCAACATTAAAGTTATTTACATTCGCTATATTTTTTGTTATTTAACAATTTAATATATACCAAAACAGGCACCTTTTTTGCGAAATGCTGTAAATACAAAAATAATTATTCCTTTATATTATGTACAAATGATATATACAATTTTTAGAATACAGTATTTAATATATATTTTATATTAATAAATTGTTTTATTTATTAACTATTTTGAGCAGTTGCAACATCTTCTAGTGTATTTAGCCTTAAGTCCACTAAATCCACAGCTTCATGAAGTGCATTTAGGTGATCAATTATGGCATTTACTGTTGGTAAAACATCTGCACAATCACAGTCTATTTTATTCTTACTTAAAAGTGAATTGTCTTTTTTCAGCTTTTTCATATATGGCTCGTTTTTTGAATTGTGATCAGAAATTATTTTAAAACCACTATTTATTGGAAATGTTCTTTTTCTACCAACCCACTCTATTGTTCCACTAGTGTAACAAATATCAGTATCTTTAAGTTTTATCATCCCAAACAAATCATCATTGTCCCTGTCCACTCCAACAGATATATTTCTTATTGATGGTATGGAGTATGTCCCAGGATTTGGTGGTATACGAGGAATGTGACTCATATGGCCAACACTTAGTGACCTGGATTGTCCAATTTCTGATCTTATGGCCTCGTTTTGAGATGGTTCTCTCACATGGATAAATGGATCTCTTTGAGATGTGACATTTGTTGGATTAGAATTTAGTTGCGAGTTTTGATTAGGTTCTTCATGGAAAGTGCTATTTGCTATTGGTTCTTCTATGTTTGAAGCATCATCAAGGTGAATAAAGGTTACCATAGGATATGTGGAACTGTGATAGCATTGATACCATAACCTTGCACCCTGATGTATAGATGAATTTAATTAATAAGTCAGTAGTCTTAACTATAGCTATCACAATTAATAAAGTAACCTGAAGTAATTGTGCATTTTTTCAATGTTTTTGATTTATTAAATGAATAAACTTTGCATTTTCATCTAAGTAATTTATTATTATAAACCTAAGTTAGATTTTATTTTTAATTTCGACAAGTAGCTTTTAATATTTTAGACAATTCCCATTTACAATAAATACCTAGTCATGTGGTGTAATATGTACTATAGATGAAACCTTAGTGCTCAATACTTCAAAAGTAGGATCCAAGATGTTATTTACATAAAATACGATAAAGTGAGCTAATGCCATCCTGTGCATTAAATAGTATATGATCTCAGCAAGTGTTATATTATTCATTATCATAAAAAGGCAATTACCTACGATATTACCAAGAAACTGAGTTTGATAATTGCCTATAATTATACCCATCGCAGATAAGATTACTACTTGATACTCTACACATGAGAACTTGTAAATGTTATCTGTTTTTGACAACCTTAACTTTTCCTCCAGTCGTAGGAGCAGTGTGAGGGACAGATTTGGACAACATTTGGTTTCCATCTTCATTCTCTTTTGAATCATTAGCAAATTCAGTAAAATTTGTTCTCCATATAAATACCTGCAAAATGTAAATGATTTTCAATAACTTGTAGTCTTAAAGTAAATAATGATAAACAAACAGGTCTTTACCAATTTATCTTCACCAGCTGATGCAAAACTGTTTCCACTCATTGAAAAGCTAACACAATTAATAGGACCACTATGTCCACTTAAAGTAAATATTGGGTGTCCTTCGAGTAAGTCCAGTATCTATACAAAAAAGGATGTATCTTAGCTAACTGTCCTTAGCCAATTTTCTTTAAACTCAAAAATTTATGGTAGGCACATGCAAGAATATACCTTCATTTTTCCATCTTTGCTTGATGTTAATATGTAGCTTCCACTGGGATGAAAAACCAATTGTGTAACTGCATCACTGTGTATGCTGCAAAAAGAATTTTTTGTAATTTATATTACACAATAATTATAAATTTTATGTAACAATATAATAACTATACATAAATCATAAAAATAAAGTGTATGTTTATTTCGATGTGATGCCAAGGTTCAGGACATTGTTATTAGCATATTGCAATTTAAACATTTTTAAACAATAAAGTAAAATCACTAATGCAAAACAATTAAAAAAGTAACTCATTGTGATCAATTCAGGAGTTTAACCATCCTTTTGGCTTGGCAACTTAAATAACATATGTAAAGCCAATTGAAAGCTGATTAGTTGACTTCTACAATGATCAGTTTTTCAGAAACCAGGCATAATGAATTAGTCAACAAGCAGAATTTTCACGTCACTCAGTTTTTGAAAAAAAAAACTGCTTGGAACAAATTTTTCATAAGGAATTTTAGTTAGATTTTCCAACCTATTCCTTAGCAGTATTGTAAGTGGGTCACGCTGAAAGATCTTAGAAAACCATAAAATGGCTCAATGTAGAAAGTTAGTTTAAGTTAATAAAATAATAATAAGAAAGTTAGTTTTAGTGTAAGTTAGCCAATAGTTTTATTGTTGTTCGAAGTAGTCTCTATTCCTGTCTATAAATCATTGCATTCATCACATCTTAGCCACTTTAGGGCTTAGGGCTGGGATTAGGGCTAATAAAGCGAATATCTCGAAATTTCTATCTTTGATTCTTGGGAAAAAACGATAGTCGCAAGATGGTGTATAGCCGATGACATCGCCACCTGCCTTAGTCAATATGCAATTGTTTGTTTAAGCGTTTTCGTGAAGAAGGAGGATCCTGTTTCGTGGACGCTGCTGTCGAATATTTTCCAAGAGACCAAGCAAACAACAGTTAACATACGGGTCATACGGGTCATACGGTCGGCACTAACTATCGTTGAGTACAACTGTCGCGAAATGACCTTTCCGAACAAAGAACAAGGCAATCATCTTTTTCGTTTCTTCTCTCTGATTCTCTAAAAGGAAATTGTCATTTAGTTTCGGGTTTATAGCAATATATGCAGCTTTCATCACCTGTGACGATGTCAAATACGGCATGAGATACACCTCCGTTTAAATTTTCTAACATTTCACGACACCAATCCATATGAAGGCATTTCTAGTCTTCAGTCAAAGTATGGAATGGATGGGAATCCATTTGACACAAAGGTTCCTGATGCCTAAATGGTCATGTAACATCTTTTGTACTTAACTCGTACAAATGCCTGCTCGCTCAAATCTGCTAATAGGTCACTCTCTTATCTTCATCATTCTCTTTCGTCTTTGTCTTATCTTATCTTTCTCTTTCATGCGTGGCACAGTACTGATGTTATCTTCAGATGTCGCTGTTAAAAGACTTTCCTCCCGTAGATCATCACTGAGATAGCTACGCCCACGCTTAAAATAGTTAAAGGCTTCAATATTTAATGCCAATCGAAGGCTATCACAGTTTTGTTGTTAAGTGAAACCACAACGAAAGTCGTAATAAACCATAGACCGAAAATATTCTCGCGTTAAATTCATTTTAAGATGTTGTATCTCTTTGAATTGCCTTCAATTCGCAAAAAAAAATGACATATGAATATTCACTGGCCAATTCTAAAAACTTTCAGTGTCACCCTGGTATGTGCTGACAAGCAATACAAATACCAAATGAATACAAACACACATTAAACTTGTTCTTCTTCTAAGAAGGTACCAATAACACAGTTTATAACAGGTCTTTACTTATAAAATTGGCGTTCCTCAGTCTAGGCAAATAAAATAAAGTTTTTATTGGCTGTGTATTCTAAATTCAAAATCAAATATTTTTGTTTTAAAAACATGAAGTTCTTTTTAAAAAGTCAGTCTTTGTTTACTAGCTTTGTATTTTCGTTACATTTGAACCAATGATGTTTAATAATATAGATGTCGCATGTTCCAATTTGTGTATTTTGAGTGCCTCAATCTCATTGCGCTAGTGTCATATCTACCTCGTATTTGTATATTTTTCTTCATAATGGATACTTTAAAAATCGACTAATTATGGAATTTGAGTTCTGTCGTGGCACAAACGGCTTTTAACATCAACAACTTGTACGGAGAGAATTTACAAACGAACGCAGAACCCGTTATTGGTTTGCCCGGTTCCGTTCTGGAAGTTTTGACTTGAAAAATGTACCTCGTGGTCTTCCGGACACGTTTGCTAACAATGACGAATTAAAAACGACTGTGGAAGCTTATGATACGCAATCTACAGCCGAGCTGGCAGTAGGTTTTGATGTTAGCATCAAAACAATATTGGTCCATTTGCGACAAATTGGCAAGGTAAAAAAACTTGGGTGCCCACAAACGCAACGATCACCAGCGCAACGTACGAGACCACGCGCCACTACCACGCGCTGCTCAACAGGCACAGAAATGAATGAATTTTGAACCAAATTGTTACGTGCAACGAAAAATGGATTCTGTCCGACATTCGAATGCGCTCAGCAAGGTATGTGCTGAACCAGGATTAGATCCTGGTTCAGCACAAATGCAGTGCCCTACACGAAAAATGACTCCTAGAAATGTGATGGTGGTCTAGTGCCAGTATGATTCATTACAGCTTTTTAAAAAACGGCAGGAGCATTATCGCAGATGTAAACTGTGAAGAACTGAAGATAATGATGGAGAAGCTCGCACATCTGCAACCAGCTTTGGTCATTCGGCCGTCCCCGCTGCTCCGTCATAACAACGCGCGACCCCATACTGCACAACAGACAGTCTCTGCAAGAGTTGGGGTACGAAGTTCTCCTTCATCCGCCATACTCACCAGACCTTGCACCAACCGACTATGACTTTTTCTATAATTTAGACAACTTTTAGCGATAAATAATAATAAAAAAATGTTAAATCTTAAGTGCCGAGATTAAGCACTATTAAAAATTTAAATATATTTAATTATTTTGCTGTGGTAGGGCCACGAATGGGCAGGTCCGTCCGGGTGAGTACCACGATCTCACAGAGGAGGTGTGAGACACTTTATTTAAATTTAGCAACGCATTTACAACCCTACGGGTGTTGCAAGCGTCCATAGGCGGCGGCTACTACTTAATATCAGGTGAACCGCCAGCTCGTTTTCCACATAAAAAAATAATCAAAGAATGCACTGCTGTTATCTATGCACTTTTGGCACCTCATAGGTAGTTCATTGATACCTTTACTAAAAAAAACCATGAGGGCGAGAATCAATAAACTCTTTGAAGGCGGTTTGGACTGCCGCATCGGAGTTGAACTTTTCCTTCTAAGCAGTTGTCCGAATTCCGGAAAAAATGGTAATCTGTTGAAGCAAGGCCCGGGGTGTACGGTGTATGTCGCAGACATTCCAATTGCAGCTCATCCAACTTAATGGTTGTTTGTTGCGCAGTGTGTGTGGTCTTGCGTTGTCGTGAAGCAGCAGTGGCCTAAAGCGATTGACCAACCTCAGTTGTTTAGCAGCTAGTTCTTCCTTCATGGTTTGCAGTTGCTGACAATAGATATCTGCCGTAATCTTTTGGCCAAATTTTAGAAAGCTGTAGTGAACGACAACGGCGCTAGTTCACCAAACACTCACAAGTAACTTTTTCTGAATTAATTTTCGTTTAGGGCAGGATTTGGCTGGGTCTCCAGGAATCAGCCATTGCGACGAGCGCTTCCGATTATCGTACAGTATCCACTTTTCATCACAAGTAATGATTCAATTTAAAATCCCTTCATTATTGTGTCGGTTGAGCAAAATAACACAGCAGTCGACGCGTTTGCAAGTTCGATTCATTCAATTCATGAGGTACCCATCGTTCAAGTTTTTTTACTTTCTATATTTGCTTCAAGTGGATTAATACAGTTTTATCACTTACCCCGAAGCCTACAGCAATCTCTGTAGTGCTTTTTGATGTATCCGCTTCAACAATAGCCTTTAATTCTTTATTTTCCACTTTGGTCTCCGGTCATCCACGGGGTTGGTTCTAAAGGTCGAAATTTCCAGAACGATAACGTTGAAACCAAAAAGGTACCGTGCTTTCTTTTGCGACACCAGCGCCGTGCAAACCATTAATCGTTCGAGCTGTTTCTGACTTTCTGCAGCACTGGTGCCACGGTAGAACTCGTACTCGTAAATATACCGAAATTTCATGTTTTCCACTGTGCGGTATAAGTGATGCCAAAAAATAAAATAATGAGGAAGAAATTAATGAATGACTGTTTTCGAAACTCAAATGTACCAGCTAAATGAATTTATAATATTTGAATTTGGAATTCTTTACTAAAGAGGAGGTATTTCAGATCAAAGTGGTCAGTAAGACAAAACGCTAATTTCATATGTAAGGACCTAATATATAAAATTATATAAAAGAATTCTTTTAAAGCAACAACTTTTTATATTGCAATTAAATTACCTGTAATACTGCACAAGATTATGTGTTCTTATGTCATAAACTTTCACATTTCCATGTGAAGTTCCTATAGCTATATAACAACCAGATGGGTGCCAAGATATATACATTCCATAGCCTTTTTGATCTTTATATATATGAATGCACTCTCCAGTGTCAGGATTCCAAAGACGTGTAGTTTTATCATCAGAACACGAGGCTATAACTGATCCATCATGTGACATGCGAGCACATCGAACCCAGTTTGTGTGTCCAACAAACGATGAAATGAATTTGTGCTTTTCACTTGACCACATCTTCACTATTTTATCATCTGATGCTGTTAATATCTAATATATAAAAATGATTCAATCAACCATAACATACAATTTAAATTAAAAACTTACATAATTTATTCTTAAAAATGTAGTAATTTAATATTACCTTTGAGCTATCAGGACTAAACTGAACAGAACGCACTGTTTGTGAATGTGCTTTAAACATGCCAGTGCTCCCCGTAACAGTGGGCACCCACAGCCTGACAGTTTTATCTCGAGAAGCTGAAGCCATATATTTTCCTGAAGGGGAAAATGTTATGTCCATAACAGCTTCATCATGACCTTGGAATCTATAACTTCTCATAGTTCCTCGTAGATCCCATAACTGAAAGTTTAGGTATATTATTTTTTGATGTAAATAAAGAAATAATAAAGGAAAGGGAGTCATGAAACTGTTGACTATTTTTCATATTTTACAATAAATAAGATAAAATGAATATTCATATTTATTAAAGAGAAAAAAATTATACAAATGAAAGAGAAAACATGTTAAATAAAAATAAAGTTTTAAATAATCATAAGCTTTTCATTTTAAAATATTTCAAAACAGATTCAAAAGAATGTATTCATATATATCATGTACTATCTGATATCTGCATCTTCATGTGCATTGCTTATATTAAGAACTACACTGCTTGCTTTTAATAACATGTAGTACTTATGGAAATTGTTTTCTTAAATTTTACATAAAATGAATATTTCAAAATATTTTTTATAAGAAATAAAACTTAAATCTATCCATGAAGAATGATTAAATCTATCCAATACTTTTTTGTAATGTGTGCACAACTGTAGACCTCTATTATTTTATTTATAGAATAAAATGGTTAATATCTTTTTTTTCATTACATAGCTAACTTAAAAATGTATTTAAGTAAATTTTAAGCACAACAATATAATTGAGTTTTTAAAATGTAATTGAGTATCTCTCTTTATTAGATAATAAAAAACTAGTTCAACCATATACGTTTCAGCAAAAAACGTCAGTAATATCATCATCAGTAATAGTATCAGTAGTAATATCTATATAATCACTGATAGCTCAGTGTCCGGGCACTTGCCTTTAATTCAATATACTCGAGCAACCTGAGTTCGATCCCCAGCGCCGGCACCAATGAAGTTTTTAACTTTAAGTGTTGACTTATCACATACTCCGCGGTGAAGGAAAACATTGTCATCAGGAAACCTGCATATTTTCGAAATAATAACAAAAAAAATATATTTCGAAGATATGTGAAGTCTGCCAATCCGCAGTGGGGCCGCGTGGTGGACTATGCCCTGATACCCTCTGTATAGAGGAGGCCTTTGCCCAGCAGTGAGACATGTATAGGCTGTTACTTTTTACTTTTATCTATATAATAGCATCAGTATCGGAAACCATATCAGGAAACCTATTTATTTATCATTATTCCGTTTGTGTATGCAAAGTTTAAATTATTATAAAGACGTCAGATATAAAAGTGTACCAAAACGCTATGATCCAAGGAACTTGAAGCAATTTGTTGACCGTTTGGATTGTAAAATAGAGATGTTATTGCACCTCGATGGCCTTTTAACTGTTTTTCTAAAGAAGGATCGGGTGAATTCGACTTGTATTCCATTCCGTGATTAATATAAAACACAACACAAAAAATAGTGAAAATGACTACTGCCAAGAGCTTTTAAATTCTAAAGTGTTAGTAAATATATCAATAGCAAACATTTAAACAATCTCTTGTGGTTAAGAACACGACGTTTATCAAATCAAGAAAATTCAAACTAGTAAGTAAATTAACCGCTGCAACTGTCAATATATTTTGTTTGTTTTGCTGTCATTATGATTACAATTTACATATTTTGTCAACTGTCTAATGTCTAACCTATTGGGTGATGTACAAACCAGAGACTATTTTTGTAGGCCCGATATTTTGCTTCACGTAGGTAGATTTCCAGGCGGCTGTTTTATTATCTCTAGATAGGTTTTAGGATCAACCGCGATTCAAGTCGAATTTCAAACATCCATCTGGCCACCTTAAAAGTTAAAATATCCATATCGGTACATTTTTGATTTGTTAGTGATCTGTTTTGTTTTGTTTGTAACGACGTCAAATAACAGAAGTGTGGCGTGGGAATTCTTTGCTATAAAAACAGAAACTTTTTTTAACTTTATTTTCGATAAGCAATCGACTATGTACAATTACATTTTATAAGTACAACTTTGAGGCGATAGATGGCGGTATTTTTTTGTCGTATTTTCTTAAACACGATGTTGAGATCTGCGCTGGAATAATATACCCTTTGTTGATTGATTTTCGAAATAAAATGCACACTAGTGCCAATTGATTGTAAATTTTGTCTTTGAAATCCCAACCGTCGGACACTGTTCGAGGTCGAAGCGTATAGAAAAAGGAGAGGATTAGTTCAGACCACAAACGAAGTTGCGAATCGACTCGAGTAGCCACAAACATCACGATTCAACATCATTATTACTTCCTATATCATTATTACTCGTGCTCTCCGAGTTGGCCGAGTCGTAATATAAAAAAAAATATCATTATTTCGATATCCCTGCAGTGGAGCGCACGTCGTCATATGTGTTAATAGCAACTCTACCATATCTGTGGTCGTCAAGGTTTTGTGGTCCAATACCAGCTAGGTAGGCATGTGATATACCTGCAACATCCTGGGTACAGAATGTTGCAGGTATATCACAAAGGTACGATTATCGCCGTATACTCGGTGCTAAAATCCAGTATCAAAATACCTATAGGTATTTGGTATGTTCAGGCCACCTATTGGAGACTCGTTCGATTCGAACCTTTGGAAGATATAGATGTTTTTGAAGTGAAACTTCTTTATCGGGGGGGAGTGCGGTGTGTGTTGGTGTGTTTCTTGAGTTTTTTGATCCTTTCGATGGCGATAGTCGTCTCATCGTCAGGGAAGTCGAGAACGTGACGCGGTCTTCGGTAATCGCGGCGGAAAATATTTAGCGGCAAGGGCCTGTAGGTGACGGCACCTACGATAAGTGGGTTGGGAAGCGCGGCGGCGGAATCGAAATATCGGCGCGACGCCGACTTCAGGAATTGCGCGATGGTGGGCAATTCTAGATCGACATGTAGGTCGATATTGCGCATGAACCAGGGTGCTCCCGTGGCTCTGCGCAAGAATCGATTTTGAATCACCTGAAGCCGGTGTATTTGCTTCGGAGCAATGTGAGCGAAGACGGGGCTCGCGTACGTCATGATAGGGCAAACTACTGCCTTATATAAGGTCACCTTGTTCCGAAGGGACATTTTAGACGTTTTATTGAGGAGCGGGTAGAGGCGACCGAGTACGAAGGCCGCCCGGTTCCTTACCTGGGTCACGTGCTGGGTGAATTTAAGCTGGGAGTCGAGGACGACGCCTAGATATTTGACTTTATTAACCCATGGTACTGGGCTGTCCAAGTGTTTAACGGGGGGTGGTATGGGTATGTTCTTTTTGTGCGCGAAAAGGACGACCGCGCTTTTGGCGGGATTGATTTCGATCCTCCATTGCCGAAACCAGTCACCGATGGTGATGGCCGCAGCTTGGAGGCGTCGATGGATCAATTCGGGTGTTCTGCCTGTGGTATAGATACAGGTGTCGTCGGCAAAGAGAGCAAGTTCTACATCTTTGACACGCGGCATGTCATTGGTGTAGAGGGTGAACAAGACTGGGCCCAACACCGACCCTTGGGGCACCCCGGCTCGAACGGGATGCGTAGTCGAACACACGCCCTCGACGCGATAGCGAAAGGTTCGATTCGTTAGGAAGTCTCGTATTATGCATACGAGACGGTCAGGCACTCCGTACCCGTATAGCTTGTATACGAGCCCGTTGTGCCAGACTTTGTCGACGACTTGTCCAGGAAGAGTGCACCGGTGTTGAGTCCACGTTGGCGTTTGGTTAAAATGTGCTCCGTGATGCGGTGCACTTGGTGGATACATGAGTGTTTGGCTCTGAATCCAAACTGCTCTGGGATGGGTAGCCCTTTGGTGTCCATAAGGGATCTTAAGCGGGCTAATATTAGTCTTTCAAAGATCTTCCCAAATGTTTTGAGAAGACTTATTGGACAATATGAGATTGGGAGAGTGGCGGGTTTAGAGAGTTTGAGGAACCCTATGACATCGGCTTCCTTCCATTCGGATGGGAAGAAGCCTTCGGTTAAGGCCGCGTTGTAAATTATTACTAGTATCTGAAGGATGCTAGTAGGGAGGAGCTTGGTCACCTTATTGGTGATTCCATCTGAGCCTGGTGCTTTACGGGGGCGTAGTTTTTTAATGGTCTCTACTAGTTCTAGGCACGTGACCGGGGGAACGGGATCGCGGAGTGGCTCTACAGCTTTTTCCTTTCTACCTCTTCGTTCACCTTGCGGAGGTGTTCGGGGTCGATCGGAAGCAGACTGGGGGAGCATTGAGACTCTAGGCTGTCAGCCAGGCATTCGGCCTTCTCTTCGTCCAGCATTGCTGGCGTACCTATCGGACGGACTAGTGGCGGCATGGTTGTTATGCCGTTACCCTTGAGGGCTTTGGGAAGTTTCCAGAAAGCTACGTGGGATGGTTTTACTGAAGTTAGGGTGGAGTCCCATCGTTCGTTTCGTGAGTCTGCTATGCGTGTTTTGACCTCACGCTGCAATTTACGTAGCAGTCTACGATTCGAGTCGGTGGGATATCTACCATAGGCTCGAGTGGCCGCATTCTTGCGTCTCAGCAAGTCTCGCACATCGTCTGGCAGGGCCCAGCGATGGTCTTCCATCGCTGGGACCTGTCTCGAGCATTGCTCGACGACGATGTTGACGTGGCTTGTGAGGGCTCGAATTGCGGTTTCCGTGTCCTGTTTGGTATTCAATTCTCTAGGGTAGAAGTGGGCGATACAAATCGTATCAGATATGAAAACTAGATATTAGTACAATATCCCAATATCGCTTACTGGCTCGTTCAATATCTATGTATTTTACAATATCTGATATTTCCGAAATCTGATGTACCGTGCTCGCTCGCTATACCGACACGAATCGCGATACGGCGATATCATACGCGTTTGCCACAATATCTGATTTTTAAACAGATTTCGAGAGACAAAGCGCGTGAGATACAAATACTCACTAGTTAGAGCGGGACGGCAAGCAATGCACGATATCAGATATCGAGCGACAAAGCGCGTGAGATATAAATACTTACTAGTTAGAGTGGGACGGCAAGCAATGCACGATATCAGATATCGAGCGACAAAGCGCGTGAGATATAAATACTTACTAGTTAGAGTGGGACGGCAAGCAATGCACGATATCAGATATTGAGCGACAAAGCGCGTGAGATATAAATACTTACTAGTTAGAGTGGGACGGCAAGCAATGCACGATATCAGATATCGAGCGACAAAGCGCGTGAGATATAAATACTTACTAGTTAGAGTGGGACAGCAAGCAATGCACGATATCAGATATCGAGCGACAAAGCGCGTGAGATATAAATACTTACTAGTTAGAGTGGGACGGCAAGCAATGCACGATATCAGATATCGAGCGACAAAGCGCGTGAGATATAAATACTTACTAGTTAGAGTGGGACAGCAAGCAATGCACGATATCAGATATTGAGCGACAAAGCGCGTGAGATATAAATACTTACTAGTTAGAGTGGGACGGCAAGCAATGCACGATATCAGATATCGAGCGACAAAGCGCGTGAGATATAAATACTTACTAGTTAGAGTGGGACAGCAAGCAATGCACGATATCAGATATTGAGCGACAAAGCGCGTGAGATATAAATACTTACTAGTTAGAGTGGGACGGCAAGCAATGCACGATATCAGATATCGAGCGACAAAGCGCGTGAGATATAAATACTTACTAGTTAGAGTGGGACGGCAAGCAATGCACGATATCAGATATCGAGCGACAAAGCGCGTGAGATATAAATACTTACTAGTTAGAGTGGGACAGCAAGCAATGCACGATATCAGATATCGAGCGACAAAGCGCGTGAGATATAAATACTTACTAGTTAGAGTGGGACGGCAAGCAATGCACGATATCAGATATCGAGCGACAAAGCGCGTGAGATATAAATACTTACTAGTTAGAGTGGGACGGCAAGCAATGCACGATATCAGATATCGAGCGACAAAGCGCGTGAGATATAAACTCTTACTAGTTAGAGTGGGACGGCAAGCAATGCACGATATCAGATTTTTAAACAGATATTATGAATAAGTTAAGTAATTTTGAATCTTAACACCATGCAAATAAGATCCGTTACATTTAAATACTAATCTTGGTATCAGCGATTACTACAACGATATTATTATATTTTTATTGTTTTGTCTAGCCTTGAGCCGTAACGGGCGACAAAGCGCGCAGTTAAGTAATTTTGAATCTTAACAGCATGGAAAAAAAACTCTGTTGCATTTAAATACGAATTACGGTATTAACGATGTCTTTGAAATTTTGTTCAGCCTTGAGCTGGATTGCATTGGTACTTAACACGTAATAGTAAGGGATGCCAACTAACTACTTAAGAATTTTCTGCCTAAATTAAGGAAGAAAAATATACAATGTAAATTTTTTAGGAGGTAAATTTTTTGTGAATATTTTTATTAGCTGAATTTTATTCATATTTTTGGAAAAAAATAAAAGTACACAAAAAGAAAAATATAATTTAATAGTGCTGTGCTGCTTTGGTGGAAATCAGACCAAGGCTTATGTGCCTTGTGTGTATATTTTAAATTCTTCCGCCCTAAGCTATAATACTGAATGTATTATTTCTTACACAAATAATAAAAATATTGCCACTCGATTGCGTGTTCTAAAAATATGTTAAAGTCAATTATTAAGCGGTATATAAGATGTTAAAATAAATCATTTTTATATTACTTCAATTTATATTTTTAATAATTTTTTTTTTTTTTTTTTAGAATTCTATTAATCAACGTGGATAGGGAACCGTAAAATATCTAGATATTAAAATACATAGTTTCGAAATCTGATATTTGAAATCGATATCGGATTCAGATACGGTACTCAGAAAAAGCGATACGACCCATCCCTACTCTAGGGATTGACTCTAGTTGTGGAGTATTAGGTTCGTTAACTTTAGATTTGATTTTATGCCAGCTGATGACAGTTTTGGTTAGGGGAGCGGCTGTTGCTGAAGGCCCTAGCCGGAGGAGAACTGGTCGGTGATCGAAGTGATTTTAATCAACAATTTTTGCGGACCCTCATACTAATTACAACGGTCAAACCATAGTGTGTTTTAATTTACTACTATCGCCACCTATGTATTACAAATAAGAAACTAAATATTATACAAAGCTAAAATGAAATAATACAATTATTTCATTTGAATTTGAAATCATATTGAATTTGTATTTATGTCTATGATAATAAAAGCCTTTTATTAAACTTTATCTAATTTAACTTTATTTAACCAATTTCTGTAAAGTTGCATTTAGTAAATTATTTATTGAAAAATAACGTCATAAAAAAGTTTCACTTCTTACGAGTGTACGCTAGTACACGCACACATTTTTTTTTTTTTTTTAGCAATCAGTTTTTTGAAATTGAGATTTATTCAGTCTAAAATAAGCTCTATCTTTAATAGCGTAAAGAACCTTATTACCAAAAAAAAAGTTATTCCAAATAAATATTACTGTTTAAAATTATTTACAGATAAATAATTGCGTAAGGTAGACTACTCTAGACCTAATGGGCATAGAAATAAAGAATAAATTTATCTCAACGAATTACTTGGTATAAAATGCCACGGGTCGGTGGTCGAGCGCGAATGTTATGAAATACCGCCACCATGTGACGAGGCGGCACTAGGTCCGCGTACTCGCGAGCGATATCGACAATACCGGGTCCGGAACGGGTCTTTGCCGTATATACCCGGTCTGCGTACTGGTACGCCACATCATATACCTACACGCCTCATTTCTACAGCTACGTTTTTTCTTGAACTTCATAAAACTGTCAAAGCCTTCGGTTTGGAGTACTTTAATATATTGTTGCCATACTGAATAAAACAGTTTCAAAATGTTATACAGCGTGTCGTTACCATCGCGACAATAAATGAACACACGTCTAACCCTACTTGCCAATAATCATTAAAAATGTTAAAGTTAAACAAAATCCATAATTAAAAAGATATTTTTCAATCAAACTAATTAAGTAAAAAAGAAACAAAATTTGTAAAATCTTATACTACTCACGCCACAGCGTCGCATTACAACAGTATGTTTTGTCTCTTTTAAATTCATTCAACCCATTCATATGCTTTGTGACCTTTACAAATGAACTTTACGTTACAGTTTTATACGTAAGGCTGTTCTAAAATTCTTTATTTTTGAAAATTTAATAACTCTGTAAATATTGATGTATAAAGAATGTAAATGTTTAATACAATTTTAAAAAGTTATCCCCTATATGTGTTCATTTATTGTCGCGATTGTAAAGACATATACATAGACTGTATATAACAACAGAAAGGCCAAAAATCCTAAGGTATCATCTTATCCTTTAAACGAGCAGTTCTTGTCTTTAGTTTGTGCGTAGATTCGGTGGCGAAAAATTGATCTAGCTAGGTTTCATTTTTAGAAAATGTCCTTTTATCCCAGTTTTCAGGGAAAGAAAAATATCATTCGAATACGACGGTAAATTTCGCCGCAAAAAAAAATGTTATAACACCGTTGGTAATTGGGCGGCCCCGAAACAGAAGGCCGTGGTTCGTGTCACGATCATTTACACATTTATTTTTTTACTTTTTTTTCGATTCCAGATCATTGCTTTCTTTATTTTTAATTTTTTGTCGATTTGTTATTTTGTTATTTTTTCCCTTTTTTTTTTTAAAGTTCTTTCTTTTGTGAAAATATCAGTTCATGTTTTCTTATTATTACGTCGGTAAGATCGAAAAATATTATGCATATTTCATTACTCAGTAATTTGTATCTAAATGTAATTTCCAAAACACACGATTTACCAAAAAAAAAAACAAACCGAGCAAAGCTCGGTCCTCCGGGTACTTACATTTTAAAATCATTAACTTTAAAATGTTATTCGAATACCATTTATATGTGTATCTTTGAATTAAAACTGGTTGCAAAAGTTTTAGTAACTACATAAATGACAAAAGAAAAAATAATTGCTTATGTATAAATAATAGTGATGTGGAAAGTGAAGAAATATATCGATGTTTATAAAAATATCAATTTCTGCCTCGATATATCGAAGAGAAAATATCGATATTTTCTCTTTAGGCCCGTAGTCCAAAAAAGAAAATTATATCAAGTAATAAAAATTCTACTCCGTGCAGGATTTGAATTTGAAAAAATATCGTTTTTGATTCGATTTTGAAATTGAATGTTTTGAATATATCGGATCCAAATATACGGGCTAAAAATTTTTAATTTTTAATATCGATATATCGATATTTTATCCACATCTCTAGTTCAGAACAGCAGAACTTTATCAAACTTTTCAGTCAGAACGACACGAGGTATTTCTTATGTTTGAGTCGTTTTTTTTTTAGATTATTGCATGAATTTGCTCTCCCTAAATTTTATTGACGGTTTGAAAACATTTGTAAAACTCGTGTATTACAATTTATTACTCATTGTAGCATAATTGACTAATTTTACTAAATACTTTAATGTACATCACCGGGTGCATGCCATTAAAATATTTGAAATAATGGGTATGGTTTATCTCACTTTGGCATAAAATTGTATTGTTTTTTCAGAACTTTTGTAACAGAAGAAGTATGAAGTGAATTAGTATCCTATGGGGATTTTATTACTTAGAAGAGTAGGTAAGTTAAGTGTATACGTCTTTCAGATCAAAACAATAAATATGTTATTACTCAAAACAATAACTTCTTATAGTCATCATTACATTCAATTACATAAATGTCAACATTGACCGCCTTTTACACCAAAAAAATTACACAATTTTTTAATGTTAACTTTTCCAAAATAGCAAACAAGAGCTACAATGAATGTGGGAGCAGTGAGTGATGTTGCTGGGGAGGTGTCCCTTATTGCTGATGAATTAAGCCGAGCTGTTGAACTTACGCTTAATCCTGCTGTATCACATGATGCTAGAAGCCAAGCCTATAATGCCTGTGAAAGGTAACATCTACTTTTGTACTTTAAAATTGATATATGCATTACTAAGTTTACATTCAACATTCTTACCACATATTGTTAAAATGCTGTGAAGTATTTTAATATATTTTATTATATACTTGAAATATTTTTATTTTCTCAAGCACTAGTACTTGCATAATATTTATACATAATAATGTAATTTATATATTTTCTCATTCAATGAAATTTATTATCTATTAAAAATTCATTATTAAAATAAACTGTTTTGCTGTTATTAATTTCAAAAATAATAATTTTCATAATACTTTCACATATGTCATTCCAAAATTGGTTGGCAATAATTAAAATATAGTGCAGACCTGTGGAAATACCTGTGGAAGTCGATGGAAGCAGGCCTCTCAGGATCATACTTTGTGGCAGTTTGTAGAGGAAGGCTTATATTCAGCTTTGTACTGTATCAGGCTGAAATGATGAATAAATAACCTGTATACTTTTTCAAAATTTTAGTTTTAAAGAAAATTCTCCATGGTGCGCTCAAGCTGGGCTGCTTTTGGCCAGTGGAAGCCAATACTCAGCTGTTGTCAAACATTTTGGTCTGCAATTAATGGAACATACAGTAAAATATAGATGGACACAGATCACACAAGCTGAAAAAATTTTTATTAAGGTTAGTATAACACAAAACTTATTGACACTCTACAGCCTGTATAAATATTATTAGTTATTTAATTTCATTCAGTTTCTTGCATATGTCTTCTATTTCTATGAATATAAATAATATGAGTATTTTCTTACTTTCAGGAAAATGCTATGAAGCTTTTATATATGGGTGGATGGGAAACAGGACATTTGAATGATGCATTAGCAAGAGTTATAGTAGAAATGATAAAACGTGAGTGGCCTCAACAGTGGCCTACGTTACTTGCAGAGCTAAGTGATGCTTGTGGTCATGGACATTTACATACAATTATTGTGCTCCATGTGTTTTTGCGCCTTGTAGAAGATGTTGCTACTTTACAGGTGAACACAGAAGATTTAGAACATTTATCATTCAATTTTACTGTTTCCATACAGTGCAAAACAACATCAAAAATAAGTCCTTTTTAGAGCAGCAGTATTTAAGTTAACACTTCATTAGAAAAAACTATCTTGTAAAATCTATGGTAATTTCGAACATTATCATATCAACTTTTATTATAATAATGATAACTTTATTCTGAAGAACAGTAATCACATTTTAATTTATTTCTGACCAACACTGTCCTATAGTGGTTAGTTCTTGATAATTTACAGTATTATGTGGATGGAAAAGTTTGACTTCATTGCAATAATTATGTTTAAAAAAATTTATGTCATAATCTAAACAATTGCCATACCAATTAATAATAAAATAAATGACATATGAGAGTTCTCCAATTTATTTTCATCTTTTAAGAATGTAAATAGGTAATTAATGCGAATATATCAAAACCATTAATATGATATTAAACTGTTAGCAATGACATTTCATTTTTATTTATGTATAATCAATACATATATTTCTTATACTCAGACATTAGAGCAACACCAACGTCGCAAAGACATTTATCAAGCATTGACTAGCAACATGGCTGAGATATTTGCGTTCTTTATGCGTCTCATTGAGCTTCATGTTCAAGAATTTCGAGAGAAAACAACTGCTGGTGATTATTCAGCAGCAGCTAGCAATGGCCGTGTTGTGCAGGTACGGATAAGGATAATATTGAAGCTAGGCATTAAGATCTTTCTCAACAGAAAATAGATGTCTAGAAAAATATTCGCTGGGAGTTCTAAACAATCTGTGTATAGAATATATATGAGTAATTAAACCAAAAAAACATACTTTTCTTATAGATTTTATAATTGTTTTATTTTAATTTTGCTAGGTAGTGTTACTAACTCTAACCGGTTTCGTGGAATGGGTTTCTACAAATCATGTGGTGATGAATAATGGTCGCCTGCTGCAAATCTTATGCATTTTGCTGCAAGATGATTCGTTTCAATTGTCGGCTGCTGAGTGCCTGTTGCAAGTTGTAAACAGGAAAGGTTCTGTAAGTGATATGATTAGTATATTTTCATTATTTGGATTTAAAAAATGTTTGTTATTATTTAAGCTTTCATGGAAATAACCAATTATTGACATGCTTAGTGGTTGTACTTTGATTTCATTATCAGATATGATTTATATAAATTATAAGATCTCCAAGAATTTATTCCAAATAGTGCTACTAATGTTACAAGATCACCGACATCATGTAAATTTAGATTATTTAAAGGTGATTTGATTTGAAGTAAAGATTAATCCATTTATTACAAAATATTTCAGACCAAGGAGCGTAAGCCATTAATGATACTGTTCAGTGATGATGCAATCACATGCATTCACCGGGCTGCAGTAGCTAGCATTAGTACTGTAGATGAGAAACAATATTTGTTTTTGAAGAAGCTCTCACAGGTATGTAACCATTATATATTTATTTATTAGTTTTTATGTATGTTAACCAGAATATTTTTTGTCTACCATAGTGTATACTAAATTCTATTAAAAGTTAAAATTGTGTAGTAGTAGAATGTGGTATTTCAAAAATAGGTGTAGAATGGTTACATTAACACTCTGAGTTGAAAAATTTTATAGTCCAATATAGCATGGAGAATAATAAACAACTTTAAACAATTACCTATATAATTTTGCCACTTAATAACTCTTTATATAAACAAATATATCAAATTGAAGTGTTTATTGTATCACAATTAAAAATACATTTGATAAATGTATTTTACAAGTTGATATACTTAATTTTATGCCAATACCATCCACACCAATTTGCAAGAAATTATCACTTATTACTTTTATGGTTAATTAAAATGTAGTAGTTTGGGAATTTCAATTAGTCTTAACTTTTATCTTTAAATTTATTAATTGACTGCTCTAGTGGAAGAAATCATTCAAATATAATATATTTAATAATATTAAAACTAAAATATCTCACCAAACTCTAGGTGCCGAACTCGAATGCCCGTTTTCACAATTGATCCCTAACTTTAAGAGACCACCTAAAAACATTTAAGAGCTAGTTTCGTTTTCACCACTGCTTAAGCGTCACCGAAAGTCTTAAGCGGTATCTTAAAAATAAGGGCTCGATCTTGGGCCTTTTAGTGCTAAGAGACAGTTTATCTTTGTGATCACATCCATATAGTTTGTGTCTAGTTTTGATGATATTGCTTCATACTTTTTTAGCAATCAAAATTTTTAACATGGGAACAAAATGGGAAAAACATTAAAAAATGTAATTTCAGCTATAGAAATAAAAAACATTTTTTTAAAGTTTATTATTGTGTATTTATTTTCGTGTGTTAAAACTTAAAACTAAAAATATGATGTACTGATTAAAAATCTGTCACCTAGCTATCGGTGAAAATGATTTTAGGTGATATATAATCAGTGTCTGTTTGTAATATTAAAATAACCACTTTTTCTGCATACGGCTGGACCGATTTTAATGGAATTTTCACTGGCTGATAGCTGATGTAATAAAGGGGTAACTTGTCTACTTTTATTTTAGAAATGTTATTTATTTTAAATTCCACGCGGACGAAGGAGCGGGCACAGCTAATATAAATACAGGGAGGCTTTTCTAAATGTATCCATTTATTTTTCTTAAATTCTAGACACAAATAAAGATATATAAAAAATGATAAATATTTAAAATCACTCGTAATTAATTAAATAAATTCATTTGAACTTATCTCAAAAAGTGCTTGATTTAAGGGCAACTCATATATTTTACGCGCGATCATTCATACCTAACACGCACACAAGTTCGTTTCAAAAGTATACGACGCATTTATGAATGCAAGTGTCCATGGACAGCGGAGTCTTAGTAAAAGGGACCTGTTTTATCCTTTGGGTATGGAATCCTAAAAATGAATTAACAGCTTCTGTGGGTTACAATCGGGTTAGGTTTATCACGAAAACATTGCAATAACAATTAATACAATTAAACTTATTAACTAAGATGTTGGTACTATTGGTTATAACTCGTCCCCTACACAAAAGTGGTATGTCATCTTATTAGATTTCAATGTAATTTTGCACCTGGAATGAATTTTAACAATTGTGTTTGCAGTCACTGTAAAATAAAACGATAATAATGTATAATTGGTGGATGGTTTGCTTTATAGAAAGTATACAGATGATAACTTATTAAAATTGTATTAAACATTTACATTCTTTAAACATCAGTATTTACTGAGTTATTAAATTTACCCAAACACAATTTTAGAACACCCTTACATATAAAACTGTAACGCAAAGTTCATTTGTAAAGGTTACAAAGCATATGAATGGGTTGAATGAATTTAAAAAAGATAAAACATGCTGTCAGAAGAAGAGATTTGTAATGCGACGCTGCGGCAACGAATGAAAAAGTCTATGAATGTATGAATCAGTCAGTAGTAGTTGTATGAATGTGATGTTACTAATTTTGTTTCTTTTTTATTTAATTAGTTTGTTTGAAAAATATTTTTTTTAATTATTTAACGTTTTTTATTTTTTATCATTATTGGCAAGTAGCGTTAGACGTGTGTTCATTTATTGTCGCGGTTGTACCGACACGCTGTATATTAGTTACCCGTCACATCTTTATAATGGCCCTCGTCAATGCAGAAGGTTGGGGCAAATATCCCTTTATGGCCAACCGCTCCCCTGGGAGAAAAAGGTCAAATACTTAGGAGTCACTTTCGACTCGCGTATGTCATTTACTACGCACATTAATAACGTTCGCAATAGAGCCGCGTTCGTCTCCGGCCGGCTACACAATTTAACTAACGCTAAAAGTAAAATGCCCTTAAGGCACAAATTATTATTATATAAGACTTGCGTACGACCTATTATGTCCTACGCATGCATGACCTTCGCCCATACGCACCCTACTCGCTTGTACAAGCTGCAAATAGTACAAAATAAGTTCATCCGCCGTGCAACCGGTGCACAGTGATACCAACGCAACGTCGATCTGCACAGCGATTGTAGACTCCCGACGATTCGCGAATATTTTAAAGACCTGACCAAACGGTTCTTCGATAGAGCCGAACATCATCCCAACCCTCTGGTGGTAAGCGCAGCAAATTACCAACCCGACACTAACGCGAACGTCAACAAGCGTCGCCCGCGAAACGTCCTAATCGATCCGGTCGAGGAAGGGGTCTTAGATACGTTGGACCCACCGGCGGGGGTCCCGCCGGATAACACTACACCCACAGCTAGTGTAACAATAAACACTATAGTTCGCCCTCGCCTCCGAGCACGGCGAGACCATCACAACGCGTACACAAGGTACACCCGCGTTCCAGGGCGGTTCTCACCGCCCCCAGCCACCGATTAGCTAAAACACAGTCGACGGCCATCGGGGTCTCGGTCCGCACCGCAACTTCGATGGCCCTTAGACGACATGTCGTAGTTAAACGCACGCATGAGCACATGCGCGGCCCTACCCACAGCGGAGGGCCCAAACCCGTGGGTTCTGGCTAGCCCACCGGTTCTGCGTCAGATGAAGCTTTAATAGTCTCGGGACTGAAAGCAAAAACCTCAGTTAATACAAGATACAAGATGTATATTAGTTAAAAAATATCATTTTAGTGTCACCCAATCAACATCACCAAGAATTGAGTTCATGTCTAATTAACTTAAAATTAGTTAAGGTTTAATATATACTATGTAAAATCCACTTATACTTCTGCTTTTATTCAAACTTGAAGTGAGCTTCAGAATCTTTGGACACAGATTACGGCTTCTAATTAAATTAGTTTTGTTATTCTAAGAAACAGTATTATATATAAAATATAGAGAGTAAAAATGTAATCTAATATTTAATATTAATATTGAAATTTTAAATAATTATCCTGTATTTATTCAACCCTACTATACTAAGTAACGCTAATAACTTAGTAAGGGTAAACATTACTTCAACAAATATCTGTTACAGGTTTTGGCTGGCTTGGCACAACAGCTAACCACATTGTGGAGCAATGCGACAAATGTTGAAACTTGGTTGCCTATGCTCTTGGAGACAATGCTGCTGCTAACATCACACCCATCTCTAACACTCGCACACACGGCTAACTCCGTTTGGTTGGCATTCTTGAAACACGACCAGATATCAAAGTTGCCACATGTGTTGACTATTGTGCCTAGATGGCTTCAGGCTTCTGCTCCAAAAGTACTAAAGGTAAGCTTTAGTTGCCACATGTGTTGACTGTTGTGCCTAGATGGCTTCAGGATTCTAATCCAAAAGTACTAAAGTTAAGCTTTAGTTGATTCACTTTTATAAAATTAAAAATACAGGGAGGCTTTTCTAAGTGGATCCATTTTGTTAATTAAATTCTAGACATAAATAATGAATTATATAAAATGATAAATATTTAAAATCACTTGTAAGTAATTAATCACATTTGCAAAAAGACTCTGTATATAAATATTTGTTTATGTGATTGTTCTGATGTCAAAATACAGTGTATAGTATTTACATATGTTATGGACATTACTCCTCAGAAGTTCCACACTTTTAATTTTTACTAATAATAATGACCTATAAAACGTTAATCTTTTACGTCCGTAATTTAAGAGCATATATGTCATTTGTTTTACTAAAATGTTATAGAATATGGAAGTTATTCAAACCAATCTGAGAAAATTATAAACCGTATATAACAGATGTTACTGTCTTAAAAATTTCAGGTCTCATATCCATCAACGCGAGTCAACGGTGTATCAGATGCTGTAGCTTATGCATGCATGGACTATGACAGCGAGCAGGAGTTTTCAATTTTCTTCAGCCGCTGTCGAACAGAAATATTAGACAGCTTTAGGTAAGTGTTTGATCTATGTTGTGCATTTTAAATTCCTGGTTCATAAGCATGTAAATGTGAAGGATGGTTTGGTTTAAAAATGTGATAGATAAAATTTTTCGCGGCTGCTAAAAAAAGACAAAAAAAAAAAGCGGTCGACATCCTCACCGCGTGAAAATTGATGTCTCATCTCCTTTGTTTTCATTGCATTTGTAGCAATGCTTGGCTATATATAATTTGATTCATTTACAGTAATCACACTGTCTCAAATAAGAAAAAATGTAATCATATTTTTACAACAGATACTTGAAAACTAGAGATTTTGCTGTTCGTGTTTTATATTCAATTTTGTAAACACCAAATTACCAATCTCATCATTTTGGTAACAAATTTAATTTGGCAGGTACTGCATGATAGCAGCTCCACTAGTGACGTGGTCCTACGTTGAACAGTGGACACAAGCCGCTCTCGACAAAGTGGACTCCTGCCCACCCCATATTGACGTTACGCACCCGTTGCATATCGAATGGGAAGCATTGTCACAGGTATTTAATACATTTTTTAATTACTTAGATACTTATCATTAAAGATGATTGTTTATACGTATAATTTAAAGGATATTTATAATAAAATGTTTTTGAAGCATTCGACTAACGTACAAGCACATGTATAGTAATGCATGATGTGAGCAGCGTTGCACGATTTGTGAGGGGGTGCTTTACACGGGTTGACCGTGTGCTGTTTCTGTTTCGAGGTGCTGGACGTGGTGCTGTCGCGGCTGCTGCAAGCGGAGCCGCGGCCCTGCGTGGCGGCCGGGCTGCGTCTGCTGCAGCGCTGCGTTTCCTGCGAGCCCCGCGCCTCTTTGCTACTCTCACTGCTGCTCTCCTTCATATCGGCCCTCTTCGTGTTCCTCAGCTGCGCGTACAGCCAGCTAGCCGGTAAGCCGCCTGGAGTAATTTTGTCGAGTGGTTTGATCCGCAGCGAGAACGAGACGGCAATACTGTTCTCATTTAACACGCGTGTAGCCGTTACCCAAAAATGTGTGTGTGCTTCGCGATGAATGATTGAATGATTAGGGGCATGATAAGTTTGTGGTCTTTCATGTTCTCTTTGCTCTTTGATAATTTTGTGGTCTCAGTTTTCTGAAACAAATGACACTGTGATGAGCAATTAGGGCATAACCGCACACGCAAACCACGTTAAAAACTATCACATGGCGATTAAAGTTAACCTATAAAAAGTATATGAGGAAATTTTTCTTATATTCCCCACAGGACCCGGCGTGGGCGTTGCCGGTGCAGACCTGTTGCCACGCGTGCTCGACAAAATATTCGCAGCGCTGGTATACGAGGGATCACCTCCCGAGGATCGGAGGTCGCGCTCTGTCAAAAACGTGCGGCGGCACGCAGCAGGCTTGCTTGTGAAGTTAGGCTCTAAGGTACATTCATGTGTACTAATTTTATTTCTTAAATGAAGAAATAGCCATACACATGTACAGCATTGAGTTATAACTGCGACCTTAAATCAAAATGAACAAATTTCTATTGCTATTTGCCAATAATCATAAAAACTTTAAAATGTAAACTTTAAAAAATCCATTGTAATTTTTTTTTTTCAATAAAACTAATTAAATTAAAAAGATATAAAATTTCTGACATCCTATACACTGACTGATTCATACAATGCTTTGTGACCTTTACAAATGAACTTTATGTTACAGTTTTACATGTTGTGTACAGTGTTGTAATATTATTTGTTTTGGAAAATTTAACAACTCGTTAAATAGTGATGTTTAAAGAAAGTATAAAGTATATATAAGTATATTGTTTAATAAAATTTTAAAAAGTTATCATCGATATGTGTGTTGATTTATGGTCGCGGCGGTAGTAGCGCCACGTTGTGTATAATGTCTTATTAATTCTCAATTAATAAGACATTATATTAAGTTTCAAACGAGCTGGCGGTTCACGTGATTTTGCGTACGGTTGATAATGCGTTGCCACTTTTAATAAAGTACTGGAGACCCCAGCTACCTCACTCACCAGATGAAACAAAGAAGAATTTCATTCATAAAATATATAACATTCATTCGTTTTTGAGGACTTGTTGATGAATTAATTTGCTATTTACAGTATCCGCTACTGCTGCTGCCCGTGTTCGGGCGGCTTCACGAGATGTGCCGTGCGGCTCTTGCGCGTCCCGACCTTAGCGCCGTCGAAAGCGTCACACTACAAGAGGCGCTTTTGGTTGTCTCCAACCACTTCTGCTGCTACGAGCGGCAAAGTGCTCTAGTCGCACAGGTAGGCTCATTGAAATTAATCAAGCTGACTTATTTTTAATTTAAACTCATCTTGTTTAAAAACTATGTAGAAAGTAAAACTTTGCGTAACCTCCGTTGCTTCTCTGATGGTGCTTTTGTACGTTTGTGAGAGAACTGCAAATGGATGTATCTATTTTAGTTTTTCTTATTTTATAATTAATTGAATAAGAAAATTATACATATTTATGCTAGTTAGTGTTTAGTCTATGGGTATGCTAAAGTTAAATAAGTTAGAATGAATCAAAACTCGTTAACATATAAGAAAAGAAAGAAATGTGTTAGGTTGCAAAATTTGCATGGACGAGTCATTGTTACAAAAAGGTTATAAGACACTTATAGGTGATCTGTTAATATTCGGCAAGTAAAAATGTATAAAAAGTATTGTATAAAAATGTGCGGAAGTCGTACTTTGTGGCAGTCTAAGGGGGAGGCCTATGTTCAGCAGTGGACTCAAACGGGCGCTGTAATGATGATGTCGATGGAAAAAGGTATTGTTCGAGGTGGGCTCTTGTCGCAGGTGCTGGGCGACTGCAGCTCGCGCTGGGCGGCGCTGGGGCCGCACGTGTCGTCGGCGGCGGCGCTGGCGCGGCTGGTGGGGCTGGACGCGGAGCCGAGCGACGCGGACGACGAGCGCGGCCGGGCGCGCCGCACGCTGCTGCACGCGCTCACTCTGCTGCTGGGCGTCGTCAAGCGCACGCACGTGCCCGCGGACCCCGACAAGTGCGTGCGCGCCCGCATATTTCGATCCCATATTGTTCATTTTGTCCCTGGAATTTTCGTGGCGGCCTTTCGTGTCACGTCTGCTAATGTATTTTAAAAAAGTATGGTTAAAGGAAAAAGAAACAAATGTTTTTCTTTAATGTGACAAGTTGCCAAGCGAGCAGGCGGTTCACCTTATGTTAAGTGATGCGTTGACGACCTTTTGAAAATTGGGCTCAAACTACCTCACTCACCAGACGAAATGCGACAGTATTATACTTCCACCTTACGCCGGTCTTCTGTGAGGTCGTGCTACTTACCCGGACGAGCCTGCCCATTGGTGCAACAGCCAAAGCTCCTGCGTGGCTCTACCACATATAAACATGTGACGTAAAAAAGAAAGACACGGATTTCGATTTTTGTTTAAATTACCCTATGATATGATATACAAATACGAGATGGATATGACATTAGTGTAACGAAAATGAGGCACTGAAATTACGCCAATTGGTGTAATTAGATGGCAATTCTATAGACTGCTATCTCTTTTCGTATCATACGTTCTATATCACCTGTAACATTCGTTTGTATATGTCGTATGATGTAAATCGACAATTTTTAAAAGCCGCGCAGTATCGACCTGCGTGATCTTTATTATTAAACATAATTGAAATCACCTAAACAAATTTTCTTGTTCCCTCGTTGGAGTGTTAGGAATGACGGGCCCGTTTGTACGTGCGTGCGTTCCGCCGCAGGGCGTCGCGGGGCGGCTTCAGCGCGGGCGTGACGTCGTCCGGCAACCCGGTGTGGCGCAACCCGTGCGGCGCGCACGTGCTGCCGCTGCTGCCGCACGCTTTGGCTCTGGCGCGCGCGCTGCACGAGCTGCACGCGCCGCACGCGGCCCCGCTGCGCCACGCTGCGCACGGGCGCGCGCTGCACCCGCCGCCCGCCGAGCGGCGCAACCTGCTCGGGCTGCGCGACGACGCCCCGCCCGCGCCCAGCGAGCCCCAGGACCGCATGCAGAACTACCTGCACACGCTGCACGACAACGTTAGCGCCCCGTTCTTAAATACAGCCGATTAGGCCGCTTGTTAAATTTACGCGATTGTGCGTTCTGTAATTTAGTTAGTCATTTCGCATTGAAAATCCGATTAGGTAGGAAGACCTTCGATTATGATTTTGGGTTTCTGAAAGTTATTTGATTTATTTGAATTAGATATTGAAATTAACGACCGGATTGGACAACGCTCTTTTTTTTCCAGCTGTCAATGTTAAAGATGCATTTCTATGCCAAATTAATGTGTAAACCAAAATAAATATACACTATTAATCCTCAATAATAATAAACAAAATATCCTGTGCTCTGAGATAGCTCTTCACACACAAAAACACACACACACTTCCCTATTTTTATTTCCTCTTTCAGTATATATTTACTGCCCGTAAATCAAGCTGTAAATCGTATTTTTCTATATTAAGACAGGCAAGAGTAGTGTGATGTGAGTAGAGAGACGTTGATGCCACCCTTCGGCCGTCAGGTGTGCCACCTGGTGGGGGCCGCAGCGGCGTCGCTGGGCCGCGAGCTGTACAGCGCGCCGGGGCTGGCGCGTTTCGTGGCGGACGCGCTGTTGCACGCGCCGGAGCAGCTGCCCGACCACTGGCTGCGGCGCGTGCTGCGGGCCGCGCTGCGTCCGCTGCTGCTCCACTGCCCGCCCGCGCACTACGCCGACGTTGCACTGCCGCTGCTCGACCACCTGGCGCCCTTCAGTACGTCTCATCTCATGGATGAAACATAACAACAGAATTCCTCATTGTCAAAACAACATATAAATTTTTGGCTCGATCTAGATCTAACGATCAACATAATCAAGGGTTTAGAACTAACTAGTAACTTTGCAGTTACGGTTATTGCTATCGCATCACAGATTGACACGTTTGGGTTCTCGGCACTAAACCTACATGTAATTTTACCATGTAAAAAACACATTTACGTCCACCGATCGTAGGTGACACGAAAGTAACCTTACTCTTAAATCGTTAATGCACTTATGTTGTTTATTTTAAATGTTGTAGTTGTCGATTTTTAAACAATAAAATATTTTCAGTGTTGGTGCATTTATCGCAGCGGTGGGATTATGTAACGTCATTGTACGAATCTGGTAAATTAGAGGAGGAGGGTGGAAGTGAGTCTCAAGAAGTTCTCGAAGACATGTTGGTACGACATCTAACGAGAGAATACCTCGAATTATTAAAGGTAAACTCATTATTATTCACTTAATTTATATTACTGCATCATGTTGATTATGTTACGTTGAATGTCTCAGTTACATCATATCATGTTCATATAGTTGGAAATGGTTGTCAAAACCAATGTATGTCCTAGCAAATTCGACACTTCATTTCCTATTACTTAAGAAAATTTTAATATTTGTGAGCTCTCATATAAATTATATGAAAGCCATCAGGACTGTTCAACTATGGTAAAGCAATGCATCAGCTTCTGCTGTTGTAATGTGTAAGTTGTCATAATCGATTAGTATTGCTCATTATCGATGCCCACTTCAGATCTCCTTGGTGGACACCGGCGGGGCGGGGAGTGCGGGCGGCGGGAGCGAGACGGTAGACATGGAGGAAGAGAGCGTACCGCCCCAGCGCGCGCCCGAACACGTCTCGGAGCTGGGCGCTTTGGTGCTCGCGCAGCCGATCGCCGGACCAGCTGTGTTGCATACTGTACGTTTCGGCGCGCTTCCCCGATAATTTTAACCCCCCCACTTAAAAATGATGGTATAATTTTGACGTGTCTGTCTGTCTGTCTGGGTATCTGTGTGCCTGTCTGGGTATCTTTGTGTCTGTCCTGGGTATCTGTGTGTCTGTCTGTGGCATTGTAAGTTCTAAATGAAAAAACCGATATAAGTGGTGTTTTTTTATTTGAAGCTGACACAATTGAGATGTTTCTTAGGTATAATTAGAGTTTTTTGTGTCAGGGGGTTACTTAAAATCAATTATTTTATATTATGGATGCACTTCTTTATATAAAGATTGATTTCAAATAATATATGAAGTTTTTATGCGACAATTATAAGTAATAAAAAACCATATGGTTAGTGAGGACCGCCGCTGGGCGCTCATGGACACCTCCAACATCAAACTAATTAAACTTTTATTTAACTATTACCTTTTTTTTTTTAATTTTTTTTTTGGCTGGATGAGCCACTGTTGACCTTAGGGGCCTTTACAGTTCCGACGTGGCTTGAGATGGCCTGGCGCACGAGGCGCCTAGCCTGAACCTCGGCGTTTTACCTTCTGACTAGTATCTACTTTTAGGTTTTGGTTTCGCCAGGGCGATCCTTTTCGGAATTATATTATGAAACAAACATAGGGAATATTTGTGCGACTACGCCACAATCCCGCTTATAAGCTACAAGCGGGACTCAATTTAGAATGCCATTAAAACTTCACTTTTAATACAAGCAAATGGGTCACCTAATATCAAGTTGTTACATGACAAAGCTTTTTCGTTGACATTTACGATACATGTGCGATTACGGATGTCGGGTCTACTGTATTACGAAAATGATTCCAGATACTGCGCGCGCTGACGTGGAACGACTCGACGTCGTCGCTGCGCGCGTGCACGCTGGCCCTGCCGGCCCTGCGCGCCGCGCTCTCCGCGGGGCGTGTGGGCGCGGCGGAGGCGAGCGGCGCACTGGCCGCCGTGCTCCAGGCGCTGCGCACTCACGGCCAGCACGACGCAAACCAAGCGGCGCTGCTCGCCCTCGCGGTGCAGGTACCCACTGCGCGCGTTCCAAATGTTTCCTTTTTTTTTTAATTTGTTAATATTCAACCAGTGATCTGCCTTATGTTTCTTGAAGGTGGACGTTGATATTAATAAATATTTAAAGAAATGGCTGTGTAGCTTTCTTAGAATATGTGACGAATTCTTTCCCATTTCACGGCGTAGGGTTACACAGCAGGTTCTGCTGTTGCAAAAATAGCACAATATAAGGAAGTTCAATGGTCTCACAGATGACCGACGTGGCCGCGTTCGTAGTAACATGTTGTACCCACCTAGGTATAATAGTAAGTAGTATAGTAGTAAGGGCAGGAGGATGGTGGTGACGATAATAAGTTATTGTCGTCAGACGTACGAGGCGCTTCGGCCGAGGTTCCCCGGCGTGGCGTCGGTGCTGCGCTCCATCCCCGATGTGGACGCGCACGACCTGCACCGCCTCGACGAGAAGCTAGCCGCCAACCACAGCAAGCCCGCCAAGATAGACAAGAGCAAGCGCGACTTATTCAAAAAGATCACCTCCAGGGTCGGTTATCCCGTCATCATAAATATTCAGACCATTGTCATGTAAACAGTTGCTTTCCTAAATAATGACTTGTTTGATAGTTGATTTAGAGCATAAATGTTGCTGGTGATTGTAAAATTCATCGTTATATAAACTGGTCAAAATTCTTGGTGTTAGATATATTTAAAATATTTCAGCATCATCACCATAATGTCAGTTTACTGTTGGATATATGTCAGATAGGATGCCGGTGGCAAATAGGGCATATTTTAATCATGTGACGAGTCTTGGAGGAGGCCTCGTCAAAAAAAAACATAGATATTTATTTGGTTGGCCTTTTCAGTTGATTGGGCGCAACGTGGGGCAGCTATTCAAGAAGGAGGTGTACATTCTAGACCTGCCCACGATGCACGTGGCCAAGGAGAAGGCTCGCAGTGTTCTCGACGCCCCCGAAGGCGCCGCCTTAGACAGCCTGTTCACTTCCCGAGCGCCCACATAGCGGCGCACGAAACAATTCCGACCGACAACGAAGCAAGGACGCAACCTTAGTTGAATTTGTGAATTCCTACTCGCATCCGTCTTGTGACTTTGTACGACGACTTGTGCAGAACGTCTATATTATATACTATACGTATGTGCAATGCGTGGAATCTCCACGGGTTCAAGATCAGTACGTATGATACGTATCCGCGGACTCTAGATGATTGATATTGCGTGGAATAGATGATTAAAAAAGACTCATCTATATTACAACAAGTACACGCTTTTTGCTTGAAGACATTTTTGTTAAGTGGAAAGTTTGGGGCGAATCAATTGATGAAATCCAAAAAAATATTTTTAAAACCATTTATTTTTAATTCACGATTGATTTTCTCTACAAAAACTGACAAATATTTATAAAAATCCATTTTGCACAACCGTCAAGATAGGTCGGGTATCACATTTGGGTTCTAAATTGCGATGAAAGGCAAAGTCAGTGGCCTATTCCATTTAACCTATTAGATTGGTTTGTGTTGTTTTTTTTACTTATGTATGAACATTTTAAGTTAACACAATTTATGTTAATTTCACTACACAAATTTTTATTTTCGCGCCTTTTTCAATAATTACAAGTCATTTGTAATTATTGAAAAAGGGCGCTTGTTTGACAAGTTTTGTACTTACATTTATGTTTATGTACATGGGCTCGTGATATATGCGTCGTGCGTAGTTGTTGCATTGGTCCGGATCAGCCATATAGTACTCGCAATGTTAAACATTCTACTGTGAATAACCATTTATATGTTATTAAATTATATTATTAATTTGGTTCATTCTTTCTCACGACTTCGTACCGGTTTTCTCATTTATCCCGTTATTGCAAAATACTTCACATGGCGCTGAATGATCTGGCTAAGAACAAACTTTTTTTTTAAATTGAAGATAACTTCTTTTTTTTATTTGAAAAACTTGTCAAGCACGAGCACGTGGTTAACCTGATGTTAAGTGATTACCGCCGCTCATAGAACCACACTGCCACACCCGAGGGTAGGGTTTTGACAACCTTTTAAAAAGTTAGCCCCGGCTACCTCACTCACCAGACGCAACGTGAAAGTATAATACTTTTCAAGTCGGGCCCAGATACTAAAGTCTTACAGTCTCTCCCTGGGCCGCTTATTTGCATAATGGCGACCATTTTCAACACACCTCTCCAGCTGCTCCTTCCCGGACGACTGGAAAGAGGCCACCGTCATTGCTTGGGGAAGCTCTATGAGCGGCTATTATTAAACAGGCTCAAAGAACAAGTATTTTCAAACGGCCTTATGTCGGTTGAACAGTTTGGCTTTCGAGCTCAACACTCGACGTGCCAGATAGGCTCGTGCACGCCATACGGGCAATCCTGTTGAATCGCTGTTTTAGATATCGAGTTGAGGGCAACCTCCACAAGCCGCTGTCTCACAGCTGGCGTTCCACAAGACTCCTGCCTCTTGCCCTTGCTCTTTACGCTCTACACGACTGACATACCAAAAGACCCACACGTTAATCTCGCGCTTTTCGCGATGACACGGCACTCTTTTACACATAAAAATCTTAATCAACTCGCCACTCGTCTCCAAAGCGCTGCCGAACACCTCGGCGATTGGTTCCGCAAATGAAGAATAGAAGTAAATCCCGAAAAGAGTGTGGCGATCACTTCACACGAAATCCTTACCCGTCACATCTCTAAAGACCCTCGCCAATGCAGAAAGCTGGGGCAAATATCTCTCTATGGCCAACCACTCCCCTGCGAGAAAAAGGTCAAATATCTGGGAGTCACTTGTGACTCACGTATAACGTTCGGATCGCATATGTCGTTAACATTAGAACAGCCGCGTTCATCTCCAGCCGGCACTATCACCTCACCAATGCTTCAAATAAGATGTTCTTAAGGCACAAATTATTATTATATAAGGCCTGCGTAAGACCTATTATATCCTACGCGTGCATACCCTTCGCCCACATAAACCCTACTCGCTTGTACAAGTTGCAAATAGTACAAAATAAGTTCATCCGCCGCGCAACCGGTGCGCAGTGGTATCAAGGCAACGTCGACCTACCTGCACATTGACTGCAGACTCCCGACGATTCAAGAACATTTTAAAGATCTCACCAAACAGTTCTTCGACAGAACCGAACATCATCCCAACCTCTGATGGTTACCATCCCGACATCAACGCGAATGTCAGCAAGCGCCGTCCGCGCAACTTCCTCACCGACCCGGTCGAGGAAGGGGAATTAAGAACGTCGGACGTACCGTCGGGGGTCCCGCCAAATAATACTACACACAGTGCATCAACAAACGTAGCGTAGAACCATAGTTCGTCATTGCCTTCGAGCACGGTGAAACCACGTACACTAGGTACACCCGTACACTAGGTACACCCGTACACTAGGTACACCCGTACACTAGGTACACCCGTACACTAGGTACACCCGTACACTAGGTACACCCGTACACTAGGTACACCCGTACACTAGGTACACCCGTACACTAGGTACACCCGTACACTAGGTACACCCGTACACTAGGTACACCCGTACACTAGGTACACCCGTACACTAGGTACACCCGTACACTAGGTACACCCGTACACTAGGTACACCCGTACACTAGGTACACCCGCGTTCCAGGGCGGTTCTCATCGCCCCCAGCCAGCCACTGACTAAACAAGCACAGTTAACGGCCATCGGGGTCACGGTCCTCACCGATTAATAGATTAAGGACTGAAAGCGTAACATAACTTCAACTCGGGTCTTCTGTGAGGTTGAGGTAATTCTCCGTACTAGCCTACCCATTCGTGCAACACTAGAGTTGTTGACTAGTTGCTGCGTGGCTACACCTAGGAAGTTATATTTTATACCAGTTATAAATTTATATAACTCTGGTACATAGTTTTTGCCCACTCTGGCCGGCTTTTTTTTATTATATGAAAAGTTATCAAGCAACCACACGTTTTACATGATTTTAAGTGACGGCTTGCAGTTGCGTTGATGAAGTTTAAAAAAGTGGCCCCGGTTACATCACTAATCAGACGAAACAGTTAATATTTACACTTCCGCCTATTCGTGCAACAGCAAAAGCTATTGTTTGGCCCTACCTGACAGTTAAAATAATTTACAGTTACATACTTTTACATAATGGAATTGTGTAGACTCCTTTTAGGTACACAGTGGGCAAGGGATGAGCAAATAAAAAAAATATATCGTGCCGACATTTCAAAAGAGTATCGATAATTATCGGGCAAAAAATATCGATATATCGTCATTTTTCGCATGATTATTCCATCCATTCCAAAATTCGTAAAATAGAATAGACATGAAGAAAATAGTTGAAGAGTTTTTAAAGTTAACGATGCGCGAGGAGCATGCAGAGTATCATTTAGCATTAAACACGAAACAGTTGCGTTAAAATAATATCGAAATTGAGTCTAAAATAAATATCGATATATCGCGATAAAAAATACGACATATATATGGATAACGGTACGGAAAAATATCTATATTTTTAATGGCTACTATGCCACTAGGCAGAAATCCGGTTCGAGGAGAAGCAGTCTAGCCTAGAAAGCAAGACTTAATTTATCGAGCCTCGTGCTCGATAAATAAAGACATGAACGTCAAAAAAAAAAACAAGCTAAATCGTAGTTTCTCAATTCAGAAATGCTTCCAATAATATCTGCATTCAATCTGGCCTGGTTTGGAGGACTTATTACCCCATCTAGATGAACTATTATCATATACAGCGTGTCGTTATCATCGCGACCATAAATGAACACACGTTTAACGCTACTTGCCAATAATCATAAAAAAATATAAACGTTAAACAAAATCCATAATTAAAAAAAAATATTTTTCAAACAAACTAATTAAGCAAAAAAGAAACAAAATTTGTAACATCCTATACAACTCGCGCCACAGCGTCGTATTAAAAGCCTCTCCTTCTAACAGTATGTTTTGTCTCTTTTAAATTCATTCAACCCATTCATAATGCTTTGTGACCTTTACAAATGAACTTTACGTTACGCTTTTATAGTTAAGGGTGTTCTAAAATTCTTTGTTTTGGAAAATTTAATAACTCTGTAAATATTGATGTTTAAAGAATGTAAATGTTTAATACAACTTTAAAAAATTATCCCCTATATGTGTGTTCATTTATTGTCGCGATGGTAACGACACGCTGTATACTATAAATCAAATCCTAATTACGGGAGTAGCGGCGTGCAATCAAGTATCACTCTCTTCGTCATGTCTCACGGATTATTATTAATTTGTCCTATCAGACCATGGAGGTACTCACACGTAAAATTCTTTACATCTACTATTATTAAATATATAATTAGTGTAAGATAGTAATTTTAGTAAAAATAAAACACAAGAAAAAAAAGGATAATAAATAAGTTTATTTAGCGCTTTTACTTTTCATAGGTGTACATTAATTGTAAACCTACATTGATGCTGATTCCATGTGAAACTATTTCAATCTTATTGTTGGTGACATCTACCTTTAATACACAACTGTTCTCTAACGGAACACATTTATCTTCATGGTCTCTAACAACCGGTATTTTTCTCGGTCCTAAAATCGGGTCCTTGTATCGCCAAACCTTCAGACAAGTTACATCTGAAAAATATTAGTATTAGATTGGCTTATATGCAAATCATTATATAACAGAATATAATATGAAGTAATAATAGAATGTTAAATCAGGTACATACATACATGTATGAAATATTAAATAAAAAATGAATACACCAAAAATCTAGGGAAGGTAAAATTACGAAGATAAAAATTGAGGAATCGCATAAATGGCTTTTTAGTTTTAGTAGTGAATGAATATTAATAAATCATATGAATGTATAAAATAAATAATCACAACAAACCTTTTATCATCTTAACCTCCTTAGCAATCTTAGCTTTTACTTTCTCAATGGTTTCTCCATCTACCAAGCAAACAGAAAGAGTAAAGAGCCCATTCAAGGGCATGGGGTTTATGAAAGTTACATCCAGTCCAGGATCGGCGATAAAGTTAATGTGTGGAGCTCCAGGGGCACAATCTTCCCTAGTCTTCTCAGGAGCATCAGGACTATCAGTGAACTTAACTTCAATGGTATCCAACTGGAAACAAATTTATTATCAAAAAAGATACATTGAATTTTCAATTCATAGACATACAATAATAATTTTTTGTGTATGCTCAGTATTTAATGAGTTCATTATGGGACTACAATTCCACATCAACACATAACTTTTATTCCATCACTTAGTTTATTTTAGTAAAATTATTTCAATATTAACATCTCACTGTAATCTAAGTTAATTAATTTCTGAGATTTGAAATTTCTTTGAGAAATGAAGTTTTACTACTAACATGATAAAATATGGGATATTCATAAAATTTCTAACACTAAAATAAGTGTAATAAATTGTTTTTGGCTTATTAAATTTTTTTTAAATAAATTTTTGGAGGGCTTACATCTAAAGTATTAAGAAGATATTGTTTATTCTCCCGCAAGATGGCAGCTTCGTCAAACGGTAATGCGACGGATAAGGCATCTTTCCCCACTCGCTCCATGTTCTCTCTGGTAGCTTGGACGAAAGGCATGACCCGCTTCATGTATTTCTTTAATTCTGCTATAGCCCCCAACTTAGTTGAGATGCTCTTGTTATCCGGAAGACCTGAAGGCTGATTGAATAATAGATCATTTTTTTATAGTGCTAATCTCTGCACTTATGATTAAACATTAAAATTTATAGAAAAATTCACAAAAATGCGAAAAAGTTAAAGCATTAAGTCCGCCCTTTGTAATCCTTTTTTTTAAGGTTTTGCAATAAAGCATAAATAAATAAATAATATGGCTCTAGCCACTGAGCTAAACGGCTGATTGCCACACCGACGAAAATCTTAACGCATTCTTCTACATTGTTTTCTTAGCATTTGAAGCAATGCTTGGCGCCATCTATATCGCCATCATATTTCTTAAAAAGCAATGGCGACATCTCTCGTTCGAATTATCGTTGTAAAACGATATTCGAAATTGTTTGTATGCTGGAAAGGATATAACAATAGATGGCGCCAAGCATTGCTTCAAATGCTAAGAAAACAATGTAGAAGAATGCGTTAAGATTTTCGTCGGTGTGGCAATCAGCCGTTTAGCTCAGTGGCTAGAGCGTCAGGCCGCGAATGCCGAAGACGTGAGTTCGATTCCCACAGCGGCGACAATGTTTTCGCACTTTTTCTACATATTTTAATGTTCAATCTTAAGTGCAAAGATTAGCACTATAAACAATTTAAATCTCTTAAAAAGCAATGGCGACATCTCTCGTTCGAATTATCGTTGTAAAACGATATTCGAAATTGTTTGTATGCTGGAAAGGATATAACAATAGATGGCGCCAAGCATTGCTTCAAATGCTAAGAAAACAATGTAGAAGAATGCGTTAAGATTTTCGTCGGTGTGGCAATCAGCCGTTTAGCTCAGTGGCTAGAGCGTCAGGCCGCGAATGCCGAAGACGTGAGTTCGATTCCCACAGCGGCGACAATGTTTTCGCACTTTTTCTACATATTTTAATGTTCAATCTTAAGTGCAAAGATTAGCACTATAAACAATTTAAATTTCTTAAAAAGCAATGGCGACATCTCTCGTTCGAATTATCGTTGTAAAACGATATTCGAAATTGTTTGTATGCTGGAAAGGATATAACAATAGATGGCGCCAAGCATTGCTTCAAATGCTAAGAAAACAATGTAGAAGAATGCGTTAAGATTTTCGTCGGTGTGGCAATAAGCCGTTTAGCTCAGTGGCTAGAGCGTCAGGCCGCGAATGCCGAAGACGTGAGTTCGATTCCCACAGCGGCGACAATCTTTTCGCACTTTTTCTACATATTTTAACATTCTTAACTTGTTCAAAATATTTTATTATAGTTTTAGTGACCAAATTATTATTGCTTTTCTTTGTTTCACTGTACTAAAATTCTTAACTTTATTAGTCCAAACATGGCACTGCATGTAAGTGGAGAAACAGGTTTTTTTAAGAACTTACCCCATTAAGCTCTTTCAGAGTGCTCAGTATAATATGCTGCCACTTGGGATATTCTTTGGCAACCCATATCACTGCTCTGTTTGGTTTCTTCTCTGGCTTAGGAGTTTCGCCCTTCTTGGGCTTTTTAACAGCACAATGATTCTTCAGGTAGATGCGGAACGAATGAGCAGCCTCCATAAGGTAAGTGCTGGCTTTAACGGCGACTTCGTCTATCTCACCCGCTACAGGCCAACGTGCGTGAAGTATACTTTTCTTCTAAAAATAAGAATTACGATTACAAGTAACAGAACTGAGGCAGTGATTTCATGTAGACTCCCACATTTAAAAAAATTTTTAAGCAACTACGTACTACTGCTCATTTTCTGTGGCTACTCTGACAAACAAAAGTAGTTTAGTTAAAATTGTGTTAGATGATTCCGTGGCACCAAGGTATTGGCTTGAGCTTCGTAGGTCGTGGGTTTCCACACGGAACAACTATTTGTCGGACCAACAGATAATTGTTTTGGTATTGGATGTTTGTCAACGTGAAATTTATGTAGTACTTAATTTTTTTTAATGTAAGATGCCAAGCGAGCTGGCGGTTCACCTGATGTTAATTAAGAACCGCCGCCCATGGATATTTACAACACCATAGCCACCGTTGCCACCTTTCAGAAACGTGGGCCCTTGCTAGCTTACTCACCAGACGAAACTCAGATGTATAAGACTTCCATTTCACGCCGGTCTTCTGTAAAGTCGTGGTACTTCTGACAAACCTGCCCATTCGTGCAACAGCGAGCGAATTAAGCCTCAATTTGCATATTATAATTTTAAAATTACAAATAATTATTACGATATTACGAAGTATAATTTCACATATTAGGAACATAGGTAAGACGAAACAAATTAAATCTAGGCTTGGTATGTCGATATGATGCAACAAGTAGTGTATGGTTTTTCTTCTTGGTGAGATAACTTAGTTTCTATATTCTGTATCTAATTAGTTACGTGTGCGTTCTAAATAAAATGAATCTACGTGTATATTTATAATTTAGAGATTCTATATACATGTGTAAAAGAATCAGAGGTGTACAATAAAGCAGCCTTATACACGTATACAGATTTCAGAGGACCTTTTTAAAAGTAAAAAACCTGGCTAAGTGCGAGTGGGACTCGCGAACGAAGACTTCCGTACCATTATTTATAAAAACGGCAAAACACAGACTGGTGACCGATGGATGGACTGATGCACGGACGGAGGGACGGACAAACAGACAATGGAGTCTTAGTAATAAGGTCCCGTTTTACCCTTTGCGTACGGAACCCTAAAAAGGGGGAATGTATAATTAAGTATAATTTAAAATAAATTTTCTTGTCACTAAGCTGACCAATTAGCAGTAAATCATTATCTTAAAACAAAATGTACCTAACATACTTACATACTGATATATACTAAGTTTTATTTTAGTAACATATAACACTCAATGGAAGAAAAATATTACAGCTATCAATTAATTGATATTATATAATGATGTTATACTATGATATTATGTGATATTATATTATGATGTAATACACTTACGTTGCCCAGTAGCTCCCAGACGTGTTCGGCGACGTGAGGGCAAATTGGCGACACAAGCTTGGCCTGGACTTCTATGTAAAGGGTCACCACTTCGGCGTGCATCAGGCCGTCAGAGCACAGCTCCCTGTACTTGTCCCGTGCCGCCTGCAGCTCGAAGAAGCCGCTCTTCAGCGCCTCCTTGAACAGCATCCTGCCGTAGTTCTCGTCGGTCTGGTTGATTTTGGCGTTCATCTCGCTGACGAACACCTTGTCGTGGAAGTTGTACTCGCCTGCGGAGTTAAGAAAATTATGCGCGTGGTATTATTGCCGATTTGTTTCGATTCGAATATGCGTTTTACGTTTATTGAATTATCACACATGATATGAAGTAAGATTTTACTTGCAACGGTAAATTAGTAAAAGTAGTAAATTAGTTACATAAAATTTTAATGGGTATAAAATATAAATTCCCAGGCGAATGGGCAGGATCGTTCTGCAAACATATATACTTCCGCGTTTGGCCTGGTGAGTTGGGTAACTTTAACTGTGGTAGGACCATGCAATGGTGTTCACTGTTGTACAATGAGTAGGTCCGTCCGGGTAAGTGCCACGACCTCACAGAAGACCGCCGTAAAGTAAAGGTGTAACACTTCTGCGTTTCGTCTGGTGAGTGAGGTAGCCGTGGCTCACTTTATTTAACTGTGGCAACGCTTTTACAACCCTACGGGTGTTGCAAATGTCCATGGGTGGCCGTTATCAAGGCAGGTGAAACTATTGCTTGAAATGCGTTGCCAAACTTTTGACTAGACCTACAGTTAAAAATAACCCTGCTCACCGCGGGCTCAATAAACGATTTTATTAACCGACTTCAAAAAAGGAGGAGGTTTCTCAATTCGACCGTATATATATTTTTTTTTATGTGTGTTCGGGGATAACTTCGTCATTTATGAACCGATTTTGATGATTATTTTTTTGTTGGAAAGGAGATATCCCAAGGGTGGTACCATGGTAAGGAAACATCTGATGGTGGCATCCCAGAGAAATCGAGGGAAATCCTCGAATGTTATAGGCGTTGATAATGTTTTTTAGTTTCCTGTTTGAAGTCGTTTTTTTTTTGTTCAAAATTATGTATATTACAAACAAGTGTGTTGTGTATGGTAATAAAGTCAATAATAGCCATACAATGAGCCAAACAACTAACCTGTCCTAAGGGTGGATTTCGTGGCCATAACCTCTTTCACCCATTCGATAAACGTGTAGAGCCTCAGTATGCCGGCGTCGGCGGAGCTCTCCACAAAGTTGGCGTCCTCCACGGAATCCCCCGCGTCGGCTAACGCTAGCCGCATGCCGTCCGCGCTGAACTTCTCTATCGACTCGGAGAGCGTCAAGAAGTTGCCCTCGGACTTCGACATCTTCGCGGAGTTCAGCATTAGGTGACCGTTGGCCCTGACGCCTTTGGGCCACTTGTCTTCCTCGTCCGGCCATATCGCGCAGTGGTTGTAGATATAGAAGGTCAGGTGGTTTTGTATGAGGTCTTTACCCGATACTCTTACATCCACTGGATACCTGTAGTTGGTTGAACACAATCAATAACATTTCCTTAACAAGTTGCTTGGATATTACATTTTTGTACATAAGCATTGATAGTATGTCCAGTAAAAAATTAGCTTATCTTATACTTCGAATGAATGACTCTACTGTACTAGGAAATAATTAATGTAATTAGTATAGTTATATAAAGTACATTAAGTACATCAATTAGAGATTTTACCAGAACTGGAAGGATTTCTTCATAAGATCTAATGATTCCCTGGCTATTTTGGAATTCTTTGGCAGTGGCGCATCTTTAAAAAATATGTAATTCCAGACTTCCGCTGTCATATCCTCCGGTTTAATCTTAAGAGCATTCTCGCCGGTTCCTCTGAATGTACCACCTTGGAGATAGTGAGATATTGTATAATAAGCATTGTAAATGGTAGAGTCCGATAGAGATTCAATCACCCATTGTTGATCCCATGGAAGTTTAGTGCCTGAAAAACAAAAGGTTTATTTAATTACTCCATTTGAAAGGGAGAGTTATAAGCTTGTGTAAAATTTAGTTTACATACTCAGGTACAACTATGACATACTTAACTGTGCTGATTAGATAAATAAAATTCAAATTCAATATCTAAACAAAAGATTGCATACCAAGACCATAAGTCCTCGAGCACGCATACTCATGTAGCCAGCTAAGAGTGGCATGGAAATTTTTTCTAACCTCTTCATGGTAAGTGTTCATTGCTGCCAAAGCTTTTTCTGCTTGTGCTTTCCACTTTTCTTCACCATATACTAAATACCATTGATTACAGAGTGCGACTACACATTCGTCGCCAGATCTTGACATAATCGTCTTCTCAGGTTCATAGTAAATTACGGCACTGTTTGCTTTTATCAATTCTGTCTGCAAATTCTTTTTAACATCCTGGATCTTGCTCCCCTTGTATTTACCAACTAAAAGAACTCCATCGTAAAATCCTTTTAAGTAAACCATCTCTTTAGCTTGGGTTAATTTTTCCTTGTCGTTCTGACTTTGAATCTTTAAGTTCTCATATACATAAACTGCAGACAAGTTGCCATACTCTGGGATTTCTAGAATAGGAACGGGCTTGAAGGGTAGTACCATTTCATCTCTAATACCATATTTCTCTCTAAATGCAGCTTTTTTTTGAAGATCTACTAGAGCTGCATAATCATCGGGGGAGTCCGATGGGACACTGGTTACAATTCCCGTTCCTTTATCTTGTTTTATGGTCAACATTGGTAATGAAAATATTTTAGGATAACATGTCATTGGAGATTTCAAAGCAACACCTAGAAGATCTTGGCCAAGGATTTCCATCTCAACTTTAAAATCTCCATCTTTTTCTGTGAAGCCTTGGTAGGACATATTTCTTGCTGCACGCTTAGTACATATAAAGATCCCATCATTGACAGTCTCAAAGGCGATATACTTAATCTCAGGATGTACCCAGCAATTAGTCTGTCCATACATTGTTTCAGGTCTTAGTGTAGCAGCAACTAAACTAATTGTTTTATCTCCAAAAGATCTTGAATAATAAAATACTTTTAGAGGTTGGTGTTAATTGGAGGTTTTTAATAAAGAATAGGAACTTTCAAACAAAGAAAGAAATACAACCTCAATCAAAAGTAATAAAATAAAACTAAAAATAAAAAAGAGAGTGTTCGGATGCTTGTTTTTAACTCCATGTACTTGAGCAATCCAATAAAATAAGTGCAATTTTAAATGCTGATTTTTCTATGCTCATTGGTGAAGCAAATGCTTGTGAGGAAACCGGCATGATTTCGAAAACGGCCTGTTTCAATATTCTATCTACAGACTGATCTGGTTACTAGTGATAGGTATTTGAAGTTAGCTCTATAATACTTACGTCAAGATCCTATCTCCATTAGCCAAATCTATCTGTTGTTAGAATATTGAAACCAACCCATAGTGATAAAGTAGTATTAATACAAGTAACTACAACAATTGTAATTATATCATAATACTGCAAGTTGTGCTGTAATAAAATAGAATTATAATACATACTTTAAGATGTCCGGAAATGGCCTTACGACCTCGAGTTTTATTAAGGTGTACTCTTGAGGTCCAGCACCTTCACCAGTACTTCGGTCATGATCCATACAAGGTTGTTTATCCAATGGAGAGAATATTGTATAACGCTTCCCATACATTATCTTCTTGCGTTCTTTTAAAAGGTAATACTGCCACCTTACAAATGAATCATAGAACGGGTTTGCATCAGTTGTTATAAACTTTCTGCGCCAGTCAACCTGCATTTTTAAAGAGAAAAATAATTTTACATTTTAATTAAATTCCGTGAATTCAAATACTTTGTAGCACAATCTGCTTCCATCGATTTCACACACATTTGCACAGGTCATCATTCCATCTGGTGAGGGGGTCACTCAAGAACTTTCTTCCCCATCGGTTATCGGTTCTACGAGCTATATGGCCGCCCCATCACCTCTTCAGCATCTTCTGAGCTGTGTCGGTTACTTTTGTTCTACTGCGGATGTCTTCGTTGCGAACTCTATCACGCTGAGAAATACCAGCATAGCCCGCACTATAGCTCGCTGAGTTACTATGAGCTTCATACGGCCAGTGGTGAAGGGCCACGTCTTGGTTCCGTAGGTCATCACTGGCAACACAAATTGATTGAAGACTTTTGTCTTCAAACATTAAGGGATATTATATAAGACATGCATTAAGGGATATGATAGTCGAGAAGATATGCCGAAGGTCTTCGAACGCTGCCCATCCGAGTTGGATTCGCTGATTGACCTCTGCGTCTAAGTTGAATTTAACTAACCGGACTAATTGTCCTAGGCAAACGTACACGTCATCAACTTCGAGTGCTCACAGTGCTCCCAACAACAGCCTGTGTAAGCGTGACATCGTCATTACACATGAAATGCGTCTTGCCCATGTTTATCTTAAGGTCACCCAACGGGAGTGGTTGAGAGACACTGTTAAGGTCATTCAGCATAGTACCATGGTCGGCAAATCGAAGGTGGGTGATGTATTCGCCATTGATGTTAATATCACGTCTTATACAGTACACAAGCTTGAAAACATCTTCCAACGCAGCGGCGAAGAGTTTCGGGGATATGACATCACCCTGTCTTACACCCTTCTGCAATTGGATAGCTTTTGTACTACTTGACTGTACTGGGACGCACTTCGAAGCCTTGTTATACAAACACCTGAGCACCTCGATATACAAACAGTCAATTTGGCACCAGAAAAGGGCCATGAGTACCGCCCAAATTTTAACAGAATCGAAGGCCTTCTCATAGTCCACATACGGTAGGCATAAAGGCTAATTACACTCTTCGGTTTTCTGTTCAATCTGGCGCAGTGTTTATGTGGTCTATGATACTTAAGCCTTTTCGGAATCTGGCTTGTTGGGGAAGCTGGCAGTCTTCGATTCTGAAAGACGATTAAAGATGACCCTTGTAAACAGGTCATAGACGCGGCTCAGAGGGGATAACTGTCTATAATATCGGTATCTTCGTATCGGTCCCCGCGCCAGCCCCAAAGGTCAACACATGGACAGAACCACTGATGGTACAACGGCCGACTTCGGCCAGTATCATAGCCCCCCAAGCAATCCTCGCGCCTTCGGCGCAAATCGGGCAGCAGGGCGGCATAGACAGCGACATGTCCCTTGTCTGCGAACTCGCAGAAAAGATTGATCTCGCTGAGATTAGCACTCTCGCGTAAAAAATTAGGTCCGCGAGAAATATCCAGGAACGTATAAGGGCCCAGGCCGACCACCCAGTAGTGGTCGAAGCTCTAAAAAGCGCGCGAAAATGGCCTGCAGTAATAATTTTAACTGCGGTAATAACACGGAGATTAAACATCACCAACAACTTGACCATCAGGTAAACATAATGCTAGTGCAATAGACACGTCTCAAACCAAGCATGCGCGATCCGCGAATCGCAAATTATTTTATTATTTTAAATTATAAGCCGCCTGTAGTCTGACATATCAGTTAGGGACTGCAGCCGCATACATCTTTTTCCCAAGAGGTCGAGATCAGAGAGTTTTGGGTTCTATTTTTACGTCGGGCTTTATAAACTGAGGAGGTTTGTATAGGGGCATGAGATGGACGCAGTGGACTTCATCAGGCAAGATCTTTCCAGCCTTATGTTAATTTTCAATGTGCCTTTCACCAATTGGTGATATAAATTTACTAATTCTTCTCTTAGCTTGACCATTAAAATAGCACAACAAAACACAAAAGATGAAACACAAGGTCAAAACTTGGCAGAGTGGATTTTTACTTTCTAAACTCACATTTAAATATTTTTTTTACATGATAATTATTAATCATCTACAAATAATTACGAATTTTATGTAAAACAATAAATAAGTTATACTTACATGAATTCCCATTCTTTTTAAATCCGACACAGCTTTAGGCGGAAAATATTCCAGCCAGTAGCTTTCATTAGCAAATTCCTTAATTTCTTCTTCTGGGATACCTAAGCTCTGCATAATCTGCCATTGATACTTTGAGCTTCCTGTCTTTGCCATAGCTTTACTTTTCTTTCCTTTACTTTTATCTTTAGGTGCAAGATCGTCTTCATCGTTTGCTACCATATCCTGGTCTTCAGGAAATATGGGAGGGCAACCATAGGTTTCCATTTCTCTTTTCAACTTATCTGCACATGCTTTAATTGGCATTCCTGTACAATGGAAACCGAATGGAAACAGTACCATCCTTCCTTTAAGTCTGTAATATCTGGTGGCAAACTGAAGATTAACATAATAAAAATTAATTAATTAATTAGTATTATTATTATATTACTAAACAGCAAATTTTAAAATCAAAGTAGAAATAAAAATTTCGTCATTTGAATTTTTATTTCTACTACAAAAACCTACTGGAAGTTAGGGGACAAAAACTTTATTTAATATTTAATTCATTTCTTTACTGTGACTCCTTAAAGTACAACATTGTATTAAAGGAAAAAATATAACATTATTAAGGAACAAATTATGAAATGTGTCCTTTATTCCTATTATATTAATAAGAAGAAAAAAGACAAGAAAATATCAGGACATAGTATAAAACAAAGTTGTCTCGCTGTCTGTCTGACCCTATATATGCTTAGATCTTTAAAACTACACAATGGATCTTCATGAGGTTTTCTTTTATAAATAGAATGATTCAAGAGGAAGGATTATATGTATAGTTCATGCATAATATTCTAGAGAAACACTGCTAATTTGAGAGATTTCTAATTATTTCTATGTCGAAAATAAACATTCAGCATTGCACCGATGCAAAGCCGCAAGTGGCGGGTCGCTAGTGATTTTTCTAGTATTTTAAAAAACATTGCCCTTACTTTAGGATAACATTATCCTGTGTTGTAAGGACGTTATACAAACATAAATTTCAAGTGGACAAAAACCCAGATGCGAAACAACTATCTGTGGGTCACACAAATAGTTGTCCCGTGTGGGAATCGAACCCCGACGCTGAAGCTAATACTTTAGCAACTGTGCCACGGAGTCCTCAAAATTTTATAAATCCAGGAAGTGAAATTTTGAAAACAGTTTGAAGAAATTTTAAAATTGCAAAATTTAATAATTATTTCCCCAAAATCTAAGTGTCTACATCTATTAGTTCCTTAGCAATATTCGTTTCAGTAATGTTTCTATTTGTAAAAGGCTATTCATATAAGATAACTAAAAAAATTCCAACCTCACACTTTGATAGTGAAAATGTGTGACCCAAATGCAAGCGTCCATTCATGTATGGGTAAGGAAATGTGCACATAAACTTTTCATGCTGTTTGCCATCAGTTGGTGCTTCAACTTCGAAAATATTCTCTCTCTCCCATCGTCCTTGAACATTTTTCTCAATATCTTGAAGATATTCAACTTTAAAAGTACCTTTGCGGTCTATAGTCACCTGAAAGTCATGAAATTACAAGGATTAGATTGTTCTAGAGACAATAATAAGACACATTTAGTATTATTTTTCATCACAAATTTTGAATTTAGATATAACCTTAATCTATTTTCAAACACAATACACAATAGACAAAAAAGTATATAATACATGGTTTCTAACAGTGGTAGGGCCACGGAACACTGTTGCACGAATAGGCAGGGCCGCCCGAGTAAGTACCACAACCTCACAGAAGACCGGCGTAAAGCAGCAGTGTTATACTTCTGCGTCTGGTAAGTGAGGTAGCCGGTGCCCACTTTATATAAAGGTGGCAACGCATTTGTAACCCTAAGGATGTTGCAAATGTCCATGGGCGGCGGTTATCACTTATCGTCAGGTGAAGCGCCGTTTACCTCACATTAAAAAAATGGTACTGTGTGTAATGTTTTCTTTATAGATTTAAAGTATTTTTTATGCATAATTAAAAAAATATATTAGCATTATGCCCTCCTCTATATAAACTATAAGTGTGGGAAATTTCATACTCTTCTCCACTGTCCACGCAATTTTTGTAAAAAGGGGTACAAAGTTTTTGCTCTACGTATTAATATATACATAATTAATATTTATAAGAGTCAAGAAAATAATAATTCAAAAGTACATACCATTTTTTTGAAAAATGTTAGATCTCATTCATCGAACTCTACCACTTTAGCATATGGCATATAATGTTTATCGGGCAGCAAAAGTAATTACCAGAGCTCCCACGTGTGGTATCTATCGGTGACATTGACAGATAAGACAACAGACAGGCCAACCAACATGACATGACAGTGACAGCAATTTGTGGGCTGTGAGCGTTAAGGAGTGAGGCGTATTTAACGTAAGCAGGTAAGTATAACAGATATCTTGAGACAACAGACCGTACTTAAATAACAGTTCCTGTTTCACATAAATTGTTCCTTAACACGCTATCATAAGCTTTTCTTTATTCATACTTAGAACTGTTCCCTTAGTTAGAAAAAGATAAAAACTGTTACTCCTTGTCACAGTTGTTACTGAAAACTTTGTCATTGTAACAAGCTCAAGCTCTTACTTTTTCTTGCATCGATCATAGATATAGCTTTGTTATAAAGACAAGTACGGACGTTGACGTAACAACTGTTACAGTATGTACTATGGTAACAGTTACACAAATTGTCACAAAATAGTATGAAATAATAGGGTATTATTTTTATAACAGGTATATATCACTGTAACTATTAAGTAACAGGAACAGGCGTAACAGGTACTCGATTTAATCTAACATAACTCACTCCTTTTTTTATTTTTTTAATAAAGATTTTATGGCCAAACTAACTCCTATGTTACTCCTACCGTTATGTTGTATAACTTATTCTTGAAACGTTATCACTGAACGAAAACGCAACGTCACTGGCATCTTTCAAAACGATCTATTTCTCGAAACCGTTTATTTATTACTAGCTTTTCGCCCGCGGCTTCGCTCGCGTTGAAGCCCTTAAATAAATATCTTTCTTTAAAATATACATACATATATTTTAAAGTTTTTTCCACTTAAAAAGTAGCCTATGTCCTTTCTCAGGCTCTAGACTGTCTGTGTACCAAAATTATTATCAAATTATATCATTTAAATCGGTTCAGTAGTTTTGGCGTGAAAGCGAGACAAACAGACAGAGTTACTTTCGCATTTATATTATTAGTATGGATTCTCTTATTATTACTACTAGCTATAATGTTGCCCAATACGTTGGTCGTAGGTACCGTCACAGACAGACCCTTACCGATATATACGTTCCGCCGCGAATAGCTAAGACCACAATTCGTCCTCGATCTCCCTGAGGATAATACGACTATCGCCATCAATAGGATAAAACAACTGCATAAACACAATATACACACAATCACAATGCACTCGCCGGTGACTGCGTCATGTACTAGTTTCCACCACACATAGAAGTGTTGCTGGAGTTTCTTCCGCCACTTCTTCTCCCAGCGCTAACGCTTTACATTGTTAGTAATGAAAGCTTAAGAAATTCTCCTAATCAGACTACAGCTACCGATCGAGTGATCGAGCCGAGGTCCAGCCCCCTCGGATACCCTCAAATCGAAATGTTAAACGGGTATTAAGTAATAGCCCAAGCCGAGATCCCCGTTCGGGGGCCCTTGAGTCTAGTTACTCCATGGAGTCCGCCAAAGCGACCTAAGAGCTTGGAGATTTCCCAAACAGGTGATAATAATAATAGCGTGATGGCCCGAGCGGAGGTTTCCTCAGGAGTCCTCGAGTGTAGTCAACTATAATCGAGGTACAGGCCATGGTGGACTAACTGGGTGGCGGTAACGCCATCATGTTCCCTTGAAAAACTGCTAAACAAAGCTATAAAAATATGCTTTGTACCTATTTAAGAGGTTGAAGCTTGGAAGTCTCATACAAATATTATTTCGTTCAGATAAAATACGAATAAAAAAAACTTTTATCAATTCAGATAAAATACAGCAGGAACTGGTAATTTACATTTTATAAATAAAATGACTACTACTGCTAATCGGGGCGTAGCTTACGCTGTATCAGCCGTTAGACCCCGAGTCCAAGGCCTCTGTAGGCCACAAACGGATGAAAGTAAAGATTACACAATAACTTAAATTCTTAAGTCGTACGTCTTGAGAAAAATAAATTGTAACTTATACATATAATCTAAGAACTCAGTCTCCTACATGAACAATATGTGTGGACATGTATGACTTATACACGATTTTTGACCATGTTTACGCAGTAATGGCCAGATGTAATGTTAAACTTACTTTAGTATCATGTAATCTACCTTTAACAGGCCATTATTCTGTATCTGGAAATTACATGTCCATTTTAGGTTTACTACTTTAACGTCCTATTTAAAAAGACGTTTTTTTAAAGCGAAATGTGAAATAAATTATTTTAGCCCCACGATTCAAAATGAAATTGTTAATTTGGTTTGTTAGCGCAGTTAGAGAAAAATATTGTTTTATAAATTAAAAGAGGTCAATTTCTGGCGATTATATCGGATACAGTACAGACCTGTTGAAAATTTATAATATTAGAAATATCATAATGGATAATATGGATAAAACGTATACTTTTTGCAATAATATTAAAACTCTGGTCAATATTGAATAACGATATATGAAAAATATAAAATTAGGTACCGTAAAACGGGGTGAATAGAATTTACGGGGTAAATAGAAATATTTTTAGGAAAATTTCTAAAACCTCGTGATTCAAAAAGTACTACAGAAATCTCAATTATTTGTATTTGTTTTTAAATGGCAACATATTTTCTTTTGTCTGACAACACTTGGAGAGGTTAAAGTTAGCAACATATTTGAAAAATTGACTTCAAACGACAACGGTTTTTTTGTGTGATTTTACGTTCTTTCTAACTTCTTTTATAAAAAAAGATAATAAGTGCTTTCGAACAAAAAATTAATTTGTCTAATGGTGAATTTCACCGTGTACAATCTCTAAAGGTAAGTTGTTCTGATTAGTATGATTATTAATATATTTTGTATAAAAACTCAACACACTTAAATATTCTTCAATTTAGAGGTGGATAGAGACGACTGAGGGGTAAATAGAAACGGCCTATGGGGTTAATGGAAACGGGAAAGGGGAGAATGGAAACGAGGAAGGTCTAAATAGAAACGCCAAGGGGGTTTTTAGAACTAGTTTGGTTAGGGTTGTCACTTACTTTGATTTCATGTCGGCAAGTGTATAGAACACAGTCGGGTTCTTATGTTAATTAGAAAAATCCCTACCTAAATATATAATTAAATTATTAAGATTTTTTTCAATATTTCATTCTGCACTACGTCCCAAAAATATCCGGAAAACTAAATTTCATAAGTGTAGAAATATATAAAATGTTTCAAGTATGTAACTATATTTTTTTTTTTTTTTATTTCATATGCAGGTAAACTGACTGAAATATGCCACGTGAAATAGATCTGCTGTTTCACCGGAAATTATAAAAAATTATTTTGAAGAATTGGAAATATCACTGAATGGTGTATCGATGTGCAACATCATTAATTACGACGAAACCAACCCTTCTGATGACTGACCCTGACCGTAAAAAAATAATCACAAAAAAAGGCGTAAAATATGCGGAACGAGTGATGAAGTGGTCCAAGTCTGCCTATTCTATCATGATCGCGTGCACAGCAGAGGGAGAACTATTGTATCCTTATGTTGTGTACAAGGCGCAGCATATATATGATACTTGGACTGCAAAATTGTGTCATAAAGAAAAAATACATTTCATATTTCTGCCAGCTAACACAACGCACGTTACTCAGCCATTGGATGTAGCATTTTTTAAACCGATGAAATACTGCTTGGCGAAATATATTGTGCTAGTGGAAAAAAAACAGATGGTCGACAACAAGCAAGTATTCCGAAAGGAAGTTTTTCCGCTCTTGCTTGTAATGCTGATGGACGCCCTAGAAAACAACGCATAAAGCAATATTTTGGGAGAATTCAAAAAAACTGTTGTGATTTGATTTATATATGTGTGTTTGTTTCGTAATAGTTTATTGATTTACTGTATAAATGATAACATTATGCTCAGTTTGTTTGTTGATGTTTTTGTTTGATGTTCTTTTAGCGTTTCAATAAAGTTTTTCTTACAACCATATTTCTCAATCATTTCTCATTCAATTTTATATATATGTAATTGAGTTTCTCAATTAGGTTTCTCCTCTACTATATTATTATTTTCTACTATATATATATAATACTATATATTAAATAAAATGCCGTCATAGTATTAGAGTATAATATTTTGACAACCCTGTAATTTTTTTCTATTAACCCCATATGCCGTATCTATTAACCCCATATTCCGCGCAAATGGAAATTGGCCTGTTTTTGGAGTTTTTTTCACAAGGTTCAAATAATTTACCATTTTTAAACAAATAAGGTTATAATTTATAGTAAGACTCCCAAGATCAAAGCAGATTTAATACCATAAACATTGTTTTTATATAGTTAATTTGCATTCGAAAGTCCATATTGTTTCTTTTAACCCCGTTTTACGGTAACATTAAAAAAGCGTAAACGTAGTGATTACATTCTCTTTGGTTTGTCCTGCTAGACGATGCTTTAGAAACGATGCTCTGAGGAAAAATTATTCATTAATAATGAAAATTTTGTAGCAACTTAATTAATTTTCACAAAAAAGGCAAAGGTAACTTGTAAAAATATAATTTACACCACTTCTTTTCTTATGTCTTATTTTCTTCACTATTACAAATCGTCAATATTACAGCTCTACAGCAAATAATGATTTATAGAAAGTTAATAATTTACTTAGCATTCTTTTTACGAAATAATAAAAAAGACCTAGAAAAACACAACTGTCTGCTAAAACAGTCACGACATGTTGATTGATCTGTAATTCTGTATGAACAATTTCTTATAAAACACGTTTTAACCCCGAAAAGGTATAAATTCAGTCCATAATGGAACTCATGAAATTATTTAGAATAAATTTCAATAGCCTTGCGTTTTTTTATGATGTAAAAGCAACATGTTTTCTATTTTTTTAGCCCTTCTGGTTACAACTTCAACAGATGAAAATTAGTTTTTCGTAATTAAAACGGATATCAGATCAGTCGCTGTTTTTTATAAAGACAGAAAATCTAGAAAAAGTGAAATCGTCTTCACTCTGGATGATTTAATAAAAAAAGGGGAGAAAAGTGTATATAAATTCCAATCTTTATACACATTTGATTTGAGGGCCCATCTAAGACAATATACGCCACTGCTGCGCCATCTTTATAATGCCTATATAATTTTAATTCCAGAAACTTACTGGAAATAAAAACTACCTATTACTTTAATTTACTATTTAGTTTTTTTTTGCAGATCAATTCTTATTTTATTTTCCGCATTCAGCTCTGTATTCTGTGTATATTTAATTCAGTCCGATTTAAATTTCACTGTCAAGATTTTAACTAAATAACCATAAACACTTTGATCTAATTAAACTAGGGCCTCATTCAGCTTTACCACCCCGGGCCGCTGAAAGGGCCTAAGCCCGCCACTGGGTACAGGCTAGACGCCCTCAGTGCCCGGCGACCACAAGCCTGGTGGATTTCTAGGGGCCTTCCTTTTCAAAGCCAACAGTGAACGTTTTCCTTCTCAAAGCCAACAGTGAACGATCCATTAAAAAAATATACATTATTTATACGCATTGCCTACGATATATAACCACAGATTTTATAGACGGCTGTCATAATGAATAACGATCTAATTTATCACACCTATAAATTTTACGAAACCGTCTATTTCAAAAGGTAAAAAAGGAACCCTTATAAGATCACTCTGTTGTTCGTCTGTCCTTGAATCACCACCTTAAGACATTAGACCTCAGTACATGGTACAAATTAGAACTTGCTAGGTAACCCCTAAGGGAGAAATCGGTATTGATAGACGGAAAGATAGACGGACAAGAGAGTGATCTCATAAGGGTTCCTTTTATTACCCTTTAAGACACAGAACCTTGAAAACATAACCAAATTACGAATATTTCGTATACTCCGAAAGCAACTCGCTCTTAAATTTTAGAAGAGCGAGTCTACATACGATCGTTCCCTCATTGTGTATTTAATTACGATTTTTTTTAAATTACGAAGAATAATGCTTTTCGTGAATTTATTATTTTCTTATTTAATAAATAATTTAATTCTAATAATTAATTGTTGACGGATGTGATCCACTTTATATCTTTTACTTTTGTCATATTATGAAAAAAAAGTCGTTTCCAAAAAAAATTGGCGCCATCAGCGACGCTTGTCATTGTCATTTCGCCGGAAACCTCTCACTTGCCACCCCTTTTTGAAGACGCGGTAGTGTACGAGCGTCGCTATTTAAGTTATCTAAATAAGTGATCAGGTCTTCAAATAAGTTTGTAAAAATGGCGCCAAGATCTGTAAAGAACAAGGTACGATGTTGATTTCAATTTATATATAATTATGTGTCATCTTGTAATTTATGTTATAATACATATATTATGGTTATGAACCTCTTTTTAAGTTACTGTAAGATTTGAAACCATTGGAATATTGTAATATGTACTCAAATACATTTTATGAGACATTTACTTTGGAGTGTGATTAACAGTTTATAAGACGCAGTTCATTTACCGCGTGCTTTACCCATTGCTTTGTGTCTAATAATTTGTTTTAGTAGTTTTAGTATTATTTGACCAACAACACTAATCATTATATTATTAATAATATCTCAGAAAATATAATTATGTATCCTCTGCATGCTGTAAAAAATAACACACTTGATTAAAGCTACTAAACTTGTATTTAAATGTCAAACTACACGAACTCTATAAAAAGAATATAACGACTTTTACATTGTTACTCGTACTTCACGAGTTTGTTGGGTTATTTTAATTAATTTTTAATCATCCACAATAAACGAGTTTTGTTATTATTCTCAGCTTTCCACATTTAAAAAAAAATAGATTCCAGTTTTAGAAAGTACTATTATAAATATAAATAAAGTTAAGCCAATTAAATATATTATTATGTTAATGGATATGCTTCATATTTTTATATTTTATACATATAAAAATATGAAATATGTATATCTTCTTTATAAATATCAAACAAAGCTTTAACTTTATTTTTCATTTAAAAACATAATAAGTTCTTTTTTAGTTTTAAATTCTTTTGGTTTCTAAAAATTGATTAAAAATACTTTATATACATAAGGCATATAATTTTCATTAAAAATGATTTACAATTGCACCTTTATTTACAATTAACTTGGCAGATTTTATAAAGACATTAAACACAGCCTTGTAATTTTTTTAAAGAATTAGTAATTTTTTTTATACATTTGTTATTCTGACTTGCAGAAAACTGCAGATGTCAAAGTTACAGAAACTGCAACCACAAGAAAAGGTCGTAAAGTTAAACAAATGGTGGAGCCTGAAGATGTTGAGATAGGTTTAGATGATAAAGCACCTGAATCAGATAAGAAAACCAAGAGAGGAAAGAAACTAGGAAATGATGATGAACAAAACAATGGAACAAATGATGCATTAGAACCACCAGCTAAAAAGAGCAAAAGAAAAAATATGGATGAAGTGCCATCAGAAGATCAGTCAAATGATGGCAATTCAACTGCTGAAGACGAAGATACTGCAACTCCTGTAGAAGAAATTGATCAAGTCGAGGATCAAACAGAAACAAATGGCCATATAGAAGAAACACAGGTATCTTCAAATTCAAAAGGCCGTAAAAAACTAACAAAAAAGCAGTTATTGGCAGAAAAATCTAATGAAACAGATAATAAACCTAAAGAAACAGGACGAGGAAGAAAAAACGCTAAACAAGAGAATCATGAAAGTGATGTAGTGAAGGAAGGAAAGTCAAAACCCATTGGACGAGGTAGGGGTAAAAAAGCTCAGGTCAAACCTAGCAATGATTCTGAAACTGAAGAAGTTTTGGATGAGCCAAAACCAGATCCCCCTGCACCTAAGGGACGAAAGAAACAAGCCAGAATAAATAAAGAAAAAACACCAGAAGCTGACAAAGAATTATCGGAGGAACAAGAGAAAGAAGACGAGGAAGATATACCTGAAGATGAGCCCCAAAAGAAGGAAGTCAAGAGTAGAAAAACTCAGGGTAAAAAGGCACAACCAAAAGCAGAGATAGAGGAGAAGGAAGAGGAAGTGAAGGAGGAAACTCAAAGCACCAAAAAACGAAGAGGGGCTAAAAAAGACGAAAAAAATAAAGGTATATAATTTCGTTCACAACTATTTCCCCATTATATACCTCTAATAGATAATGTCTAAGGAAAGTTATTAATGAGAGAAAATTAATTACACAAGCTTACTCCACATATCATTCTTTAAGTGTAGGTAATGTTATCTCATTTTGGAGAAAGAATGCAAAGCTGTAAGCAAAGATTCTTAATTTGGCTGTGCTTAATGATTCCTAAATTAATGTACACAAAGTTAAAAGCAAAATTGAAAATTTTTAGGAGATGCCAAAGATGACGAAGAATTAGAAGAGAAAGTTTCTGATACAAAGCCATCTAGAGGTAAAAAGGGTCAAAAGAAAATTCCAGTAAAATCACCTGAGACAGAAGAAGAAATACAAGACACTGGTGAATCCACCAACAAACGTCGGCGTAAGCCAGTCGAGGATAAGGGTAATTAGTTATGTTAATTTAGATTTCACATTCTGGACAATTGTTTACATATTATATGATTGTGTGTTTAATTTTTTTGATAATTAATAAATGGTTTCACCAAATAGCTATGCTTGATTTATTTTACTCATTAACATTCCTACAAATGCTGCATGAATATAAAATTCTATCTATAAATTAAATATTTACAGTATGGGGTAGTGGATGAATAAATAGATAGAAATATAACTTTTCACTTAAAACTTTTACTAACATGTTTAAAATGAGAACAGATACTGAGAGCCAGTTTGATTTGTATGGATTTCAATTAAACAAGCGTTTAAAAGCTCAGTGGCTTCTCATTAATATTAATGTATAATTTACATACCTTGCACATTAGTTTAGTTGAAAATTTAATTATCTGTTTTCAGTTTAAATAGTACAGTATATTGGTTCTTCATAATATGCTAATATTAAGTGTATACGAAATGTACATAAAGATTGTAGGAACAAAATTCACTTGGTTAATACATAGAAATTACTTGAAAGAAATATACTTATTTGATAAACAGTCAAAGCTGAAATTTCCTGTACATGTTTGCATAAAATCATATTTATACCAAGAAAACGCCGATTAATGGTGAAGTATGCCATGGGCACCTTTCTTAATCAAATTTCTACAGTATATAAGTTGACTACAATTTCAGCTGCGGAAGAGGATGGCAAAAAGAAAGCGCCGCCCAAAAACAAAGCCTCCACAAACTACGAAAACATTGATTTTTCAAATGCATCCAAAACTAATGAAGGTAAGGAGTGGAATTTCAAAATAGCAAGCTGGAACGTAGATGGCATAAGGGCCTGGTTGGATAAAGGTGGCCTCGATTATATAAAATTCGAGAAGCCCGATATACTTTGTTTGCAAGAAGTTAAGTGTTCCAAAGAGAAACTGCCGGAGGCAATCACAAACGTGCCTGGATACCACGCGTATTGGTTGTGCAGTGAACAAGATGGCTATGCCGGCGTAGGAATATATACCGCAAAACTGGCGATGAATGTGCAATACGGTTTGCAAGACGAGGAGTTGGACAGCGAGGGTCGAATCATAACTGCCGAGTACGAGCAGTTCTACTTAGTGTGTACTTATGTGCCAAACGCAGGCCGTAAACTGGTGACCATGTCAAAGAGACTGAAATGGAACGAGGAATTCCGTAAACACGTCAAGTCGCTCGATAAGAAAAAACCTGTTATTATTTGCGGCGATATGAATGTTTCGCATAATACAATAGGTGAGTTTTATAAGTTTTTTTATAGCAAATGTAAAATGCAATCATTTAATATATTCAAACGTCGTTAACCATTTATCGTGTATTTGACTATGCTTTAAGCCAGCTAAAATATATTAAAAAAACCATAGTACGCGCAAATTCTGACTGTACAATGGAACTCTCAAGTATAATACGGTGTGTAACTATCGGAAGTAATCCTGGGTTTTTGCCATGTTTGCGCCGCTCTATAATGCAGACGCGCAAGAAGTATCTCAATAAAGAAAGAGGAAATTTATAGTGTTATTTGTTCGCTTAAACAGGCGCAGACAGACATATTAAATACGTACTACATTCGTTCTATTTACATTTTTGTACCTTGGTAATTGTACGACCACGAGTCGAGCAGTAGAGAATTACCAAGGCAGAGTGAGTTGACGGGCTCATAGAATAGGGTGAAGATATCCCTATAGTATCGTGAAATCGGGCAACCGGTTTATGGGCGTCCGGAATATGGTCTACATTAGTCTCGATAAGGAAGGGAACTCGAAGTGGCGTCGTGTTGCCAAACAGAGAGAGAATAAGTCTAGGTTCAATCCTTCTCAGGAGCGTGTACATGCGCAGTGTAAAGAATCAAGTTGCGTCCCGTAGGATGGTTTTCGTAGGCGGAAATCGCACATAATCTTGTATTTCCCCCCCAGAGTAATGTTTAACCGAAAGGAAACAATGGCTATAGTAGTATACTCGCGTCCCGCCCTGGCTTCGCACGGAAGCAATGTTGAGTATTTGTTTTCGACCGCAACCGTTCATTAGAAATCGCGTTACAAACGTTCTAGGGCGGTTCTGATTGCTCCCAGCCGACGATTCAATACACACAGTCAACCCTCGGGGCCATTATCGTAGGTCCGTAACGAAACTCGATGGCTCATCGGTTGACATTCCTCCCTTTTACATAAGGCCGTAATAACGCGTAGGTTCGTATCAAGCTCGTGGGATGTGACTATCTCATGAGCTCTGCGTTCGATGAGTCTTTGATAGTCTACGGAAATCAGGAACAGATTTAAGTTGAATTTTACTGACACAAAAATGTTATTTTAGATTTAGCTAACCCTAAAACAAACAGAAAGAACGCCGGCTTTACGGACGAAGAACGCGCGGGTATGACAGACTTGATTAGCGATGGATTCGTCGACACGTACCGGCAGTTGTATCCTGAAAAAACAGGCGCTTACACATTTTGGACTTACATGTTCAATTGCCGGGCTAAAAATGTTGGCTGGTAAGGCATTTTTGTGCAGAACATTTTTTTAAATTGATCATTTTGGATTTGTTACCCTAGTACTATATGGACATAATTTTATTAATACCCAAATGTTCGAAGTCCCATCACGCTGTTATCTAATAATGTCGCATGCAATCTAACCAATCCTAAATGTGTACTTTATACTGCGTTTATAATAATTACATTTCGCTATTAAAAAAGAGAGCTTGTTGTATCTTATCAAGTTGATATAACACTGTACCTTTGGCCCAAAAGTTTTTAAACAGTAATTATAAACAGCTTATGCTAATACTTTTAGATTTGGCCCTATCAACATTGTTTAAAATTATTTAGTACCTATTTTTTTGAAATTATTCTATTCTTCTAATCCTATTTTTTCTAATTATTTAAATTAATTTAATAATAATCCCAATTCTTTTCAGGCGCTTGGATTATTTCTTAATGTCACAGAGATTAATGTCGTCGCTTTGCGACAGTGTGATCAGAGATGAAGTATATGGCAGCGACCATTGTCCCATCACCTTGTTCCTACATTTAAGCAGCGCCAATAAGCCTAAAGAATGAACTCGACTTTTGACTTTGTGATAGCTCATATTGAGGTCGACTATTTTGTTAATATTTGGGTTATTTTGATTTTTATGATTATAAAAAATGAAAAATGATTCATTTGTGATACTGTTTTTTATTAATCATTTTTATAAAATGCTGAAATTACACCATGTCCAAACTCTTTGTATTCAATGTTTTATTTTTACAATCACATCCAAGGCACTTTAGCTTAAATTCATGATTTGTTGGAGGAAGTCAAGAGAATATAGCCATATTAGGTCCCTTTCGCCGTTGCTTTAGGTGGACCTGAAATCAAATAGTTTAAGGTCAAATAGCAATGTAAATTACATATTCTAATTAATTCATTAGAATTTATTCAATAATGACGCCCGCGCTACGACATGTAATTTAATAACTAAATAAAACTGTTAGTGTGATATAAGGCCTTGATTGTATTTCGAGGCATCCAATACACACGTGCGTACCTAAAACGCGCGAGCTAGTACTACAAGTCAACTAATTAAATATACGATGCGGTGCGGTATTTATTATGGCCCATCAACAAAGTATTAAGAGAATACTAGTCCACATGTTTATGGAGAATTGTTTGATATGATGATTAAGAGTTTTCTCTTGATTTGAGTTAAATACCACCACCTCCTCCTTTCTCCTGTACTTATCCCTCACCACGTGCACCTTGGTATTGATATTGTTAATCGTATTGGCCAGATTTTTAACGACCGCCTGGCTGGCGTCAACACTGGTAATAAACAGCCAAATCAGGATCAACTAAATGTGTCGTCGCACTCACTAGTCCCGTGTGGAAATGGAACCCACGACTTCCGCTGTCGAAGCGAATGGTTTACCTTTGAATGGTAGATGTGGCTAATGGGATCACTTTCAAGCCAAAAAGACACTTAAGGACTGATAAGAAAACTTTATTTCAACTTAAACATTTTGAACTTATTTTAGACGAAACGTAATCATTATGGAATTTATAGAAAATACAAGGGTTATGTCAGGTAGCTATACATGTTACTTCTCCAAGCAATTTTTACGGAATCACTCAAATATGACACAATTCAGTCTGAACAAATAAAACTAACATTCCAAATTTAAAGTAATTCAAACATAATACATAAATCAAACAGGTCAGAGTTGACATCAAAAGAGTATGTATAATCTGAGATTACCAATCAACACACCCCCTTAATCTCAGATATACATCATAACACCAGATAAGTACAGAAAACCCAAAAAAATTAGAAATTATCACCAAACAAACCACCAATCATAAAACACCAATAACACACTAAACAAAAACCACAAAACTCTTAATAATAACTAAAACCACAAAAATACAACAAAAACATAATACACTATAAAGGAAGAGATATCAAAAATTCTGTAAAAAGTTTCTCCGAAAAATTCCGTTTTGAATTCCGATCCTTCAACTTATATAATAAATAATAAAAATTAATACGTTCGTAAGTTACCACCGGTTCGGAAAGCAGTTTCTGTTGAGAAGAAACCGGCAAGAAACTCAACAGTTGCTCTTTTTTAAAACGATTAGTTTACAATATAATAGAACAAGTATATCAGTTTAGCCTACGTGAGTATCAACAGTATTAAACCCACACCTTGGCGTCAAGATATTTCGCAATGGTATAATATGCCTTAGCCATAAGTTCACTTTTAATTTTGCGTTTAAATTCATCTAGTGGCAGACTTAATACCGACTGTAGGATTTTATTATACATGCGCACACTTTGCGTACAATTTTTCACTTTGCGTAAACTAACATTCCAAATTTAAAGTAATTCCAACATAATACATAAATCAAATAGGTCAGAGTTGATATCAAAAGAGTATGTATAATCTGAGATTACCAATCAACATTAACACCTGAGTTGCATTGAGTTGAATACCCAGAACCGTGTAGAAATGATCTTCACCCATCCAAAGCATTTTTTTTTGAGAAGAATTGGAATAAGTATTATTTGAAACATTTGGTTCTGATACCTCAGTAAATCTTCTACGCATTTTAATAAATGTGCGTTGATTAGATATGCGTCGACCGGTGAGTCACCGTTGATACCCGTTTAATATTTGTACATATCATTGCCGTCGATATTTTTGTAAACCTTCTTCAGCTTTGACGGGAAATGTCTCAAAAATCATAATTAAATTTAATATCAGCCTGATGATATACTAGTATCAGATTTTCTTCTTCTTCATCTAAGGCAGTTGGTGGTCCATATGATATCGCCAATGAGTATGAGTAATTAAAATTCAATTGAATAATGACATGACATTTAAATTATAAAACCTTCGGCTACAATAATAACTTCATCGTATATTTTCGTCAAATCTCGGTATAAATCTACATGTAGGTAACCAATAACTTCAAATAAATACTATACCTAATACCTAATAGGTAGTTTGAATGATTTAGTTGCACTTAACGTTATCATAGCACAGATAAAAACACTTAAACTTTTCATCTTCCACATACTATTATATCTCCATATTAACGGTAAATTCTTATAACTAACTAGTCTGGCCATAAATACTGTTACATAAAAACTTTTCTTTCTTCAACTTTTTAATTATTTTGAAATTGGAACACGTATATTATTTTAAAAACTTATTTCGATTTTGCGCGATTTCACATATTTTTTCGTGTTTATTATCAAATTACAATATGGAATGGGGTGTTAAAGAAAACAGGTTTGCAGTGATAGCCTTGCACAAAGTGGGTATGAAGCGGTCGATCCGTCGCGAAGCTTGGTATCAGCCGATTTTCTTATATCGTACTATCAACAGATACAGCAAGACTTCGTCTGTCGAAGACCAGAAAAATTCGGGGCGGCCGCTTGTTGTTAGAACTACAAAGGCTGTTAATGCTGTTAAAGCCAGAATTCGTCAAAACCCCATTAGGAAGCAAAAAATCTTATCACGAGAAATGAAGATTCCCGCTAGGACTCTGTCGCGTATTATAAAAAAAGACCTGAAGCTCGGTGCTTATCGCGACATGCCCTAAATCAATCTTTACAATTAAAGAGAGTGGATCGATCAAAACGCCTTCTGTCGCGATACGCAGGTGAAAGGCACAGAAATATCCTCTTTACCGATGAAAAAATTTTCACGATTGAAGAACACTACAATAAGCAAAATGACAAAGTGTACGCTCACAGTTCTAACGAAGCCGCTGAAGTTGTCGGAAAGGTACAACGTGGTCATCATCCTGCGTCAGTGATGGTTTGGTGGGGCGTATCTTTTCAAAGAGTCACAAAACTACATTTTTGTGAAAAAGGAGTGAAAACTTCAGCCAAAGTGTATCAAGATACAGTCTCGGATCATGTTGTGAAACCTCTCAGCAATACATTTTTTTAAAATATACCGTTGACTTTCCAGCAGGACTCTGAACCTGGTCACAAGGCACGAACTAACCAAGCCTGGCTTGAAACCAACGTTCCGGACTTGATAAGAGTTGAAGACTGGCCCTCATCAAGCCCAGACCTCAAACCTTTAGACTTCAAATTATGGTCAGTTTTAAAGAGGACATGGCCTGCTCTAAACGACACGGCGACATTGAGTCTCTTAAAAAATCTTTGGAGCAAGCAGTGGCGAAATTTCCCTTGGAAACAGTGCGTAAATCCATAGATTCGTGGCCAAAGAGATTAAAGGCCTGTACAAAAGCTAAAGGTGGCCATTTCAAATAGAATATTTTTTGCTGAGACGTTAATAAATATGTAGGTATAAATTTTAATAATATTACATTACTTCATTTAAAAAAAAAATGCATTTTCATTTCTAACAGAACTTATGGCTGGACTAATATACATTCACACAAATACAGTTGACGCAAGTGTGAAACAATGCACAGAAGAATACGGAGAGTGGAGTAAAAATAACATTTGATTCTCATATGAGGCATCTTGACGTGGCGTGGCGGCATCTGGCGTTTAATGTATTTTCGGTATAGGGGTGATACTTATGATGAAAGTAATTAAATCTCATTTGTTAAAGACACTCTTTAAGGATTTAAATATGAAATTTTATTTGATTATCGCCATGAGTATTCAAGATATCATCACGAAAAGGCAACTACGATGACTGATACGAGAACTTTGAAAAAATCGAGCATCACGCTGTGATAAAATTCCTTACAAAACAAGGAAGAGCTCAACAAGTTATACTGGAAGAAATGGTCGCTGTTCACCAACTCTACTCCTTCATTATTTGCTATTAGTAGTGGTCTAGTGACTCAAACAGTATAGAGAAAATGTTGAAGACGACCGTGTCGTTGGGCCGACTAAGTGCCACTACTGAAGAAAACGTCACAAATCGTTGAGAAACTAGTACTCGAAGATACCCATGAAGACTGAAAACATTAGCAGAAATTCGCATAGTATTTTCGACTGAATCGTTACCGGTAATGAGACGTGCGTTTATCACTATGATCCTGAGACCAAGCAAGAACACCGCAGGTTTCTCGCTTCATCACGATAATGCGCCAGTTCACAAAGCTATTTATAATGATTATATTACAATTAAGTAATTGTTTTGTTAACTTTACTTAATAACGGGACGAAAATAATTACTAAGAGATCCCAGAACAAATGGAACCTGACTTTTAGCCTAGATTTACGCCCGGTTTCTGAAACACTGATCATCCTAGATGTCAACTAATCAGCTGTGAAGTGGCTTTTCAAATTCCATTTTAGTTGCCAAAAGGATGGTTAGTCTCCGAATTGACCACAATGATCTTCTTAACGATCAGATTGATCAATTCAAAGAGTTTAACCATCCTTTTGGCAACTCAAATGACATTTGAAAACTGATTAGTTGACATCTACGATGATCAGTGTTTCAGAAACCGGGCGTCAGTGTATTAAGATAAAACGACCATAATCTTGTTAACGCAAATAAAATAAAAAATGGATGTGATAAAAAATTTATAGAAATTTTCTGTACAGAAATGGTCTATCGATTGTACGTAAATTTGTCACGTATATTACTTTTTCTAGTTTTTGAATACTCTCGAATTGAAAGAACTTATTTTGACAAATTTAATCATCTCAAAATAGTAAATCGGTGTGACCGTTCTGACGGCTAAGCGATATTAGAGCAAACCTGAGGCTAAAGCAAGCATAGTGTGCATGATAAAAAGGAACTATTATGAAAAAGTAAAATTCTTACAAAAATATGTAAATATACCTGGACAATCTTGCTGAATGGTTCCCTGTTCAGTAAAGAATATGCTGAACTTAAATTAGCAGCAGCACTAGCCTCCAAGTCTTTTATACCAGAACAAAATAGATCAATCCCAATCTCCAATCCAGTTCCAAAATCACATTCATCCATTGCAATGCTAGCATAAGTTATCACAGGTTGTATTTGTGACAGAATCTCATCTTTTTCACTTTGCAATGATGATGACTCTAATTTTGCAAACATTTTTCTCAGGTTAGCTGCAACAAATGCGTTTATAGATTAATTAAATTTTATGTTTAAATGGGTGAAATGTAACATTATCAAAGAGGGTTGTCAGCTAAAGCCATAATAATAATAATAATAATAATAAAATATCTTTATTCACATAGACGCTTGGGCGTTCTTATGAAACGTCGAAATTCTACAAGGAAATTAATATGTTCGTGAGTTACCACTGGTTCAGAAAGCAGTTTCTGTTGAGAAGAAACCGGCAAGAAACTCACCAGTTGCTCTTTTTTAAAAGGTCAGTTTACAATATAATGTTACATGTATAAAAGTCTTGTTTTAGCCTTCGTGTATCAACAGTATTAACCCCACACATTGGCGTCGTCGAGATATTCAGCAATAGTATAATATGCTTTAGTCATAAGTTTACTTTTAACTTTTCGTTTAAATTCATCAAGTGGCAGACTTAATACCGACTGTGGGATTTTATTATACATTCGCACACTTTGCCCCATGAACGACCTGTTTACTTTTTGTAGACGAAACAATGGCGTAGTTAGATTGTCCTTATTTCTAGTATTTAGTTTATGTCTGTCACTATTCTTTAGATAGTTATTAATATTATGTTGAACATACAAAATATTACAATAAATATATTGAGACGCAACAGTGAGTATATTAATCTCTTTAAAAAGGTCTCTGAGTGTATTCCGGGCTCCGATGTTATAGATTGCTCGGACAGCTCTTTTTTGAAGAATAAATATAGAATTTATATCAGATGCACTACCCCACAACAAAATACCGTAAGACAAGATGCTGTGGAAATAACTGAAATAAACAAGTCTGGCAGTGTCGATGTCTGATAGCTGCCTAACCGTCCTAATTGCAAAAACAGCGGAGCTTAACCTGTTCGATATACAGCGGACTCAACAGGATTAAGGGTTACGCTATTTAATGATAAGCTTAAACTTTGCCTTCTTACGCTGGGAAGGGTAAAAAAAAGGCATTTAGTTTTTTTTGCATTTAACACCATATTATTAACGGTAAAACAGTTGAGGATACGCGAAAATTCACTATTCACGTCGTCATAATTCGACACGTTTCGGTCAACCTTAAAAATGAGCGATGTGATGTCAGCAAACAGTACAACATCACATAACTCACTGGCATAAAAGGGGAGATCATTTATATAGACTAAGAATAATAATGGACCCAAGATTGATCCTTGTGGGACACCCATTTTCATGGGGGACCCTGCGGAATTAACATCATTTATAGATACTTTTTGAATTCTTTTACTAAAGTAAGAGGCCATGAGATTGAGGGCGATGTCACGAATGCCATAATGCCATTGAAACTGTGAGACAGTTGAAGACGGGTGCACTCATTCATAGTGGTATAGTACAAGCTTTGCTTAGATATAGACTAGGTAATGTGTTAAAATATGTCCTGAAATATTAACAAATATTTATTGTGAAATTGCCTCACCAAACTATTTTTTAGTTAATTTGTTATAAATTAAGACTTGTTTTATAAGTATCCTATATACTATTGATTCTTACCATTGCTCTCGGCTAAGGGTCTATATCCTAATTCTGTTTTCTTGTTAAATGGTACTACAATTCCTGCACCATGCAAAGTTCTAGCAACTATCTGGGGTGTTCTTTTTTTCATACTGTATTCGTCCAGGGAGTAATTATGCTCGTTTGCCCATTTCTTTATTTTATCCATCAGCTTTTGGCAAGGCATAGCTAAAAAGGGTGATGTTTTCTTTTCACTTTGTAAAAATGAGCTAAAACAAATTTTAAAGATTTTAGGTCAGTATTTTTATTTGGTAGGTCTATTTGTTGTTTGTAGAATGAAATGAACAATCTTATATGGGCTATATATTTTTAACCCAATTAATATTGTCCTTACATTTTCTTAGTTATTATAAAATAATTTTGATAAAATTGCTAATTAACTTACTAAACTGCCCCAAATATATTATCAGCAATTGGGTTCATAAGACAGTCTCTACTACTGTCATTGCTTGCTAAAAATGTTGGCAAACTCTCAGGATCATCTCTGTAATACCCAATGTGAAACTCACTATTACCTTTCTTTTTTAAAACTGCCTGAAAAACATTTTCAAATGAATAAAATTAACAAAATAACAGCATAAACCATCAAAAACTGTTGTTAAAAATTGTGAATGTAAATAATAAAGTTGGACTTTTGGAAAAGTAGGAATAATTTGTATATAATAGGGAATTTACCTGAAATTCTGGAGGATCGTAAAAGTATCGCCAGTGAATTAAATACAAATTTTTATCATGTATAATGGGAAGTTTCCCCATGAGTAAATCAAATGGGCCAATTAAATCTAAATTAACACTTGCCAATGTCTGTTCTAGTGATTTCTCTTCATTTAAACATTTATAAAATTGAAAGAAATCAGGAGGCATTTCTACAAGGAACAATTCTTTATACAACTTATTGTCTTCACATTTATCATAGAATTTGTAATTTTCATCCAACAGTACCAAAATACTCTCTTTCTCGTTTAATTTTATTTTCTCATTATCACTTTCACTATCTTTTACAGATTTCTTATCTGAATCATTTTTTTGACCTGTATCAGTATTATTTTCCCTAGACATTTGATCGTCCGCTTTTGCTACATTTGTTAAAGGTTTTTTATTCTTGGAGTAAGGCTGTATACGTTTATTTTTGTGTTTTACATTATTTAGTTTATTTTGATATGTTTGTGGCGGGTGCTTATAATTCTGATGATGATTTGGATTTTTCTGATAACATTTGGCGCCGTATTTACATGTTGTCCTAGGATCTTTTACAAAATTTGACCACTCCTCGGACATGACAATGTTAATATATTAAAAGAAATACATATAGAAAATTAGAAATAAAACATTTACGCAAAATTTTGAAAGGTAACTATTAATTACAATTCACAAATCATTCTTCTTCTTCTTCTTTCATTAATGGCCTCTCTTAAAAGAATTCTGCCAATGTCATGTCAGTAATTCACAAATCATGACATGCAAACAATACAGTCAATGTCAACGTAGTGGTTATATTCTCTTTGGTCAATGTATTTTTGTCACTTGACAGTTAATAGTAGCAGTGGCAGTGTTTCCAACTATTAAAAAAAATGTCGCTAAAATTAAGACGAAATAACCCTGAATGTAATTTTTAAAGCTCTGATAAAAAACCTGTATATTAAGATTGTTTAAACAAAAAAATACAATACGATGCGTTAAATATTATTCATGGCCCTAAAATGTATTAGACCCCAAAAAGCCTAATATACATATTTCCGCCGTGAAAAGGCACTAAATAGGTGAGCCTGAATGTGAGGGATGGCGAAAAAACATCGATAAACCGATATTTTTTTGGTTCAAATATACATTGGATATAATTACCAATTTTTATTGCATTTATGGTTCACTATTTTGGCTATAATGGCTTACACATAAACGATAGATATATACTGTCGTGTGCTTTACTATAGGACTTTTTAAGATAAACATTTCCAATATACTAAATGTACTTATAAATCTATCGGTTTTGCAGCACACAACAGGAAAGCTCGCAGATGACAGAATTTTTTTCCTAATTACTTGATCCTTATTCTAATACTTTGAAAATTTCATATAATATCTTTTTAAAATGTAGCATATGTGTTTTTCAAATTTTAAATGTAAGTGTACAATAATATAGCTTATACATGATAAATTATATAATTGTAACTTTTCATTAAAACCCATTTATTTGCGTGAAAGTGTAACAAACATCCATCCATAAATACATACTTTCGCGTTTATAATATTAGTAAGGAAGTAAGGATTGTTATTAGATAGGTAACATAAAAAGAAACTAACATTGTTTGGTTTTATGAAACTACGATGGAAGTTAAAAATATTTGAAGTTATACTACTTTTGGCACGTTAGGGAAAAATAATGAGAGTAAAATTTTACGATACGCGCTCACACCGTCACGAAAACCGACGCCCTGAAGTTAGCTAGACATCTACGTATGTTTGCGTGAGAACTGACAACTGTATTTACGATATTTATTTTGTGATATTTAAAAAAAACTTTATTTAAGTAGATAATGCGTTATAATAAAACTTTCAATGAATTAAATACCTTTTTTCTATAGTTAGTGTCAATTTTTCTATAAACGTGGAATAAGGCAAAAGATAAAATTTTTGAACAGATTTTTAACTTATTACGCCAAAGAAGTATAACTTCTAACGCGTGTACATAAGTACTTGCACACTTTTTTTTAGGATTTTAGGCAGATTTTAGCATTTAACTGAAAATTTTCTGTTAAATGTTAATTATAAAATAGTTTACGCCGAGTGCCTTTAACTTTACCCACACTACGCGGCCGGCTGTAACGACATCCGACAATATTTGAGGCGTATTATAATACCAAAAATGCCGTCATGTGTCTTTAAAGGATGTACATTTTTATGTTTTTTTATGTGAGAAAGTGGAAAACGAGCTGGCGGTGCAACTGGTGTTAAATGATAACCGCCGCCCATGAACACTTGCGACGCCCTTAGGGTTGCAAATGCGTTGCCACCTTTAAATAAAAAGGGCCCCAGCTACCTCATTCACAAGACAAGACGAAACGCAGAAGTGTAACACTTTCACTTTACGCCACTTTTCTGTGAGGTCGTGGTACTTACCCGGACGTACCTTGTGTGTTGCATGGCACTACCACAGTTTTCCTACTTACCAACTAAGACTCTAAAGTTAAATAAAATTCAATGGATATCAACTCTCTTAGAGAACTTTAGGACTCCGAAAAAGATGTTAAATGCTATTGATAACGGTTGAATCAATGATGTTTAATAATATGCATGACGCATGTCTGTACTACGCGATGTTAAAAAATTGTTCCGCCTTTGATTATATGCATATTGTATTATTATATGCATATGATATACTTGTCTAGATAGAGCAATGGTTAACAAATCACGTGCTAAAACTATCTGGTACTATAGTCATGGTTTCATATATTTTATGTAGGTAAATTATCGTTCACTGATGAAATAAATAATATAATCTTAAAATAATAATATTCTTATCAAAAGATGATGTAATGATTTTTATATTTTGTCTCCCGTAATTTCCCCAAAACTTACTATTAATAAACTGACAACACCGGCTAACCAGAGCTACTAACCGTGGTACGTGCGGAATGCCGATTTGCATCGTGACTTAAATATAACATCCCTGTCCACCCTCTTTAAAGAAGCGTCGAAAAGACACTTCAAAAGCATTAACGCCCATACAAATCCATTGTTGAAAGCTTTCGGAATCTATCCCGCACCTCCTCGGACCGTGCATCCGAGACTACGCCGTGCACTAAACGTTATAGATGATCCAGACGACACACTCACGCGCGCAATTAATATATTTAATAATCAGCCGCCGCCCGAAAACGCAACGTCGCTATGAGGAAACCTGCATATTTTTGAAATAACACCAAAAAAATGTTTACCCGATGATATATGTAATCTCCCAATCCACAGTAGGGTCGCATGGTAGATAACGCCCTAATACCCTATTCTTTACTTTATTTACGGTAGTTTAAATTTCCAACCTTCCTAGACGGAGAGGCATTTCAATAAGAAAGCTCCAACTGGATAGGTTCCACAATCTTTTGTCTACAGGATTCGCGAAGTTACAGCAACCTGAACGGAGTAATAGTGTCGTTGTCGAGCCATAATTACATCGTTCTCTTACTAGTCCATTGGCTATCCACCCGCGGGAGACCACTGTCAAAGCAATCGGTGTACAGTTTACAGCAGAAAAAAAATGTTTACAGGGATTACAAATCAGGGAAAATATTTAACAAATTATATTAGATCTGCAATTTTTAATACATCTGTAAATGTCACGCAATGAAAAAGAATAATCTATATTTAATAAGTTTTGTGGTAGGAATCTGTGGTCTATGATATCAGTGAAGTGAATCAGTATTCCAGTATCAGTGTCACTTACGATAGGTGGTGGTTCTAAAATGAAAGAACTGGTTTATGATGGCGAAAGGATGTGTTTTAAACAATTAACGTGATATTTATAGCAATAAAAATAGAACTGAATAGAAAAAAGGGTAATTTATTAAAAATTTTTAGGACTTAAAATTTTCAGGACTATTCGTGTATAACATACAACGTGAAAAAAAGTCACAAAATTCTGTGTCCAATATATTATGAAGAATGTAGTTGTGTGATCATTTTTCTTTGTTTCAATGAATGGGTGTCTAAAATTTTATAATATTATACCAAGGACATGTACATAAAAAGTGATCGTCACTCGAGGCATTTGTCGAATTCATCGGGCTCCGGATTATGCTTTTCATGTGGTAAATATTCAACCTTTAGATTAGATTTTAAAAAATATATCCTTTCACACATATTTCAAAAGACATTTATAGCGATATACTTACTTATACTGATTTATGATTATTTTTTGGACAAAAAGATTGCTTTTATCTTATTAAAACATAGGCTTAGCATTTCGTCTTGTAAACAAATACTGTAAATATAATATATTTAAAAATGCAAGTCTGGTTGTGGTGGACTGTCTGTCCTGTTTCCATGAACTAAATTACTTTTATTTAACAAAAATATCCATTAGAATTCATAGAAAAAAAGTTTTTTTCAATGTTTTTTAAATTTTTGGTTCTATGAGACTTGATTGATAAGGTGATTTTTATTAATAAGCTATTTAAATGTCACTTAATTTTATGTCAAAATTGTTACTTTTATATATATAAATATTTGTTATTATTGTGTTTAATCTATACATTTCATTGAAAGGCTTAAAGTACAGAATATAGCTTGCTTCACTCTAAAATTACATTTGAAGTTTTGTCTTATTTAAAATAATATTCATACATGTTTTTATTAAATAATCTTTATGAGCTATTTTCTACTTACTAGCTAATCAACTATGTACATATTAACTATGTTGTTGCAATTATACTCTCTTTGCAAGGCATGCATTCGACATGACTGCCACAGACTTGTTTTGGTGAAGGCAAATTATGGCTTAGGTATATCTATATAATAGTATTAAATAAAGCAGATTTCCTCCGTCTCTCCCTGTGTATCATTTAAACTATGCAACAAGATTTTTATCAGTTTTCATCAATGCGTAGAGTGATACAATAGGTAGGTTTATATTAATAGTTCAATACTGTTTTGTGATAATTTGTAGAAATATACAATAATTATTGTTCTAGATGAACATGTGGAAAAGAAGTCCAACTCAAACCGACAGACAGTTTTCTTCAAAAATGCTACCTTATCCATTT